AAGGGAAATATACAGGCAAAAGTTTATGCAAATGCAAGGACTCGTGGTTTATGACTGCAGTGGTAGTTCCCCATGATTTCACCTCCTACTTATTGCTATGTCCCTAGTTGTTGGATTGTTAAGTAGCTCAATGTAAGTAATACCTACACTTTTTTTAAGTTAAATTCTAAAGTAAATTTACGAGTAGAATGTTTGAATAGAATAAATAGGCAAACTATTCAAACCAGAATCTCTCGTGTTGTTTGATTCAACGATTTGTGCTCTGCTCTTTCAGTAGATATATTTTCAAATTCTGTATAAGAACAGAGTATGGTGAAAATAAGTTAACAGCTATACCAATAAGTAGAACACTATGCACATACATACAAATCAATACAATGCAATAATATTGAAACCGTAAGATACACATACATAAATTACCAGTTCGACCAGTCTCTCGAATCCCTTAATTTCTTAACTACATACATTATTTACTTTCAACTTAGCGACTGTCGTTTGACCTCCAGAATCTGTAATGATTGTTTCTGCGACAGTCAACAAAAGCCGTCGCGAAAGCTACAAAGCAAATGATGTGTAATCGAGAAAAACCTTAATATATTAACTTAAAAATCACAAGCGAGTTATTTTTAAGTACAAATACACTCAAAATATAACCACATACTTGGAAAGTGGCGCGAAACTCACTGTTTCCTATATTCCATGGTGGTACACTCACTTCAATCTCTTACATAGTCCTAGTCTCCTAGTACCGAGGGTGTAACGTCATGGGGGAACATGACCTAGTTTCGGCGAGGGTGCTTCTCAAACGGGGCCTTACCATCGATCCATGGGAAAACGGGAAAATTCTATGTATGTAGGTGAAATTGCCAATATTAGGTTTATTTTCTAGAAACAAGATCATTTATACAATAATAGACGTTGACATAATTTAGGAAAATGTGAAAGTAATAAAAGGTAAAAGTACCCAACTAGTTATGAACTTCATCATAAGAGTATATCAAAAAACTAAGTATACACGCAAAGCTGTCAATAATTAGAATGGGTAACCTTTCTCTTTTCCATTGTCCTTAGTGTTGATATTCTTTAGCTAATTGCAGCAAAGTGCAGCAGGTGGTCGAACAAAAGTTAGTACAACCGCCACATTATAATGCGGCTGGACAGCTTGGGCATAAACACGTATATGTACGTTCTTGTCAGAGTTATTGCGCGGTGCATAGGTCGTAGACCCTACTGACTCACGTTCGAACAGAGGCTTTAACTTCTAGAATAATCTTGTGCAGAATACAACCAGCTTGAGGAAGGTGCGACTTTTGGTTTTCCTGTAGTTATTTGTCATATTTTAAGCAGATATTTGCACGAGAAATATTCTAATTGTAACTCGTCCATTATCCCCATTTTTTATTCCTAAAAAGAAACACACAAATTTGTACCTACTTGCAAAGCTCTTGCTATCCTTGCACCTACATATATCGCGTTCTAGTAAGAAGTGAGCTTATTGTCAAACAGGCTTACGGATAATCAGAGACAATTCCAGAGCAACGACTGTCTTATTATCTCTCATGTAGACGTGTCATCTTATTGCACCGAACATAGTTTTAAGTACTCAGAGCGAAAATATAACTTTAAACAGTGCAAAAAATATATTTGGCGTCACGGTTGGCGAGGAGGCTGTGCAACTGTATCGCGAGCTCGATACCCGCACGGAACCACTCTTTGTGTGATCCACAAATTGTTGTTCCGAGTCCGGGTTTGATGTGGGTGTGAAATTTTATGTTTGTAAACACACCCACGAACCAGGAGAAAATACTAGTATGGGGCAAGGTTTAAAAAAAATCATAGACAACTATAATACAAATATATATATATATATATATATATATATATTCATATCAACTATAGATAGATATGTCCCCGGTATCCTGCGCGCTTCAGACACAAAACTTACAATGACCTTTTTATAAAACTCAAATAAGACGACGCGATAACAATAGGCGGTGATATCCACGTGGAAAAGGTACAAACCTTTCAATCTGAGCAGCTGGCGTCATCCTTATTATCCTAGACAGCGCCTTAAGGAATCCTCGTCGAGCCAGTCAACGGCAACAAAGCCTTTATCCACACACATGCGGCCGTCAGCTGCCGGGACAGCTTGCGCCATAAAAAATAGGCCAATAACTCCGATGGCGAAAAAAAACTCAAAGAAATGTTAAAGATGGCGGCAGGTGCGGTGTCAGCTGCGCGCACGCACCTTTGTAATAATTGCATTGCGCCCGCGCGTTCGTTTTGTTTACCTCGCCGCACCACATCAGTTTTGTATCGTTTTGTGGCGGCCGCGTTCGCGTGTGATCCTGGATTTAAATTAAATATAAGGAGCGATAAAATATCGACGCGTACGCTGTTAAGTTATGATTGTTATTATAAGTTATCGTCATGTTTAACGTCTCTGTATATTAGCTGATACTAGATAGGAGACAGCTGTATCTGTACGGTCTTTCATGTTATTAAGTGGGTAGGTATACATCGAACTGTAGCTAATCTAATAATGTCTACATACATTCTAATAAACAGCTGCTAATTAGAAACATATGAATGCAGCTGTATTTCTTAGTAAATAAAGGAATGTACGGTTATCGCAGCTGACTATATTGTCGCGCGTTCGACTCCCGTGCGGAAATACACTCTGTATTATGTAAAAATCGTTGATCTGGATTCGGAGTGTGAATTTGTATGTTTTAATACCTACGACACAGGACAAAAATATGAATAATATTTGTGATCCGACATCTCTCAGGTCACACATTTCGAGAGTAACCGTTACGATTCAAACACGAGTATCATCCCTTCCCTAATTATATTAGAGTAGGTACACCTTCTGCTGTCTATTAACGAAATTAAATGAGCCATAGTAACAGTTGTTACTTTTTACATATTTACCGCTACCGTCACGCCAGTAACCACTAAAACTAAAAGGCTTGACAGGGGTGTTCCATTTAGGTACGTTCACGAAAATAAATGCATTGATCATTTAATTTTGTTTTGAGGTGTTCAGTTTTATACACGTCATATACAAAAATGAAGCGATACTTCAAGAAAAGCTATAGGTTTTAAATGTTATTCCATGTAAAAGGTATAAGGTTGACAATTGATTGTGACTCGAGATCTTGAATCGCCAGCCATGAATTTAGTTATAAACTAGCTACTCTCGCACGGTTCCAATCGCTGCTCGGCTCCATTTAGTCGTAGCGTGATGTTTTATAGCTTATAGCACTCAGGAACATTGTAGCTATCTATCAGTGAAAGAATTTTGGCAATCTGACCAGCGGTTCCAAAGATTACCCCCTACATACAAACTTACAAATTTTACCTCTTTATAATATAAGTATAGATTAGTACTTATCTACCTACTATAACTTTGATATAATTAGAATTGAATATTATCTAATAGGACTACAGAGTCCAGATGGTTAGGCAATAATTGAAATAAATTGTCTAGATCTAATTAAAATATAATGTTGTAAGTAAAAAGTTTCACGGGTATAAATATAGAGGCTACCCCCCATAGACAACGTTTTAACTTTAAAGAGCGTACAAGTATACGCGACGGTCGTATCCATACAAAATTACAAGTCCAAAATCCTTGAAACTAAGTAGTACTGAAACAATTTTAATGAACCTTGGTACTTAAACGTAATGTGTACCTATATTATGGCCTAAAAACAATAAAGTACGTTTTCAACACAGTAACATTGAAATTGGATTGTGAATTGAAAAAATTGTATGAAAACCCATGTCGTTTCAGACTTATAATAATTAGTACCCACCATGATAATAATGTGTTACCATTTTCTGAAAATGAATCCTAACTAGATCGATTTATCCCAACGAAAAACCGCTGTACACATACAAAATTTTATTGAAATCGTTGGAGCCGTTTCAGAGATAGAGATTATATTCGTATACTACTTAACTTTATTTACAAGAATTGTTCGTTTAAAGACATAAGATATTAATAGGAAATAGAAAAGCGTCGCCAGTAAAACATAAGGTACAGAACATATTGTAAAAGGTACCATGAACATGATCAATTGTATTAAATTGTTATACGCTCAAAGTTCTTTTTTGAGTGAGCACCTTCAAGCTTGTTGCAGCATAAAAATATAGCAGCAAATTGCAATAAAGATGTTTACACTAATAAATAGCATTATTACACTCCCTGCAGAGTTAAGAATGCCAACCTTTTGTAGTGTGCCCTAACTACCTACATCTACCTACTTAGTGCTACACCGATGCACTATCGCATATCATTTTAAAAGTGAGTGCACTTAAAAATTGCTCGTGCCTTCATTAATAATTACGCTGATAAGTGTACTGGGCATTAAACATCGCGATGGTTTATTTATCCTATAAAACACACGGAAAGTTTCTTACACGGGCCAGGTCAACATACATAGTTTAGTTGTAACATTTTATTACTCCACCATATTTTTTATCGAATTATAATAAAACGCCTGTTTACATAAATTATCTATAAGCTACTTTATAACAAACTTCATCTGTTTGTTAAAAAATAACTTATACACTAAATTGTCCACCGAATTATTCAAATTAATAGACTTAACTAGTACCTTTCTTCCCCTTTAATTTTGTATCCCGGTTTCTAAAGAGTCAACTTGCACCCAATATAAATAAATCATCGGGGTTCTAGTGACCGCCTGCACGGCGCCCGCGCACGTGTCGCCGCATCTGCTGTCCTGGTGCATCTTTATAATTAACCTACCTGTGGCACCTTAACCCGGCCCCGCCCGTCACACATTCAAAAGATTTAATTTAATAGAATACATGTTTCATTTGTATTTATTAATTTCACAAGAAAACAATTTATTCATTCGTTGTCATGTCGTTTTTTACATTATCCTTAGAATAAAATTCAGGTCAAATACTCTATCGGGAACACCTGGCGAGATAATCTCGAAGCACTGAATCGCAGGAATAAAATAATAACACACAACTCAATATACTTGCATTTATTTTCAAACTTTACATTAAAATTTTATGTTATTTAAACATTTACATTCCCTTAGTAATTTTAACGTTTTTACATGACTGCATTTATACATTATTTAACAATTCGATCATTTGATACAGAACTTTGTGGGACAAATGATTATAACTACAATAAATACTTTAAATATTATTTTTAATTTCGATTTCATATACGTATACTCTAAATTTATTAGTATTTAAGAATGTATTATGCCAAAACGTAGTGTATTTCTATACAATGATAAATATAATTATTCCTTAAATAATCTTCTCAACATATGCAGTCTTCTGAGATGGTCGCAAGACCAATGAGTGACCTGCCAGTAACCATTGCTATGCTGTTTTATGAATATATTCTACTTACATTCCTTTTCGTTTAATTTAAGGCAATCAATCGTAGCGAAGGTATAGTTCATATTTGTTAATTAACACCTCTATTTCGTAATTAGATAAAAATGTGTAAAAACTAGTTACTTTATATTATGTACTACATTTTAGAATAAATATATTTATCTAATCGGACATAGTTTTATTAAGCTTTTAATAATAAACAACACTGGAGTCATTAGACTATTAATATCGATTTAATGTTTTAATAGAGTCGGTAGTTTTCGAAGTACATTAATGCAGCTATCAGTACGAGTGATCAACAATCCTAATGTGTTTCACTGCGCACCTGTCTGCGACACCGGCCTACAGAGGGCGTCGACTACTGCAACACAAAGTTCCATATCAAATGAATTGTTACCAACCGTAATTTACGTTTAACTGGCGTGTTCCAACCTACCTACTAATAAATATGAGCCAGGTGAAAATACTTTATAGAAGTGCTGACATTTTGAATGATAGTTCACCAAACAACACGATTAGATGTCAAAATGGTTCGATCTCCCAAACCGTTTGATTAGTTAGGCCTATACTACGAATACGTGATGATTATACAAAAATACAATTTCAAATTTTATTTACCTTAAGTAGTTTATCACTTAAGAGATCAGTCTTAAGATCCGGTTGTCCCTGGATCTAAAATTTGAAATGCATATTTTGAGACACATGAATCACCAAGATCCTAAAAGCATGTCAATAAAATATATTTCTACCGTATTCTTAGGAGTAGTAGTTAGGCGAATAATAACTAAAACATAATGTTATACAGAGCTATCATCTCGTGGCGTCGGAAGAAGCGTAGCAATAAGCTCGGGTGGGCTTGGTGACACATCTGTCCAATCAACACTAGTGAGTAACCTATATCGTATAGGAACATTGGATTTTCGATAACAGCTATTATACAATGTTGTTTGGAGCTGTTCTATTACTTACATCCGTAATGCAGTGCGAGGCCAATGTAGCCGCAGTGGCGGTGGTGGAACCAGTGGCCTGCAGTGTACAAACACGCTCAATAATCTCCACTAAAGCCGCACTTCACCGGTGATAGTCCACTACGTTATATTTAGAATATATCTTCGTTAAACCTTGTCACTTTGCTACCATTGTGGAATTAAAAGAATTAATCCAGGAATGCTCCTGCCACATGTGTATTACAAAAATAAGAAGATAGACACATCTAAATATTCTATAATAAGATCACATACACACTTCAAATATTCGTCTTATCGATATACATAGTGTAAGATAAATTTAAAAACTGAAAGAACACTATATTGATATAGTGAGTGTAATATGAATTGTTATATCTTCAAACCAACTCATATCGCTATACACTTGAGCAAACCACAACCAGAACACACGCAGTCAAAATGAAATATTACAATAGTAAAATAATTTAATGTTCTCATGCACTCACAGCCCCGATATATCTTATATTAGTAGTCTAGGACCCGGGGCCACACACAACGCAAGCACCCTCACACTCCCGCGTGCCCTCCGAGTGTAGTCTCTCGCGGTCTTGCTGCAGTACCTCCCTACTCCTAACACTGCATATACACTCACTAAATAACATCTAGTGAGTAATTATCTTCTCCAAAATAAAGGATACTACTACAAAAAAACTTTTTTTCAAAAAGCAAAAACTAAGAAGTATTACTGAACTTCTAAACTTTCTCTATATACAAAAAATATTAATATTTATGTGCTTAATCAATTCAAAGATTCTTGCATTGTCAACATTTGGGAGATATTCCTTTTACATACACAATACTTGGGCACCTCGATGATTATATGCCTTTTGATGTCCTTTATTCCTTTACTATATTAATAATATAGTAAATGATGCCCCTATTTGAATAAAACCCATTTAAATCACTTCATTTGGCGAAATATATAATTCAGCTATTTATCTGAGTATTAATATACTACAGCTTATAGCAAAATTCTTAATCTTACATGCATATTTACAAAATTTACAAAAGAATAAAATGAATGCAATAAAGAAAATTGCGCACGACAAACATTAAGTGTTACTTACTATGAATTTTTGTACACAGTTGGGGACTAAACTTCAAACAAAAAATATACGAGTTATAATATGTTTACAGTGTATGCACATGCTGTCGGCTAGTGCTTGGCCTTATAAAGCATGTGACATTTGAACAATATTACAACTGTGTCGTCTTTTATGGAACTTTTACACTACAATGCAAATACAAATTAAAGGCACACAACTCCGACTGATCCGTTATATGATGATCTAATCTAGAAGTAAGAACTTTAAGTAATGGTATAACTATATATTTTATACATAGATCTCGTACAATGGTCGTATTCATGTGATATTATGAAAAAATATTATCAATTTGACATAAATAAAAAAATAAACGATTCAACTTACTATCCAACAATGTCGTATCACGGTCACATCACAACATAACACTTCACCAACACAACCATTGCCGTAGCGAACGTCACTGTCAAGCGAAAAAGTATCAGGCGAGCAGATCGGGCGCGGGGCCCTAGTCGAATTCAATGTCCATGTTGTACTGGCGCTCCCGCTCCGTGGAGTTGAGCGACGACGACGAGTTGGAGCTCGTGGAGTTGGTGTTGGAGCGGGACGGCGGCGGCCACGCCGCGCCCGTCGTCATGGACGACGACGTCGACATGCTGCCCGACGAGCTGCTGGAGTCCCCCCCCAGCGCCGCCCAGCCCGCGCCGCCGGGCCCCGCGCGCCTCGGCAGTCGTCGTACCAGTAGTTGTGTTAAAGACGCTACAAAACAGACATTCAATTAATGGTACAGTTGTAACGTACGTGATTTGTTTACTAATGTTTTGGAGAATATATATGTTGAAACTGAAGAACCGAACCGAACTGGACTTTCGCATTGGACTTTCAGGTGAACTTAGAAAAAACTAAGGCAATATTCAATGACCGTGTTCTATCGCAGCATAGACAGATGTAACAGATATTCAGAAGTATATCTAAGTATGGGAGAGGGGTATTAAAGAAAAGCGCGAATGGGCTGGCTCGACCGGAGTGATACCACGGCCTCACAGAATAACCGGTGTGAAGCCACACTCACGTTGTGTTTGGCCGTGTGAGTGAGGTTACCGACGGCCCAATTCTTCCCCCCCTTTCCTCAATCCTCAAATCCCTTATCCTTTAATCCCTAATAACCCACAAGAGACCGGCAATGCTTTTGCAGTAACTCCTTTGGTACTGCTAATATCCACGGGTAACACCACCTCTCGCGCCCGGCCTTAGTCGAGCCCATGGTGCGGAGTGAGAGGAGCTGGGACGCCGTCTCCTCCTTCTGTAAAGCAGTTATGCTCGCAAAGAGGGAGGCGGCCCGCGTGAGGGAGCAATCCTCCTCCTCACGCCCCAGCCGCTGCAATAGGCGACATTCCGGGCGTCGGGGATCGAGAGATGATCTCCGGCTACCGTAAGCGCGGGTCTGCGGTCGGCGAGTAAGGGCAGCTCGCCGCCCGACACAGATGGGGCCCTATAGGGCTGATGTTCAGTCGGGATGGAGGGGTAATCGCAATGAGGCACCGCGACCTCGGCCCAGAGCAGGAGAAGGAACAGGGGGGGGGGGGGGGGTTTTAGTCAGTAAGAGTCTGACAATCCCTCTCGCCCGGCCCTGGGCGGGAGAAGTCAATTGATGATTTTCCCCTCATAAAAAAAAACGGGTAACACCATTTTACCATCTTTAAAATAATCTTAGGCAAATGTTAAAGATACCGCCAAGCTTTAATATAGAGTCTTCAAAGAGAGTGCGCTTTACCAGAGACCACATAGGAAGCAGAAAAGTGGATACTGACAGTGTGACTGATCATCCAATTTAAAGTCACGCAGGGAGTTATGGAAAGGGCTTTGCTCGGAGCCTCTCTGAAGGATCAGCTAACTGAAGGGGCTGTAGGCAGGTTACATTTGTCAATGAACCGACGGTGGTTGGAGTGTTCTAGAGCCATCCAGGTGAACTGATGATATCCGTAAGAGGGCTGACAGGGGTTGGATGAGAAGATGCAATTGGAGATGCTTATGGTTAGAGGAAATGGGCTCATGATAAGTAGGTACATGATTAATTAAACATTCTTAAAAGTGTTTGTGGGTTTTATCGAAACGGTTATATTACATTGCAGATAGAGATTTGTTCAAATTACTAAGAATTCAGATTGTACATCAGAAGAAGTGCTTGGCGTAGCTACACTGGTGATGAGTGTGTGTTATCCACACAATGCTGTCAACATTACAGCAATATTTAAGTAATGCTCGAGAATGCAAACAGTCGGACTAGGCTTACGGTATTGGTTGGCAGCGGTGTCTGCCGGGGCGGCGGGCGCGGAGGCGGCGGGCGGCGCGGGCGCGTCGGGGGGCGCGGCGTCGGGCGGCGCCTCCGCGTCCTCCGCCAGCAGCGAGCGCCGGCAGATGGGGCACGTCGCGTGCAGCTGCAGCCACGGCGCGATACAGTTGGCGTGGAAGATGTGGTCGCACTCTAACCGAGATACTGTTTCACCTGCAATTCAAAAATAAGCCAAACCAATCATAATTTATTGGGCCTACATATAAACTGATAAAACTACCAGTTTCATGTGTCATGGCTGTTTATTTTAAGAAATGAGATTAAATAATAATGTATAAAATTTTGAAAATGTGCGTAAGTGTATGCTATTCATTCATTATTTGTCAATACAATTGTAGCACGTGGTACGCGATGTGACATCATACGCACGCTATTAAGAGCCCAAAGCTACCAGGCAAAAATAAATAACAAGTGAATATAAGACTAACCAGACTGAAAGTTCTCCCAGCAGACAGAACACGAGGTGTTGGCGGCGACCTGCTCCTCGGTGACGACGACTGATGGCAGCGCCGCTATCTGCTCCCGCGGTAGCGGCGGGGGGCCTGCATTCTCTAGCTGACCTAGCAATTGTGTCACTACTGCGTCCAAACCTAGAAACAAATAGATTTGCATTATAAATCAGCTTTCATAGAAATTAGCTGAATTAAAACCACTATCAAGTACTACCTATACTTCTCCAAAAGTGGAGGTAACTAAGAGAGGTTGAAAGAGTAGATTAGACCTAGACCTTAGCTAATGAGAGGTAAGAAGAACAAAAGGAAGGCAAGATGAGGTAGGTACATTCCGACGATAAAAATGGTTAGTATCCCTTTACAACTTTTAACAAGTCATTAAAAGAATTCAACAAATATTAATGTTTAGTTACCTTCACCGCCGAAGACGTAGTCCCCGGGCGCTCCAACGAGCACGAAGGGTGCTCCCGCCGTCACGGCGCCGGTGGCCGGTCGAGCGCCACCTATCATCCACACCAGCTGTTCCATTAGCGTCTCTCGTCGCCCTGCACCTCTACTGTAACATAAACACATGTATTACATAAAGGTCCCTTAGTGTATCGTGAGACCAGTAATAGGAGGCGGTTATCTATTCATGTATATGTTACCTCAGCCATCATGGAATATGGCGGAAGCATGACTAACGGACTTTCCCAAGGTATGTCCCACACCCTGAGTGATCCACGAAGATGATGGCCCTCCGAAGTCATCCATTTTCTTTATTCCCCCCAATAGTTCGGCGAACGAACTACAATAAATAACCAATTTATTGCATTTCGTCTAGTAACTGGGCTAACGATTTTAACCCCTAAAATATGACCCTGAGCTGGAATCATCGTGCGTACGCACTCTCCAAGGTCATATTACGTTTTGTTTCCCGCTGTGGAGTTGTAATTAAGGTTCGACCTTGGAAGCATCTTCGTACATCGAAAGGAATATTTTTAGTTCGTGAGTTTTTCTATATATCGATTTTGAATTTTTACTTACCGTAATCGCCCACCGGACATCAGGAATGCAAGATCGTTCAACATTGGAGGGGTGCCCTGAAATGAAAGAAAAGAACAGGTAAAATAAGATTCTTTTAGGTCCTAATCTAATCTACATACGCGCACAGTAAATTTCAATTTTTTCTAGTCTTATTTCATCCTAATCCCTTTTTAGTAAATAAATTCTGGTATAAACAAAGTCAATAATGGTTGCGTGGTTATATTTAAAATATAAACGAATGATCGAATTCAATGGCCCAGAGGTCCGACAAGTTAATTTTTGGTTTCCAATTCGGAAATTCTCAGTACTTTATATTTAGAGCAATGGACAAAAAACTGGAGTACAGTTCCGGCTGTGCCATTCCATCGAAACTGAACATTTTTATAGCTGCATTACATTTACAACCATCAGACTCTGTTAAGGATTTAGAGATATTCAGTTTTCATTAAAATATCCATTATAAATGTTATAGAAATAATATCAATAAATTACTAATACGAAATCGCTTCATCATCAAGCGTAAGATCGCGACCTTCGTTCCAGCACGTGCTGTCAGCACAGTCGTCGTATTTATCAACAATCTATCGCGATAATAATTGACGGCAGTAAAACTGCTGACACACAAAATGCCATTGCTCACAAGAATTTCACTGTTAGGGGCTTGCGAGTGCGAGTGGAATAATGCGCTGCGGCTCCAGCTCGAAGCAGGAGAAGGAACAGGGTGGATTTTAGTCAGTAAAAGTATGACACTCCCTCCCGCTGCACCCAAACCGGAAGAACGAAATTTATAATTTTGCCTTTCGAAAAAAAATACAGCACTTACGACCAATAATAGTTCTGACACAGACTGGAAACGATGGTCGTGATGAATAGGAAAATACGTATGTTTGGCGGAAGCATAAATAACGAAAAATAGACAGAATAACGAGGCAGAATGTAGGAATAACGATATCGACGCCCAAACACAATCTACTCACTCCAGAGAACATCTCGTAAATGCTTTTCTCGAGTGCCTTATATTATATCTCTTTTGTATACGGAAGAAAGGGCCTACCATGACGTGTTAAAGCGTGAATCTTCCGGCCGAGAAAGAAGGATGGAGCTACAAAAGGTTTATAGCTCCATCCCTCTTTCTGGTAGGCCAACAGTAGACTCGAAGCAATAGAAGCAGTGCGTATGCGACACCAAGACATGGATAGTATTGGAAAGAACTTCGATAAGTCGTAGAATGGCTGCTTATAACGCAACTGCAGGATTTGTATCTCTGGAAGAATCACACTCCCTCAGTTTGTTCGATGTGGAGTGTTGAATGAATAATGATTCCTGATGAATTTCAAAACGATTTTATCGTTGACACAACAACTCAACCAACTAACGACGTCAAAAGTCAACTATTCCGCCGAATTCTCAATTGTGTTCCAAGACTTCCAAGTCAAATTGAAGGCATGAAAAATAGGGTCTATCTTATCAATTAATGGTGGATGAGGCTCTCGTGAACCACTCTGGAGCAGTTGTGATTATAAAAAGGTATTTTTTAGGAACCCGAGATAAGCAATAAGGTCATCAGATAGGCGGTGATCAGAGCACACGATTACAAGCTGAAATTGCCCATCAAACAGAAACGCGGCAGTTACGAGTATAAACGCTAATTTACGCTGAGAGTGTTCTTAATGATTAAAAAGCTGCACAACATGAAATAGTCTGAATGCAGCAATAAGTATATGAGATTGTATTAATTTTTTTCGACTGTTTACAACCGTTAGTAGACACTTTGACGTGGTTCTAATGTCCCATATAATGTATCTTCCAATGTTTCAGACGTTAGCGAAATGATATTCTTAAAGGGCAAAATCAAACGGCTAGCGTGCCGCGGTTGAATTAACAATGGCAATGACGTCATCAAGGACATCGTAATATATGAACATGGACACTGTTTTACATAAATCGCAAGGAACATTCCTAAACCTCATTTGAAATTATTGTGCAATCAACGTGGTCTTTAATAAAACCATCAAACAAGAATTCATCCATAACAAAGTTGTTTTTTTCTTATCACTGTTCTGATTACCAAAAAATAATATAAACAAACATCTAGAACATTCACTGATACAATGGACACTGAAACATCTAGAACATTGAGTGATCTTATCAGATTTCGAGATTGATTGATACAGGCATTCTCCGTGTAATAAATGCGGATAATCGATCTAATCTATTTATATTTCGAGCGCCCACGTGGAGCGCGAAGTGCTACGGCGGTCCGACAGTGGGAATATCAAAACATTTGTTATCATGACACATCGCCACGTCACGTGGCGGCAGAAATGTCGCCTCACGCGACCACACGCGATAACAACCACATCCAATTAGAGCAGCCACATCCCGCGGGAGTCCTGACATACTTATTAGAGAGGACGCAAACTTTTGCGCCTTAGTTATAAAATAAAATAATGAAAGTAATTTCATAAACATGTCTGTACATGACAGTCTTATCTTTGTTGGTAATGAGTAAGACAGTCATAATGTTTATTATAGTAATATACCTAACTAAGCTATCAGAAAATGTGACGTGGAAACAAAACTTGAAAAATATTGTTTACCAACATGTTCAAACATTCTTGTAGATTTATCAACTAGGCAATGAACTATAATTATTGCAAAATGTATATGAGAGACGATAAATGATCAACCAAAAAAATGGTTTGGAAATGGTCATTATGACTCACCAATTTCTTTCATATTAATCAGATTCAAATAAAGAAATATTTAATCAATACTGTTGCTAAATAACAATAGATTTAAGATGGTGGATGGATATTAATCTAAGTTACCACATCTGTAAAGATTAACAGATCAATGTTAACTATACGCTACTTTTCTCATTGATTAGTCCCTGAGAGTATCATTACTTTGTTTAGTCACTATTCACTGTATGTTCGATCTGACAACCACAGTAGCAGATTAATAATTAATTTATTGTCAGGCAAAAATCATGATGGATGTTATCCTACAGGTGCTGTAACATCAAACCTAAGCAATGAAAACTGTAGATCAAAACAGTTTAGTTACGAGTAATGTTACACTTCTAATATAACAAGATGTTAGATGCTTGCACATAAAGCTACCATATCATTTTATAATAAAGTTCAAAATCGAATTACAACTTTTAATTGAAGTAGCTTGACATCCAAACATCACTCTTACATTCTAGGTAAGTATAAGATATAGTTGTACTTGTGACAAGTGGTGTATCTCATCCGAGTCATCCAGGTTACTCATGTCATCGATATTGCTCATATCATCAATATTGCTCATGTCTGCATCACTGAAGTCATCTCCTGATAGTGCCAGGCCCTCCGTCTCATTCTCAAGCTGTTCAATGAAACCACTAGCGCAGTATGGGCATGTGTAATCCTGGAATTGTAGGAAAATTTGTGTTATTATCATTAATATTATTTGCTTAGAAATGTTGGATAATAAGCATGCAAATAATTCATTAGATGTGAACTGCTGGCATGTTTAATATTTATTAAGAAACCAGATTACATATATTGCTGTTTATTTTGTAAAACAGTATTCTATAGACAGTGACAATTTACCAATACATAATTATTTCTCAAGGTCTTTTGATAAGAACAATTATGTCCTTGGTGACTCTGATTAGTCTGATTGAATATCCTTATTGACATCAATGACATTTGTAGTGCTATTGTGAGGAGTAAGGATGCAGATTATTGAGTACATAGAAATGTGCACAAGCTCACAATACAAAAACCTACATAACACAAATGATGTAATTGCGTAAAATTGACTATTTCCGTCAATCCTGACCCCAGAACAATTTTGTAAAGAAATGTCACGCAGTATTGTGAACAGACCGGCTGCACCAATAGGAATCCTATGGGAAAATAGCCACGAAAATCTTGCCTCCTATCATACAGCTATGTGAAATAGATATGAAATTTCTTAGGGAGAACGTATTAATTGTCTTTATAAGAGAGGACTTAAAGGGAGGCCCAGCCTAAGAGAAATATAACCAAAACTATTGATTTTTACCTGCAAAACATCTTCGAATTCAATGTTACACCTGTGGCAGAAAAACCGAGCGGTGGGTCTCCGCTCTACCAAAGCGTCAGCCATTTTCAGAATATTACAGTCACAGTTTCACCAACAGATATTTAAAGTTTTAAATATGTGCTTGAGGATTGTGCTTTCAAACTCTCAACAAAAATTTAACAATCGCCATTTTTTTATAAGACATGCACAATCTATGGTCCAGTTATTTTTCAGTGAAAAACACAGATGATGCAACGATACAGATTATATATGGAATAAGGGCAATATTGTTGTCTATGAAATAAAAATCATATTTCTTCGAAAACAATATTTTGATTAAATATTTTTAAGTTATTTAGAATGGTTTAGTTGTGGTTTAGTTTCACTTGGGGCTTTTGTGTTATTTAAAAATATGTAATTAAAAAAATATTTTTATTTTCCAGTGTTGTCATGTTTTGGCAATGTGTATTTGTGACTGGCAATTCAATAACTTATCTGTCGTTGGTCGTTTGCGTGTTGCTGTGGGTCGTAATTATTTTAAATTATAAAAATATTGCTCACAACATGTATTTGACATCATATCGTAGTAATTTTAATGTTCATTATGATTAGTTCAAATAGAAAATACCTTTGAAGTAAAGTATTGTAATGTAATAGTGAATAATTTGCATCCAGATAGTGTAGTGTTTGCGCAAATATTGTTATCAAAAATATTTAAAATTAGTAAAATCATGTGGAAAACTGTTAATTTAATCAATTATCACCTTCCGTTCAACCTAATATAAGGATCTATGTATATATAGTTTAAAAACAGAGTTGAAATCGATCAAAGTGGGTCATCGCCGTGTTGGTGTTATTTGATTACAATGAATGAGAAAAAGTTGGTTCAAAACTTCAAGAGTTACATCAATGTATCTCCATTGGTAAGTTGTGACAGTGTTTTATCGAACTATACATTTGAGCGTGAGTTTTGGAGCAAATTTTGTATATACAATATTGCTGTGTTGTTATTTATTTTGATAGAGGTTAGAAAGTTGTTTCATTGACAACATTTACTTGATACAAGCTAAGAAACAATGATAGCTTAGTTTTAGGTTGCCTTAACATTAGATTTTTACCTTTATTGCAGAGTAAAGGGGAGAAAAATGGTTCATTGCAAGAGGTGAAGCCAAAACTTCTTAATGGTGAGTAATTAAACTGCAACTTCAGTTTCAGTAATCCTAGATGAGATCATTGTTAACTCTTTCAATATCTAACTGTCACAAATTGGGAAAAAAAGGAAATAAAATAAAGAATAGTGGATGAGTATCAGCAAACTTACTTATAAAGTATTCAAACTATATATTTTTGTCTGTCTGTATAAACCTTTGTCAAATAAAATTATATTTAAGTCTATAAATAGACTTGTAAAATGCATTTGGCATTTCTTATTTGACTACTCTGCGAATAAACAGTGAAATTGAATTACATTTTTATATTTCGGTAAGAATTTAAGTATGCAAAACCTTTTTTAATTCAAATTCTGAAACCCAAAGACAATTTCAACACTGCTAATATTTAACCACAAATGTATCGCAAATTTTTCATTGAAATAGAAGGGCAGATAGTGAAAACTCAATCAACTTAACCTGTTCTGACATAGATGTAAGAAACCTTCATTATACACAACGCATTTTACTTTCCCAAGAACATGCCTTAGAATTCTGTAAGTAACTGTATTTTTATGAGAGCTCTTAAGCCTCTTGCGGTCTCATATAAATAAATATTTTATTTTGTATTTACTAAAAATAGTATCAAATATCTTTATTTAACTATTAAAATATTGGCACATATAGAAAACAGAATCAATAGGTTTTTAAACTACCATTCCATTATAACAAATACAGTTGAGCATGGTATAAATTAAACTTTTGATAATTATTTTGCTTTAAACACTCCTCAATTTCTCTCCGTGATATTTCAAAAGGCACTGTGAATTGACTATATCATTTAGCTAGGAAAGGAAACAATAATTTATTGGTAAAATTAATACCAAATATCTACATATATAACAACATTTACCTCAACCACCTAAGCATTTCCTTCCATTTTTAATTTTTAATTTGGTCAGCTATTTGTTAGATTACGAAAGGTCAATGACACATAACATGTCATCTTAATTATGTCCTATCCAAGGGCAAAACAATGTAACCTGTTTATACTCAAATATTTTTATTTCATTTAAGTAGGTATAGAATAGTCATGATGCAAATTACAATAATAATCATATGTATGCGTTACGTACGCGTAACTGTATCGCCTTTTATGAATGCCTGGTAACTTGAGTGAGCCATAGTAAATGGATGATAGGAAGTGGTGTCCTATACACCAGTTGATAGTGTATTGTCATTCGCAATGGGTGTTCTGAGGAAAGGTATGTTATAAAAACTAATCATTATTTTTATTTCTCGCGAGTTATGCTATCCTAATAACTATCTAATTAATTTTACACATAATTATCGTTATCAGTGACCTTGTCCACGGCATTCTTATCGAAATTAAATTATCACATACTGACAGCACAAAATGTAATATAAATTTTATTTACGAATTGCAAGGACAGTGTATGCCCTTGCTATTTGTAAACAATACGAATTTTTAATCACAAACCAAACATGCAATTCATAACGAAATTAATGAAAATGTTTTTCTATTTATTTCATTAACATTAACGCGTCAATGAGAAATATCTTACGGAATGTTTAAAAATGGCGATGATGCACTCAAGATTTCCTTGAAATACCATAAGCCTAAGAAGTAAGCCGCCAAAATACATACAATACCGCAAATATTTTCGCTCCACGATACAGCGTGAGTCAAAGACAACGTTCACGGTCACTGCGGATTGCGCAAATCATTCTTATTTCCTTCTCCGAATCGCGATAAAAACTATGGTCCAGATCGCTGAGTGCGAAGGCCGCTAGAAAGTCCAAATTGTATCAGACGATGAAGTAAAACTAATTTGTTTAAGCGGTAACGTCTCGCACATAACAATTTCCTCGGTTGTTATGAAGCCCTGGTCACTATCTTGTTTTGACGGTCAATATACTCTCCGCGAAAATTATATACAATTTTCAATTTTATTGGAATCTAGACCTAAATTCTAAGTTAAAATTGCAACAATAGCCTGATGATTACCAGTGTGAAATAGGATAGTGCTTATAGACAAGTCGCTGGAACAGTTTTACCAAATGCAAGAACAACCTGTTCTTTCGGTCTAGTAATTTTTACTTTACGTTCTTACAAATAATGTTTCTAAATACCATCATGCGTCTCTAATATTTCCCAAAACAGTAATATTTTTGTGTAGATTTCATATAGTTACTTAAAACGGCTCAAACCCATAAGTACCTTCTTTAAACCACCGCTGCAATGCTAAAATCTTAGAAAAATAGGGGGCAAATTGATAAATAGCGTCCTTTCGTTATAGTTGGCCATCCGCGCGAAACAGGCGGGCTACTAGTGTAAATATAAGAAAATATGACAAGGACACGGACCACTGGGCCGTTGAGGACTAGGTAAAATTAACAAACACCAATCCCAATACAAATCTAGAAAATTACTTATAATTTGCTAGACCAACGGAAAATCAGTAATTTTATTCCAAAAATAGAGGGAAAGTGAAATATATGTATTTACTTACATCGATATATTTGAAATCGAGTGTGGTTAACAGATGCATTGTATACGTAGTCGATGCTTCATTATTCACAACAACAATACATGTAAACTCCATTAAATAAGAGATATTAACTTTGTTAATCAGAGCGCGGTTTACGTAACACAATATTTATAAATTAAAATTCACGCGTGACTCACTGTCCGCGAGTAGGTCGTTGCCGTTTTTTTCAAGATACCATGTTTATTGTAACTTGAAAATTGACGTAAATAATGTATTATATGATATTTTTCTTTTTCTTATGTAAACGCACGCTAATGTAATCACTAACGTCGTTATGTAAACAAATCTTAAATCTTCGACATGAAAGTAGTATTATGTTTACTTTCATAACAATAATAGCTCTTCGTTTCACATTGATCGCTTACATTATTCATCCTATCGCGCTGTACAAATAGTTTCGTCAAAAATTATGCTTAAACAAGCCAGACTGGAGAAAAAGTGCGTCATTACGTACCTACCAGCAAATCTAGTGCAACGGAGCACTACGTCAATAACACGTCACCTTGAGAAATCTCGCGATGACGTGAACCCACGTAACAAAAAAGTCCGTCGCAGTCATGATTCTCGGCGCTAGAAAAAACCCTTGTACTCACACTTTCAGTTTGTTTACGTCTCATTTTGAATGATACTTAATACTTAATGTCGAATCATAAAGAAAAGTACGTCAATACAATTAAATAAATAAGACTAAACATTCCTACATTTCACTAATTTGCCAATAGATAATCGTGACTATGATTTCCATAAAATAAAGCCGAAAGTCACAATGCGACTGATAGACAAATAAATGCTGAAAACAATACTATTTTATAAACAACTAGCTACTCTAGCGCGGTTTCACCCGCTGCTCAGTTCCATTTGATCTTAGCGTGATGTTTTATAGCGTATAGCACTCAGGAACATTGTAGCTATCTATCAGTGAAAGAATTTTGGCAATCCTACCAGTGGTGCCAAAGATTAGCCCCTACATACAAACTTACAAATTTTACCTCTTTATAATATTAGTGTAGAAGTATAGATTTAGCCCTGCGCTGGGAGGAAACATCTCCGATAAAACAGGAACAATAATATGTGGATCATATAAATATTTATTGGAATGGAAAGCACCTAACCTAAACCACACATCATTGCCGACCGATCGATAAATCCAATAATCCTATTAGACTAAGTAACTAAAACTATTGCTTAATAGCTCCTATGTTAACTTTTTGTGGTGTGGGAAAAACGTCAAATAGCGTCTCCCATCCTGGAAGTGTCAGACTCTTACTGACTAAAAACCATCCCGTTCTTTCTCCTACTTCATTATGCGGTATGCCCTTGCAAAACGCCGGCTGTTATGTGGTAATTTATTTATTTATTTATTTAAACTTTATGCAACAAAACATTACATAGGCGGACTTAATGCCGTAGGCATTCTCACCAGTCAACCTTAGGGTGATGCAGAGAGAGTATGGTAGGTGCAACAAGAAGAGAACTTTGAGACGATAAAAAGATTTAAAAATAATAAGAACACTAAAATAAATATATATATATGTAGAATATTATAATAATACTGGTAGATGGTGGAAGATAAATAAAAAAAAAATACTCAATACATACTCTATATACTTACATAACTAGTATACATATATATATATATATATTTATATATATATGAATAATATTATACACAGTGAATACATAACATAAGAGTTTTATGATGATGGTTCTAACAACAGTCCATTCAAAATGTGCTTACGCAATTCAGCCTTAAACGATTGCTTACTGGTCGCCTTCCTGATTTCCAAGGGCAACCCATTCCACAGGAGAATGGATTGAATGTAAAAGGATGAGTGGATAGTATCAGAGCTATGAGAGGGACAATGAAGAAGTAGGTTATGAGAAGAGCGAAGATTTTTGGAATGACCAGAGTAGCGGTAGAGTATTTTTGGAATTTACTGTGCTTACAGAATTCCAATTCATGTAAGAGCAGAAAATGATGTTCTACAGTCTCTTGATACCTATGTTAATAATGGGCTTTTGATGTCATCAGGGGAGCTGGTCACAGGTGCGGCGCACAGCGTGGTGATGCTGACGCCGCTCAGCGAGTGGGACCGCGGCAGGTTCGGCTCGCTCTTCATCACCAACTACAAACTGTCCTTCGTGCCCTTGGAGAACTCAACCAATGATGTGAGTACATACACATGGATGTCTTGCATTCCATGGAGGAATGGAACAGCAGTTTTTCTAAATTTATTAGAACAAGATAAGAAGAATAGTATAATAGAAGTAGAACAGGACAAACAACCTCATTTTGTCTATAAACCGCATATTTGGTGTAACAGGGCTCGTGAAAAGAAAAAAAAACAAGATGCAGTTGATGCCAAATGTACATATTAAAAACTAGCTACTCTCGCGCGGTTACACCCGCTGCTCAGCTCCATTTGACCGTAGCGTGATGTTTTATAGTCTATAGCACTCAGGAAAATTGTAGCTATCTATCAGTGAAAGAATTTTGGCAATCCGACCAGCGGTTCCAAAGATTATCCCCTACATACAAACTTACAAACTTACAAATTTTACCTCTTTATAATATTAGTATAGAAATATATTTGCAGATTTTTCCTAACGTAGATAATTATGTTAGAAATTGAAATCTTCAATGAATAATCGTTTAAACCAGCCTCATATTATCCTCGACTTGTCTACTGCAATTAATAAATAGGTATATAGCAACTTGACTCATCTTATACAAACAGTTATACCAAAACAAATATTAACTAAATGGATTATTAAACTAAGGAACTCCCCGACGGGGTAATACATTAGTAACACTATTTGTAAAAGGAGTATGTAGGCGTAAACTTAAGGAAAATGTAAAATAATGAGATAAAAGAGAGCCTACTGTCGGGGAATTTTGAAGCAGAGACTTACATTTTGAACTCAACAAGCGCACTTACGACCGCTTACGCCAAATGTATTGATTCTAATACAAGCGATAAATCTCCTACGTCAAATTCAATACTTTTATCCAAATAACAAACACTATACTTACTCTGCTATGAAAATTCTATGAAATGGCAAGTTAGCGTCATCTAGCTCATTTCTATCTTAAACTACACTCTGCTCGTCTCCTATAAATGTAGTAGGTAGCATGATGTTTTATAGCCTAAAGCCTTCCTCGATAAATGTACTAACAAACACAAAAAGAATTATTCAATTCGAACCAGTAGTTCTGGATATTAGCGCGTTAAAACAAACAAACAAACCAACTCCGTTGTAATATTAAGTATAGATTAAAAAAGAGGTAGGAAATATCGACATTAAGGTGTATCATTAACGAATGTATTTCTAAATTTTTCAATATTATCTTGTATTGTAACGTGTCCAAATAATTGATTTTTGAATAAAGAAACAACCTGATTCTTAGTCCAGTAGTGTCATGAGGTGTTTATTTTTGTTTATCCAGGAGTACTGCCAAAGGAACTATTTGCTTGGCGCATTCGACGTGCCATTGACTGGGGTTGGTGCTGTTTGGCTCACTGATGGTGGTCCGCAGCGACGGCGGCGGCTCATGCCCTATGGAGACATGCCTGGCAAAGTAAAGGGGCTGCAAGTTATATGCAAGGTAAATTCATGTCTTTACAATGCTCTTAAGAAACATCAAATAGATTTTTGACTTTCTAAGGACCGTTTTTGATCTAATTTATATAAATGACTAGCTTCCGCCCGCCCTTCGCCCGCGCGGTAGGTTGATAAGAAGCCTATGTGTGTTCCACGGTATATCCTATCTCTATATTTTTATTTTAACCATATCGGTCCAGCCGTTTTCGCCTGAAAAAAGAACAAACATACACCCATACATTCTCACACACTTACATTTTTTATTTGTTATTAGTAAATGGTCTTCTGAATTATATCTGGGTGACTGAAACAACTGCAAGTTATAAAAATAGTTCTTGCATTGGATATAAATCCTAATATAATAGACAAATCAATATTTTGCCTCAACTAAAAAGTATTGGAGAGCCAATTCTACATACTTCAGTCAAGGACTCCCTAACAAAATTTATGAATAATAAAAAGAACAATATTTTGTAATTCATTCATTGTATTTTACTGTACATTGTGCATTATATTGTACAGAAGAAAAGGGTAGTGTGGTGCAACGTTTAAAAGAAAATATCGATAGAAGTTATCGATATGACGCTTTGTTCCACAGATACAAGTACGAAAATAGATTATTCACAGATATTCGTTAATTTTTTCTACTATGTACGCACCTATGTTTACTAAGTTTACATAGGCTATCTATACATATAGTCTTATACAGATAAAAGTGTGGATAACTCATTATTCACTAATTTCTTTCTATATTCGTCAACATAAAAGTGAGAATTTAAAATTCTAATTGGACATAAAAGTACATTCAGTTGTACCCAAACAATATTATTTTGTTTATTCATACTTGGTGCAGTCGTGTATCGTACAGATAAGATGTAATCATTCATGAAACGTCAAAAGATTATTACTTATTTTCCTTAAGTGTTTTTTTTAAGTTCTCATAATCGTTTCCCAATAAAGTAAAAGATTCGTTTTTTCCCGTTACTTTGTACCTTAGATCTATAGTTAGACAATCGTTTTTTTTCTTTAAAAAAAACATTGCCGCACACTAGGATTTTCTCCTGTGTCGTGGGTGCGTTTACAAACATTTAATTTCACGTACCCCAAATCGCGTTTACTATTTACCCAACGAAATATAAAAAAAAAATAGTATCAGTAGATAGGTACTTATTATTGTTAAATGTATACATCCAAATTCCAAACAGAGAGAGACAATTCGTTATCAACATGACTTTTGAGAGATGCATTCTTTAATACAGTACTTGCTGTGCCCTGCGGTTTCACCTGCGTCTGTAGATAGTGTAAATTCTCAACAGTGAGAGAATTTTTCAAATCAGTCAAAAAAGTTCCGAAACTATTCAGTTCACGAAAAAAAAAATCAACCAAATATTTCCTCTTTATAATATTAATGTTGATATTTTAAGAAACATTAATTCTCAGAACTTTGTTCAGTTTTGCATTCAGTGCTATGATCTACCACTACACACAATACCGTAATTGTCACTATCTCTGAACGAGAATTGAATAAAAATTGGTTCATTATTTTTGAGTTGTACTTTGTATCATATTACTTAAAGATTATTTTTCAATATACATATAAGTTTAAGCTATTATCAGCTAATCAAATTGTGATTATAAAAAGTTTATAATCTTATTTTCATTAATAAGATCGTTAGTAAACTCCCGCCTTTATGGTATAGGTCGGAAAACGATCATGCGGATTACCTGATGGTAAGCAATCAGGGTCGCCCATGGACACCCGCAACACCCAAGTAGTTACGAGTGCTTTGCCGGCCTTTTAGGAATAAGGGTTTGGGTTATTAAAGGATTGGGAAAGAATGGGGAAAATGGGACCTAATGGGTCTCCGGTAACCTTACTCACACGGCGAAACACAACGCTCTATCCATTAACATAGCTCACACAAGTGTTACATTCACAGATTAAATATAGTTAGTACAGTACAGATGTGTTAGCAATCCGTTCGGGTCACTTATCTAATCAGATTAGCGCGTGACTCAATGTCACATGGATAGCGAGCGGATATGGATATGTAAAGAGGTTAAGACTTAGATCCATTATGCATATAGGACATAGGTACATCACATCAGCCTATAAGTGCCCACTGCTGAGTAAAGGCCTCTTCTCACACGGAGAAGGTTTTAGTGTAGCTTTAGTCACTACGCTTGCTCAAGCGGGATTGGCGATTTTATACTTAAAATAAACTAGTGCTCCTTACCATCAACGATTGCATCACTGCTTACCATAAGGTGGGATCGCAGTCAAGCCCTAGTTTAAAGCAACTAAAAAAAAATTAGTAAAGGTATATAGGACCATCATAATTAGGTGACAGGACGAAAGCCGTGGTTGTGGGGCAAGCGCAATAAGGCATCACGGCCACGGCCTAGAGCAGGAGAAGGAAGGGAGGGTTTTTAGTCAGTAAGAGTCTGACACTCCGTTATGCCTAACCCTGGACAGGAAAAGTCATTTGACGATTGTCCCCTCACTAAAAAAAGGATAGCTAACGAGCAGATTCTTTACCTGGTGGTAAGCACGGCGCCGCCCATGGACATTCGAAACGCCAAATGAGTTACGAGTGCGTTGCCCGCCTTTTGGGAATTGGGGAGGGATAGGGGGAAGGAAAGTATTGGACCTCAGGTAATCTCAATCTCAAGGAGAAAAACACAAGGCAGGTGGTTGTTTGACGGTTTTCTGTTAATTTTCTGCTCCAAGTTTTAGTTACGGTTCCAAATACAAATGTTATTCTACTATCACACCAATTAAGCAAACAAGATTACTTTACCGTTTAAACCGACTTTTTTAAAGATATGATTGCTACAAAATGTAGCACACACCGGCTTATCCGAACTAATAATTTAGCCCGTCATACAATTGTGACTAAACAAACAATAACATACCTTAAGTATGTCATAGTAAAGTTAAAATTTAATTGACACTTATTCATGTGGTTGATACGAAAAAATCCCCGGTTTACAGATATATAATCAATCTGCTATTTTGCTGTTGTTGTTATGTAATAATAACAGGTGAATAAATCACTTGATTAATTATTTTCTTTAAACACAAGATTATTGTCCCAATTGGTGTCATATATGAATTAAAAAAATAAAGTTTAATTGTGTTACTGATTTAGGGCCTGTTTCCGAATGTCTGAGTGATCGCTATGTAGACCAGACAGATTTGAATATAGAATGTAATTTGTACCCTAACTATGAGCAGCATAACTTTATCATCGATACATTTTAAAGTTGCTCATCACTATGATTTTTCTCCTAAATCGGGCATCAATTTGTGGATTACAACGTATTGTTCCGTGCGGCATACGAACCTCCAACACCGCAACAATTGTGCAGATTTTAAATCAATCAAAACATTGTCTGATATTAACTTTTAAAGCAATAACCATTCTATTGCAGAACATGAAAGTCCTAACATTCAGCTTCGCAAACTCACCGATAGACAACGGAAGAAAGATTGCCCTCGCACTGATGCACCATGCCTTCCCGAAGCGACACGACCTACTCTTCGCATTCGAGTACAGAGAACCATATTACCCGACACTACCCTCCGACATGAACATGTTTCAAAGGCCAGGGGATTGGAAGAGGGAACTAGAACGGTGTGAATGCCCTCATTGGAGGATAACCTGCATCAATGGAACATCAGACGCCTTCATGTTAACGGCAGGAGAAACCCTAATAGTACCTAGTTCGGTCTTAGATTACAATTTGATGGAATCCGCGAGACATTTCCGATCAGGTCGGGTGCCTATATGGGTGTGGGGAAGACCTGAAGGCGCGGCGTTGTTAAGGAGTGGAGAACTGTTGAGTACTGAGCAGTCGGCGACGGCTGAGAGTGTCTTGTTGGAACAGGTATTTTTTTATGGTGTTAATTCATCATCTTTTAGCCTTTTTCTCTTCAGAGCAAGTAAAAAAATTAATACTTAGAATACTTATTCTAGGCGGGATTATTGGTTATTAAAACTATTGAATTTAGATTATTAGAAGTAATATTTATTGCCTATAATCCTCAATATGTAGCAAAGTCCTTATGAATCTCAGAATAAGCTACTGATTATTATATAGGTAATTTAATCCTGTCTTATCATCGACTTGAATAGACAATTTTCCTGTTGTATTCTCGAAAAGTCGACTTACATAGCTAACAGAAAGTTATAAGAAAGCAGCACTAACGCCTTATAATCCGCATGAAATCGGTTCAGAAGTTAATCTAATTATACCAAATCAATCGTGCTTCGAATTGTTTCATTTTTTACTCGTAGAAATAGGTGCAAAACCCAAGTCTGGGCCAATCGATTCGCCAAGCGTCGCGGACGCTCGATAAACTTGTCTACAGTTTTAATGTCAGTCGAGGAATATCCGATAAAGTTGTAGAGGTCATTGAACTCTTAGATTATACATTTTTGTTTAAGTTTTAAGTGGCAGGTAAGGCTGCGGTATAACGTATGATACGACTTTCTTTTAGCCAAGTATTTAATTGTAGCTCAGATCCCTTATTTGATTTACTTAATTTATTTTAATACTAGGTGCAATATACGTCATTTGTACCCTATTATCTTACTGCATGTCTTTTCGTTACAAATCTCAACCGTTACACCATAAAAATAAAGTTTTAATTCACAGGTGCGTCGCTCCCATCCGAAATTAACGCCGCCCCACGTACTTTACCTCTGTGGCAATACATTTACGAATGCTGGTGGGCCGGGCATTCTTCCGCCGTTGGCCACCTTACAGTCCTCGTATAAGAAACTTGTCGAACTATGCACACCGACCACACTTGGACAGTTTTGGGTAAGTCAGATCTATGTTCCAAAAAAAAAAAAACAGTACAGAGCTACTAACTAACATTAATCCTTAATTCCTCTTAAATCCTTATCCCTATAACGCACTAGTAAACTAGTACCTCCTCTGGTGTTGCGGATAGGAAATGGAATAAGAAAATGAAATGGTTTGAAAGAAATTGAAGAAGATTATTTTTAAGCGTAAAATTATGCATATAAATGTGCTAATGAACATAAATCTTGATGCAAGTCAAATTACCAAGTAAATCAGGTATAAAAAGAGGCTTCTGCTCACAAACTAAAAGTTACCGCAAAGACAAAAACATAGCAAATAAATAGTCCTTGAAAAGATAATTTTCTAAGAACTTTATAGCTAAAATTAAAATAAATCACCTCAGCAAACAATGATAATATAGCACGCTGCGGTTACCCAACTGCTTGGATTATGTTACATTTAGTTTTCCTCTTATTTACTCGATTTATGAATGAAATATTTTATAATTTCCTTTTATACTTATCTAGTGTATGTACTCAGTATGAGTAAATGTGGTTTGTTTGTGTTATGCGATATTTTGTAAACATCTTCGTTAATTTCGCTGCTTGTCTCATTGCAACAAATGTTACATTCGTAGGTATATACGACAGATTTGTTTTTTAAAACTATAACACCATTCGTAGTCCTTTAATTTTAATTGCGCGGCGCGCGGCTCATATATCGTAAACCTAATAATATTTTAAAGAAATAACGTACAACGTTACACATGAAATACAAGTGTGAAAATGCGGGAGACCCATGCTTTGGCACGAATAAGTCGTTTCGACCATCGACCATCATGGCCTCACTAAAAACATTTGTGTGAACCAACCAAATGGTCGTGTTTCTCCTTCCTCCGCTCCCCTCCCCAATCCCTAAATCTCCAAAAAAACCTTATCCTCAAATTGTCGGCAACGCAATCGTAACTCCTCTGGTGTTGCGGGTGTCCATAGACAGCGCTGATTGCTTACCATCAGGCGATCTGTATGCTCGTTGGTCTTCCAACCACACAAAAATTATATTTTTATGTATTGTACGAACATATACATATACAATATATAAAATACAAAAATCTTTTTGCATTTTATAGTTTCTTTTGCGCAAAAGGTGTATCTTTGGTTTTTCGCAAACTACGTGCGCTTACTTTGCACAAATTTAAGAAATTTCCAATTAATTTATTTCTTATTTTCAATCGTACAGATGCAGGACTCCCAGTATTACTCGATCCTTGATTCGAGTCGGTGGCTGCGCTACGTCGCTAACTGCATAGCCTTTGCAGACGACGCCGCCCAGCACTTGTCTAATAATGTCACCGTCGTCTTACAAGAAGGTAATATTATCACGAAATAAAAAAACAATAAATAACAAGTTTCGGATGAAAATGAAATGTATAATCCAGCTATAGGTAGTCGTGGCTGACTAAGGTCCTGCTTCTCACGCATGAGGGTGCGGGTTCGAAACCTGGCAAGTACCAATGTGACTTTTTCCGAGTTATATACTTTCTATGATTATTTGACATACAGTGAAAGAAAACATCATGAGGAAAGCTGGACTTAATCATGGTTTAAATTGCCATTCCGCCTTGAGTATGGTAAAAAAATTCTATTCCAATCATAGTTTTTTTTTTTTCATTTTTTTATTTCAATTGATGTCGTTCTTTAATTATTCTTGAAGTTGCAATAGCGTTATGGATCGTTTACCTACAATGTTTCGTTACATGTTTCAGGCGACGGCGTAGATTACTGTTCAGTAGTCTCCTGCCTCACGCAGCTACTAGTCGACCCTCACTTCCGCACGATAACAGGCTTCCAGTCGCTTATACAGAAAGAATGGATTGCACTCGGCCACCCCTTCTGTGATAGGTGAGTAATTTATACTAATACAAGCGGACCCTAAATCCTCTACATATCAAATTTCAGCGAAATCGTTAGGTCCGTTACCGAGATCACACATGCTTTTTCAAACAATCAGCGCCATCTGCCGGGCTAATTTGTAGATCTAAACCATCTAGGGCGTTACTCAAACGCATACAGAAAATTCATTTAAATCGGTCAAGCCGTTTAGGACGATGTCAATTACATAAACACGTACATCAGAATTATATCTTCTTACGAGTATATATAAAAATGAATTGCTGTTTGTTAGTCTCGCTAAAACTCGAAAAGAGCTGGACCGGCGTGGTTTATTGCGATCTTGAAATATTCCTGGATATAGGTACAGGGAAGGTTTAAAAAGTCCGAAAAATTACAAGGATAATTTGAAAAAAACTTGAGGCGTTACGAAGTTTGCCGAGTCAGCTAGTATATTATATAATAAAGATTATAAAGTTGTAGAGTTTGTTTGTTTGAACGCGCAATCTCCGGGACTACTGATTCAAATTTCTATTTATCGAGGAAGACCATAAGCTATAAAACATCACGCTACGATATTTACGAGCCGAGCAGCGGGTGAAACCGCGGGACAGTAGCTAGTACCAGATATTTTACTAAATTCCTGTTTACCAGTTATTAGCAAAATATTATATTTATGTATTACCGCCTGATTCTATTCTCTAATAATTTGCTATTTCCTCTTAACAAGGAAACTAATCGTCCAATTTGAATAATGTTTCCTATTTATAAACATGCACTTACTAGATAATTGATTTTGTATTATTATAAGGATGATTTTACATGCTATAATATTATTTCACTACTGACATGATTTACTACTCAGTAAGTTGTCATCCTGAAAACGTGTTCACGTCTCGAACACTGAGAGACAATTGTGGAATTTTCCTCTCTGTGTAGCATTCTAAGATAATGATAATGGAAGTCTTTAAGAAAAACGGCTTTATAAGGTACTTTCCAACTAGTAAAATTAAAAAATAAAACACTTTTATCCAAACGTCAAAAACTATACTTTTCTATGAAATTTGTATGAAATACTGAGTGATGACGTCATAACATATTTGCGTCAAATAGCTTACTTATTTCTTAATAATTGGCTAAAAATAATCTAAAACTTAGTATATCGATCGATCGATAATAATAAAAGTATAGTTATTTTTCAATACTTTATTGTATTGAAACGTCGAATTAATTTATTTTTGACCTAGGAAACTACCCAATTATTGACAAAACACATATTTAAATAACTATCAATTCGTCTTCCAGATTCGGTCTCCCCCGGCCCGGCAATCCTAAAGACTCGACAGCTAAGGACACGACCTCCGCCCAGACCGCGCCAGTGTTCCTTCTGTTTCTCGACTGTGTCTGGCAGCTTATTCAGCAGTTCCCGGCAGACTTCCAGTTCACTGAGACATACCTCACGACTCTATGGGACTGCGCACATAATCATATCTTTGATACCTTCCTGTTTAACTGCGCTAGGGATCGCGAGCTTGCTGTGGCAAGGGTGAGTTCAACCAAACTATATCTTTTTTCGATTCTTTTTACGATTTTCTATTCTTTTGTTTTTCTGGTAAAATCAGTATTTTGTCAATACAAGTACTTGACAGCTACAAGTAATGTAATGAAATTGGATTTTATTGAACTTGTAGCATATTTTATGCCATTTGCAACAAATTTGCTTCTTAGTGCACCTACCATTCTCTCCGTATCAGGCTAAAGTATTAGTAAGGACTGGTAAGAATGCGGGCATCGAGTGCGCCTATGTAATACTATGTTGTATAAACATTTAATAAATAAATAACACCACCCATTTCATGTAATTTTTGTTATCTGTGTAGCTATTATGACCAAAATGTATCTGCTTTTCAGAACTTCGTACAAAGGCCTGTCTGGGACTGGGGCGAGCAGTTCTCAGAACAAGATAAGGCGTTATTCTACAACCCGCTGTATGGGATCAAACAGAATACCGTGCCATCACAGAGGCTCTGTGAGTACACATTGTAATACATATAAAAACAGACTAGTTGTTGCATTTTTTTAACTAATTGTCCCATCTGACTTTGTATCAACCCCATTCGGCATTATGTTATGATATTTGATAAGGAATTTATTTTTGGGATGACTCCCAAAAATAAGTGAGTGATGACAACTAAACAAATAAAATCCGACTCTCAAGTTTTTGCGTACTTGACTAAATTAATTTGTATGGCAACATTGTCGCATTAGGTGGTGTTTCTTTTATGCGATAGGACACAGCAAGCCAGCAGACGGATTATCTAATCGTAAGCAATCAGCGCCGCCCGCAACAGAGTTACGAGTGCGTCGCCGTCTTTTTGGGGATTAGAGATTCGTTTTTAGGTTTGGGGGAGGAAGAGGATTGGCCCTCCGGTAACCTCACTCACACGGTGAAACACAACGCTGAGATTGTTTCACGCCGGTTTTCTGTGAGGTCGGGGTATCCGGTCAAGCCGACCCATTCGTGCCGCAGCACGGCTCTCCATGTATAAATAAATAAATAAAATTTGTGTTTATTTTTTAGCGCAACCCACGTTCCCCATCAAGGGCGCGGCGGAGCTGCCCCGGCTGGAGGCGTGTACGTCGGTGGCGGGCATGGAGGTGTGGTCGCAGTGCTACGAGCGCTGGCTGTCGCCGCTGGACGCGCCGCTCGCCGGCGCCGTGCAGTACCACGTGCACAACTACGCCGCGCTCAAACACGTGCGTACCTCCTGCACACTTCTGCCGCCCTGCTACTCGACGGGGCTGCTCTTGTTAATTATGATTAGGGTTATGCTGCAGATAATTAACTCTTTACCTTATGATACGGTAGTTTCATGTCAAAAACGATACTTTTCTATGAAATTTATATAAATCATCACATTTATATCTGATGTCACGAAACTTAAGACTCCTCCTACCCCTTTGAATGCCATATCACACCTCGTCCATCCCCGAGCCTCCCTTTACGTGTGACGTACTTTATGGATGTAGTGAAACAGAAGCTTAATATTCTAAAATATGTTGACAGATCCACCAAATAAAGGAGAAGCTGCCGTCCCTGTCAATAATGTCGGAGCGGGCGTGTAACGGCGAGACGGAGCCCCCGGCGCGGCGCAGCGTGCCCCGGTTCTACCCGTTCAGCCTGAGCCGCGGCGAAACGCTGTCGCCCGGCCTCGACGCCATGCAATTGAGCCTCATCGACGCCTCGCAACTCCTCGACTCACAGTCCCTTCTCAACGCACCCGACTAATTACTACAACGCAACCAAACACGTCGCTAAACAGCTAAGCTATTCCATCTGTCTTGTACTTATAACAATCGATAGTGCGACATTGACAAACATACATATTATGGTACGTTTATACGCTTGCCGAGACTTAGCAAACGTCCACAAACATAAGCATGTGAACAGGGTGTTTGGCGTGGCTTGCAAGAGCTTAACTACTCCGGTCTGGTGTCCGTTTTTAGACACAGATCAAAGGAAATTTGTGACAAGCGTTTGCGATGTATTTACACATTGGTGATGTGAAAAGGCAAAAGCTTGTAAACGTTTGACAAGTCTCAGCAAGCGTGTAATCGTACCATTACATTATACAACGTGTCTAGCCAAAGCAGGCTTCTATTTATCTCTTCAAGTAGTTTGTTGCATACATGTCTAACTAGATTCGCTTCAACGGTTCACTTGTTGATTTTAATAATAATACTATTTTGAAATTGTTCAATTATAACGCCATGATGTCGCTTTTAGTCTTTTTAAATCTGTTACGAATGCCTTGAAAATATTTATACGTATGATAACTATACTAAAAACTTGCCAATATACAACAAGACAAGAATAACTCGGTTTAATGGTAAAATGAAGAGTTATTAAAAGTACTGAAATGGATAGACTTTGTTTTTAAAGTATGAATGTAAAATATATTTATATGTTAAATCAGAGTTTATACAAACTTTGAATATCATGTTTTCTAGTAAATTGTATAAGTAGTCTTCCCCGTTTATCATTACACAAACAGTAACAGTGAGTGGTCAACACTGAGTGAACTATATAGCAAGAACAAGTCAATGAATCGATCAAGGCTCCTGGTTTAGCGGGGCGCGCCGCCATCTTTGTGGACTATGAAATAAATTAATATATTCGTGTTACAATAAGACGTACATAATAATTAAGCTGTATATATTAGTAGTCACTATTAAACATATTTTTATAAGTTCCCTATGGAAAGGAATTGATTGAGAAATGTATATTCCAATTTTTAAATAATAATAGTTATATTTTTTATAAACTATCGTTCTATGGTGTGACCATTATAAAAATTATACGAAATTATATGTCTGTCTGTGTGTTTAGTGGAGCACGCAGACGTTATTGGGCCATTCCTGAATTATTATTCCATTAAAGAAGATTGGTATAATTATTGTATTTCGCTTGAATACTAACAGAGCTTACTTTGTTTTAATATCTCTTGAAGATGTCTGTTCACTATTTGACAGGTAGAATGCACTTAACACATTCAGCCTGTGCGTTCTATACATTAATGTATTGAACGCACAGGTGCGTCGAGGGCACACAGAGTAGCGTAAGGAAACGCACATACGCGTCGGGGGCACTGAATGTGTTAAATGAAACATATGGCAGCAATCTGTCGCGTAGTGAATGGGCATCATAATATAGGAATAAGTACTTTGTTACCACTGTAGCCAGGACACAGCACACACTAAATATACTTCATTACTCGTTAAGACACTCGACTTTGTCTTACTAACTAGACAAAAAACCAAATCTAACTTGTAATAAAACATTGTTTATGTTGTAAATATGGCAGCTTAAACGCTTACTTAAGAACTTTGTTATTTTAATATTTATTTCCTTATTAATTATAATGATATGATTATAATGTACTAGACAACTGTTCAGATGTAGTATTGAACTGAGAATGTTATTTTAACGTGTATCTTATATGTCCATATATAATTAAAACTAACATAGTTGTGGCGTAGTTAGTCAGTTGAATACAATGTATTCACTTATCTTTATTAACAGTACAAGTATATACGATGTTTCTTTTTATACCGAGTTTATATTAAGAAATTGCTATTTAATTCTGTATCCTTTATCATGTTGACTCCTATTGGCTATTGTTGTTTGGTCGACCATCAGTGGCTTGTCGATACAGTAATTTACGAACGAATGTTAAATCGTCATGCTCTATTGTTTTCGACAGAAGTTGCTGACTTGGTTCGCTATACGTAAAATATCCGACATCACAATATTGACACGAAACACAGGCCAAGCGGAAACTTCTGTTTTATTATGTTTATATTAGTTTTTTCTATTAGATATCAACTTAGAGCTAATGTGAATTAAGTTGAAAATTGCATGCGGGGTATTTTCCGCTTGGTTTGTTGGTCCTGTCCTTGTTACCTAATTGAAATATTGGCTGCCTGTCAGGCCGTGATCCTTGTTAGAGAGAAGTGTAAGAGAGCAATCATTGACTCGCCCCCAGTGTGACCACGGCCTATCTAACTTGATCAAGTTGGCGAACACGCAGTATTGTTGTAAGTATAATTAACTTTATCATGTAGAAGCGAATATTTATGTAATTTATAAGTTTACGAACTGTTAATAATATAACTGAGTAATTAATACACGCGGCTTCGCCGTTATAGTATCATAAACATTGCACGGACGGGAATATTTGTACCAGACGAGAGATGGGATGCATGTTACTTATAGTTTAGTCGATTTTGTAATCGATTACAATAGTGAAAATGTAGCCACATAGTTTTAATGTCTAAGAAAGCAATGTCTAGAATGATTTTGTCACTCGACTAATCCCCGTCTCGCCGAAAATCAGTGCCATCTCGTCTTTTGACTTTTTAATAAAAAATATGAATGTATCAAAAATATTCCGCATAGTAAGTAGTAAAATCATGTATCCCAGTGCTGTCCAAATCGTATGTTGAAATGATTCGTACCAAATTATCTGTGTACCTGTTACACACTAATGTTCAAATGTGAAGAATAAAGGAGTTACGAGATGTGGTCGTTTTATTTAAGTATACAACAGTTTAGCATAATATACATATATGAATACTTTGTCTTTTAGTTATGAAAGGTATAATAATGTCTTTTAAAATCACAATATGGTTAAAAATCTTTGAAAATATTCAACATACATTTTAAGAAAGTGTTATCTCTGTCGGACGGATCATACGTCCTAAGGCTAACTAAACCAGATTTTATGATGACTATCCGAAATTGCAAACAATTTCTATTCAAATGACACATACCTACTTACCACCTATATAATATTAGGTCTTTACCTACGAAATTGCCGTTCTGCAGTACTGGCCATTTCAAATCAAAATAGTTTTTGTTAGGCTAAGGCTAATTAATTTTTTTTTTTTAAAACATGGGGTTATTTTTCCAAAAGTAGTCATTTGTTTATTGATTAGTGTTAAAATTTCATCGAAATCCAAATAAAAAAAATCCTTTAAATTTTTTCATGCAAAACGGCAATTTCATAGGTAAAGACCTATTATTTACTTTAGCAAATATTTCACAATACAACCCTTAGCCTTAGCACTAAACTATCGGATCCGGTAGGGAAATCAGAAATTGATTAGTACGCCATCTACCGCATCCATCACTTAACCACACAAAGATCGTTTAAAAATACGAACAATAATTGGAACACAAACACACCCTAATTTAAATGTTAGTTTGTGTAATTATAAAATTTGTACCTCAATCAGGCTTGTCCATAAAACTTTAGGACAACTTATACTAACCAGTATCTCATTGAATTTTCGATTATGTTTAAAATCTTATATAGATAAAAATGTAGTAAGTAGTAGGATAATGGCCAATTGCCACTAAACGTATTTTCTGGGATTTAGAACTTAGTCAATATTTACATATAGGCGGAATTGGCGTGTAATTTGAACACATCGTTGCATCGCTTGTATCCGCCACTCAATTCATTCATACCCACGCTAACATACCGGCTATTCATCCTCTCAATAATACCATAATTTATTTTTGAAATAACATCAATTCGTAAATATAATAATAAAAATAGAGATTCAAGAATTATAACGGCTTGGAGTCGTCACTCGTTTTAGCAGCCTTTAATTTATTTATTTTGTCGTAATGTTTCTTGGCTATCCGGAACTTGTTCACCAGCATCGTCCGTTGCCAGCTCCATGCTGCCCACCGCTGTTGAAAAACTTTCGTACTAAATATCTTATGAACTGGTCATTAGGATATTATTACCTACACTGCACGACTAAATATCTTACTTCTTACTAATATTATAAATGCGAAAGTTACGTAGTTTGGATGTTTGTGCCTCACGCCAAAACGGCTGGATGGATCTGGATGAAATTTGGCACAGGCATAGGATATACGATAGGAGATAGGCTACTTTTTATTACCATACCACGAGGGCGTAGCCGCGGGCGGAAGCTAGTTGGATATATTTGTCTTTACGTATGATACATGAGCATGGCTCCATTGGGTGCATAACTCGGCTTGCAATAAATTAACTGATGAAAGTCTGATAATACATTAGTATTATTTCAAACAAAAAGATGGTTTGATGCCAGAATTTCAACATTTTTCGCATATATTCAGTTAAGCAGGTGCATATCAAACAATTTTTCGTATTAAAACTATGAAGAACGCTATAAGTTAGTTTTTCTCAAGCATTGCTGTAGCCTATTCTAATTTTTCAAGAGAATAGACGCACAATGTGAAATGCGTTTCATATTTTTTAGAATGCTAAAAAAATATAGTGTAAGTTTCAACTGGCCCAAAACGAGTATCGATTTCTACAAAAAATATTTGTAAAATAAAACATGCAACATCAACAAACCACATTTTATTCATGTTTAACGAAATAAGTTAAACAACCAACAAATAAATTCTCATTCATAAAACCAAAACCTCTACTTGCTTTGTTCTCTATTAAAATATAGCCACAGCTAAAGGACAGAATGTCTTCAATGTTTGGACACACTAACTAAATGTCACTCAAATGTGCACTGTATGTAAATCTCAGTTTTTTATGAACTATATGAGACTTGTCTCTATAAGGGTTATAATCTCCACCAATCAAGGCCCAGTCAGTTTCATATCAAGACCCAAATTGAAGTGACCTATAAAATTGCAATGAAAGGGACTACCAAACATTAAGACATCCATAATTATATAAAAAAATACATTTTATTAAAATCCAATAACTAAATGCAGCGGATATGTTTAACACATATTTGAGACAACTACAGTGGTATTATAGTGACTTTATTGTGTTATCATGTTCAAAGCATACAATTTATCATTCAATAATAATTTCATTTTCATTCAATAACAATGTATAAATTACACTATCGACATTTCAATAAAACAGGAACATAACACAGTCTCTACAAGTCACTAGAAGCCACAACTAATGCTAGACTAGCAAGAACAATAAGTAACTAAAGTTTTATAAACCGCCAACACTAGTAAATAGTAAGATTGCTGCAGTTCTTATTATAATACTCGAGACAACTTTCATATTTGTGCAAAATTAATAGTTACTAGTAAGTACTTGGATGTATCACGTCTGATCCAAATAGTCATAACAATAAAATATCGCAGTACAGCAATCAGTCTAAAACTATTTTTATACTCCTTGTCAGACGCGATACTTGGTGGAGTGTAAGAGTCGCCAGGACGAAGAGCATGTTGGCGGTTGTTGTGTGCGCGGTCAGGGCGTGGGTGCTGGCGCCCCCGAGCCGCACTCAGCGTCAGTTGTCGTCTTCATCATTCTCAAACATGTCGTTGTATTCTCGCGAATTTTCGTAATCTTTGAAGTCCTGAACAAACAAAATGATATGTTGTGAGAATGAATAAGAATACAACTTGAAACAGGCACTACTAACATTCATTTCTTAGAGATATCATCAGTTACCAAAGACATGTAAACAATTCGTTTAGATAGAGCTTTTCTCAGTAGGTGTATGTTAAGGACGTAAACTTATTTTAGCCATTACTTTAGTTTTTTCCATGTAACATAACATTCACACATGGATATATAGTTTCCTTCTATAAAACAAAGTAACATAATAATATCCAAAATTGTTCACATTCATGGTAAAACTGAAAATTATAAGCAAAGCAAAATTTCATCAGCTCAAGCAACAATAATTTCCATGAGAGATTAGCATCATATCAGTCTTATCTAAATGCTGTAAAACAGGCAACCATATAACACAAATACTTGAAATAAAAACAACATATTAAAAATAAAAAAAAAAAACAATATTGGTGCATCATTTGAAGTGATATGATAGATATAAGTTGCATATCATAATTTTGTTCTAATTTCTTGTTAGGTTACCATCATACCCAGTCAAATGCATTATGTTCCAGGTCATTGGCTGGTGAAGCTACTCTAGGTGTAAAGTGGAGCTTACTGACCTGGAACATGCCATTTGCGACTGCATATCCTGTCATGGCGATGGCTGCAAATAGAGCTGCAAGGATCTTGTTGCGGGTCTGATTTGGGAAGTTAGCTGCCTCACGATCTGATTGTGTGCCTGTAGATTGCTTTTTGGCATTCAGTCTATTGTATTCTGGAAATAGAAAAACATATTTATTAAGTAAATTCCAAATAGTTGCAAGTGCCACTATGTAGCAATTAAAATAGTTTTAGGTATGAGTGATAGGCTGGACAAAGTATTATTGCTTTAGCACTGGGCATGCTTTTACAACAGCAGCAGTAAGTTCCCTCTTTGAGTGGCTAGAGAGACCCTATAGTGTCCTCACCTTTACACTAACACGGAGGATTCAGTAGGTACCCGTTTTGGATCCAGCGAGAGGAAACACCTGACCGGAGTACATGGTGGCATTGTGCCCAGCTTGGGCTGAGTACCGCCTTGTCCTCAGACACCAGGGCGTTTCGTCCAGCCAGATTCGAAAAAAGAACTTCTAATCCTTTAAGAGGAGACTGACAGCTGCTATAATAGAGTGCCCTTCTCGCCTCACCAAGGGCGCGAGGATAGTTTGATGTTTTTCATCTCTCAAAAAGTAAAGTATGCCTGACAGGTCAGACAAAGTATTATTTGGCTGTAAGTATGGAATTGTGCCTGATGTATGGCAATAGGTTTGCTTCCTCATAATCATATATTTGTAGCTCTGCATACTATTGCAGGGAATAAAAGACTGTCAATTGTCAAATCGCAAGGCTGTAAAAAAATTGCCTAATAGAGTGTATTGTTATTGGATTATTTTAATAACTATTTTACAAAAACTTACCATCTGTAACATGTCTAAAATTCTTTTGGTTAATTCTAGCGACAAATCTGGAGAGGTTAGCTATGCCTTTGACATGATTGGCTAGTGTTGCATTAGGGAATGGTGCCTTGACAAGTGGTGCGAGGTATGCAAACACTGTGGCATCAAATGATGAAGGTCTATTTCCAAAGAAGTATTCACTCTCTCCCAATCTATCTGATAATGTTTTAAGGCACTTCTCTGCTTCATTGTACAGCTGTAACAGATTGATATGTTAGTCAATTTATATTCCTAACACTGAGTAAATGAATAAAATTAAATTGGAAACTATAATTGCTAAATATGATACAGTCACATATTAGTTGTCTCAACTGCCTGCCTGATTGAATAATTTATTTATTTATTTAAACTTTATGCAACAAAACATTACATAGGCAGACTTAATGCCATAATAATTATAATAAAAATAATTTTGGAGATGATTATTGTTTTCATGCCTCTTATCGATTTTCCAAAGGAGAATGACCAAATTGGACCAAAAATTAGTAAAAAAAGTCAAAGTCTGCCCCCAGATTTGCCACATAGCTCATTTGAAAGAAGAGTTCAAATGCAACATTTTATTCTATGGAACCGAAAAAATCTGTCCCACAGAAACATAAATATAACCTAAAATGTGATTTTATGAAAAAGGTGCATATTTTACTTCTTTACTCAGGTAGGTGACCTTTTCTTATCGCAGATAATGAGCAAAATATTGACCATCCAGCACAGTTTTTAGACAGTATTGTAATAGATGAAAATGATTTATAATACGCATTCTATATTGTGCAGAATAGTGAGTCATGAATAACATTTAAAATAAATTGTTCGAAAATAAACAATTATTAAATAACTATGTCGTTTTTTTAATTCATTATTCATCTATTTATTAAGTGAATCCTTCTAACAACATTTTTAACAAGCAGAAATAATATACAAAAAAAAATTGGTGCAAGCGAAAGTGTATTGTTGCAGTATTATATAACGTCGAATTACTTTGTAACTGTGGGTTGGAATTTGATTCGCATTTGCACACATAGTTAGTCCAACAGTATTAACCCACCAACAAAGAGTCAACCCTGGGGGCAGCAATTTTTTTTTGGTCCAGTGCCCATACTAATTTGGTCATTCACCTTTTATGTGATTTAAGACAAAATTTCAACACTTACTATTTTTTCAATCTCCCTTAAATCTGTGTGTTCACCATATAAAGCATCCACCATCTCTTTTGCTGAATTTTGGTAATGTGATGGATAGTAAAAGTTGAAGGGTATACAAAGTGCCTTAGCATATGTTGGCCTTGTTAGATCACAATAGTTCTTCTCATCAACCCACCATGCATACTGGTATGCAGGGTACAGCTTCTCTCGTAAATACTGTGTGAATGCACTGGCTTCTGCTGCCTGCTTCTCATTGAGATGCACGTCTGTGCTGTAGTGCTGCAAAACCAATTCAAATATAATTCAATAAACTTAAATAGGTTGTGCAACTAAATGATGTAATATTCCATTATATTTAACATACAAATTTATGCATAAGCATATCAGTAATCTATAAAACGCACAAAAAAGCTTTTATATTTAAACGATTAATAATTATAAAAGGGAGATTATATATTTACCAACGACTTTAAGTGATCGACAACTTCTTCAAAATTTGTAAGCAGTTTGCGGCCATCCTTCATGACAGGGAGCCTCCCTTTAGGTGTAAAAAATGGATTGTTGGCTTCACGTACTCTTACAGGTACTCCAATAAATTTCATATAGGTCTGTAGAAAATCCAAAACAATTAAATGCTAAGAATTCTGCCGGTACAATATAGGTCACTTTAGGTTATAACAAAAATACTTACCAAGACTTTTAGACATTCTAAATCTATTGAGGCAAGGCCCCATTCTCCTCGCCAAATATCTAGTTCTATACTTGCCATTACTTTATTGTGGAATCTAAAATAATTAATCTATCAATTTTCCTAACATTGATCAAATAACATGACAGTCGACAGTTGTTTTTTTTTTTTTTTTTTGGAGTTTATGGCCTGGATACGAGTCCTTTAAGCCAAGTCGACAGTTGCTGTTTTATTCTATGTTGCCAATGTCTGTTCCATTCCATAGACCACTCATCAATAGACAGATTACTAACGCATAAAAATATATCACTACTTAATTAGTCGAGTTTCAAACTGAGTATATTAAAATTTTTACGAAATTGATACACCTTTTTATATAATAAGTAGAAAGTTGACGTGGCCCAATCACGTTGTTAAATTATATTAACGGGTGGGACTACAGAAACAGTTTTATTTTAAAGTTTTACACAAACCAAGTTTACATCACTTTCTCTATGCGTCTTCTGTTTGGTGATGGTGTCAAAAAGTTAGCAAAGCAATCGAAGTTATTTTAGTTTACGAGTGAAATTATAAATAAAAAAATATACATTCTATAAGTAGCTCGAACTAAAATTTTAAATAGGTAATCATCGAATTCTAAAAGTGTTTGTTGTTGGATGGTTTGAAATCAAGAGTAATCGGGAACAATTTTATTGGATAAAATTAAAAAAAGATTTTGCTCAAGTTCTCACAATTATACCGGCCGGTAAGACAAAATTGATACAAAATGTCCATCCAATGGACATGTATTGCTGGCTTCCTCTACTTCGAAGTCGCTGTCGTCATCATAATGATGATGCCTATATTTAGTCCCAGAAGATGGAATCAATTCTTCAAGTCAAGATTGTTTTTTATGGTGCAACATCATGCTGGGGCTTACTTCTATGTGCTGTTAGGTGTTTTAGCTCTTTTCCTGGTTGATGCTATAAGAGAAATGAGGAAGTACGCTGGAGATGCTGGTGCTCATATTCATTTGGCAAGTGAATTAAAAGGCAGTGTGAAACTTTTTAGAGCACAGAGAAACTTTTATATAACAGGCTTTGCCATTTTCTTGGCGTTTGTTATTCGTAGGCTAGTCAACATGCTAATAATTCAAGATGAACTAACTAAAAAGGCTGAGAAGATTATAAAAGAGGCTGAAGCAACTGTGAAGCTTGCAAAGAGTACTGTCATGGCTGCAAAACCTGAAAATGACACTGAAGATCTTAAAGCCAAACTTGAACAGGTCCAGGACTCATTGAATGCAGAGAAAAGCAGAGTCAAAGAGTTAGAAGAACATGTTAGCATGTGGAAGTCACAATATGAACAAGCAGTCCGTTCAAAGGAACAGGCAGCAAGTGTAAATCAATGAACAAATAAATACATTTTCCAAATTGTTAAATGATGCCTACAAAATCATAATTTTAATAGATTAACTTATCTCAAGCAGCTTATCAAACAATTCACTTGAATAACATGTATTATCTCTTAAGCAAAAATGAGAAAAAAGTATACACTTATATTGTTCTGTGTGTGTATGTAAATTGTTAAGGAAAAATACTGTGATCTTTATAACCTGGTGCTTGTAGTTTTCTGATTGATAATAATAATTTGATTTAAAGCTGTTACTGTTTTCATGTTTATAGTTGAGTACTAAGCATCAGTGTTAGGATTTTCCTAACAAAAATGACTAGTCTTGTAAATATCTTTATATCACGGTATCTGAAAATAAAAATAATGTGAATGGGTGTATTTAATAATATTTCACTCATCTTATTGTTATTGAAAATATGTTTTTCCAATGAAAAGTCAAAATATGTTAATAATTTATAAAACAGACCCTAAGTCAAAAAATTGTGCAATACATTATGAGTTGTAAATAATTATGTACTTATTATGATTAACTTTTTGATGTAATGTTTGAATGATAGTCAGTAAAACAATAATTGTAACGAGTGCATGTTCTCAAACCAAAGTCAAAAGTAAAACAAAACTTTTGACTTAATAAAAAACACATTATGTAAGTTTTGTTTTATACAGTTAGTGATTTTTTCGCCATATTATTAATATATATTGGAATCAAATAAGGAAATTACACTTTTTAACAGCCTTTAAATTAGCTTTATTAATATAACTATAATTTCAACATTTTTATACCAATAAAATTAGTATAAGAATATTATCTAAAGTGCATTTTATTTTGCTTCCTTTAGATTCATACAAGTACACTTATTGTATGCATTCATTGTTGTGTAGTTCATCTATTTATGGTTATCTGATTTCCAAAATTCTTTCACTGATAAATAGCTGCTATGTTCCCTAGTGCTATAGGCTATAACCTAGATTTGTTTTGCGTATTTTAGTGGAGTTAAGCTTAAACGCTGCTGCTTTTAAAATCCGGAGATACATTAATTTGATACGCGTGTGAATCCGCGGGCGGTATCTAGTACTATTCAAAGAATTAAAAGATTTGCAGTCTGAAGAGGCAATGGGCAGGTCCCATTTGTCGAGTAACCGATGTGCACTGTGATTCACAGTACTGTGATAGACTTGTTCGACAGTGGACACCATGTTTAGAGGAGCATAGTCTGCATAGTGTAGGGCGCCCTTCTGCTACGTGGACTGACGATATCCGCAGGGTGGCTGGTAGTAGTTGGATGAGAAAAACTGAACATCGAGCTCAGAGGTGTGCAATTGGGAAGGCCTATGTCCAGTTGTGGACGGAATTAGGCTGAAGATGACGATGAAAATGAAAACTTCCTCTGACATCATGGAATGTATTAGTAACTCAACAAAATCGTCTCAAAATTTTTCAAATTATCTTTTGACTTCACACTTTTTCTTTATTTGCATCTTTATTCTCAAAAAGGAAAGTGTCGGTACATCATTCAATAGTTGCGTTTAATTATTATTTTTGAACGAGTGTTGTTACAAAACGTACAGTTATCTGTCAAGACAACTGTCAATATCATCTGACAATGACGTCCCATCTCTCAAAATACGCCTCCTGCCTTGTCATAAACATTTTTTTTCTCGCTTTTATTCTTACAAATTAGATATTGCTATTTCACTCACTGCTATTTTAGTTTCAATATTAACTCGTAGTTGTTCTCAGCAAGGAAGGAAAACATTACAATTTATGGATATAATTCGTTGTTCATGTCTGGTGAATAAGTCTACGTCAAACAGCGTCTACAAAATATAATGTTTTTCTGATTTTGATTAAGGAAAAATAGTGACCCGTTATTCAGGGTACCGTTAAGTGTTATTTATGAATGTGACCATCTTCAATAGAGTCAACAACCCTGTAAGTTGGTTTTATTATAACTTAACAACTATTTAATACAATCGTATACTTAATTATAAAAGAAATAAAACCTATAACGATCCTAAAAGAAAATCAAAACACTCTGTATGGATAATCTCAGTATAAATTTAATACAGCTCACAAAATATAGGCACTATTAGATTCTCATTGAATGTAAAAGTCTTATATATTTACAAAACAACATTTATATTATTTGTAAACAATATCTACATTACAATTTTTACAAGCCTGTGTGTATCAGAGGAAGTTGTAATACTGCCTTATTGTTTGAGAATACAATTAAAATAAATAGTATTTGAATATAGAATAAATACATACTCATCTAATGTATTTAAAGCACAAAACATCTAAATGGCAATTGTTAAAAAGCACCCAGTAACATAATATTTTTGCCAATTCTTCAATAATATCCTTTAAAATACATATCACATTTGTTGGCAATTTGTTATGGTAATCTAGTTAGCATCAATAATGGAGAAATGTGGTTGAAACTTTTATCTTATAAGATACAACATAGACATGGGTACATACTCACTAATTATGACAACTAATGTAACAAATATGTTCTCACTAGAGAGGCAGTTTATGTTATAACCCCTGTATTATAACTATATAATGTGTTTCATATAAATATAATCTTCTAGAACAAAGATAGTGGCGGAATGTATTCCGAATGGAGTTCTCTGCCCCTGGAGGGAGGGGGGCGGGGTGTGCTGGGCGCTGTTGGCGGTAGAGAGGTTGTGCTGGCAGTGGTCAAACAGCTAGCCTCACATGAACCCAGTCCACTCACTACTGATGCAGAGGTATGTCCTTAAATGATGTTTGCAGCTCAATCATTACTTGAATATAAAGTTTACTCATACTTTTATTTTATGTATAAAAGTAATATTTTGTACTAACATGTGTTAAGACAGTCTTTTAGGTGTAAGAAAATCATGAATAAAAAGTTCATAAATAAATTGATAGAATATAGAAAGCAGGCTGCGTCTTCAGTAAGATAATGGCCTATTGCATATCAATCAATATATTAATTCTTTAGTTTTTTGTACTCCTTTTTCTGTAATATGACTTTAAAAGATGGATTAACTGTCGGGTCAGGTGGAGTGGGTGCTGGAGGTGATCAGGTTCGGTCTGTCGCTGCCGCTGCAGGAGCACGAGGCGCTGCGGGACTGCGTGCGCGTGTGCTGCGCGTGGCTGGCGGCGCTGCTGCCGCCGGCGCCGCCCGCGCAGCCGCCGCCGCCCGCCACGCCGCCGCCCGTCGCCGCCGCGCCACACAACTACGCTAGGAAGATCCTGCGCCATCTCCACAACTTGTTCGTGCCCAGACCCAATGAGAGTAAGTCCAATGTTCTCAGTTCATCTCATTACTTATTTAGTGTTTAAATTTTATTGCTGATGTTTGTTAAGTAGAATCTTGCAAGTAAATTTTTGAGTACATACTTAGTTGGTATATGCAACTGGTTGCTATAATTTTATATACAAGCCACGTTTGTACAACCATTAATGCTTAACTGTATGATACCGCTCTAAATCAGGGATTACATATTTTCTAGAGTTTAGTCTGTAGTTTACAAACACACTTTCTAGGCTAAAAGATTATCATTTCATGTTTATTTTACAAGCTCTCACATTTATCTATCAAATGGAACTGGGTGAGTTAACACAAACTAACGAAAATAATATAATACAACTTTTACAAACAATAAGTTATTAAGGAGCATGAATAAAAAAGGAGTATGTATGTAGTTGATGGTCTTTGTATAAGACATCGTAATGATTGTAGTCAAAATTTGTGAAATGACGTGTGGGAATGTCTGATGGTGAAGATCTGCTGATACTTAGTATCTAACTTATTTTTTTTATTTATTTATTTAAATCAGACATCTGAGGCCCATAGAGAATACAATACATAAATATATTGTATTATATGTTACATAGATAACTTAAAAACTAATGCACGCGAAGTGTCGGCGTCGTGTTACGCTGCGTGGTGACGCGTAGCCATCCTCGGAACCTCTGATATGCGACACCCTTCGGCCAAAACTCTTCCTTGAGGAATGTCTCGACGTGATGAGTTGGAACTCGCACCATGAACGAATTAAAGTTCGTATTGTGGCGCGACTCCAACTTAGCCACCCTCAAGGTCCAGTTGGTCTTGGATCGGACATACTCCACGATCTGCTCCACCGTCGTGGTGTGATGTAGACGGGACACGTACAACTGCGTCGTTGGTACTGCAGGACGCAGCAGGATGTTTGGTCCAGTTTGTGCAGTTCCGCACTTATTCCTACAAGTTGGCCTCTTTTTTCTCCTTTCTACCTTTATGAAGCCATCCTTGTCGCACGTGTCCTTCTTAGGACTAGTCTGTGGCTGTGATGTGCCACGGGTTTGTTTACCCCCTTTTGCTTTGGCCCGCTTTGTTTGCGTCACAGCGGGCTTGTTGATGGCTGCAACTGCTGCGTAGGCGCGTTTGGGGGTCGATGTTCCTACGCAAGGTTCGGCCGCAGGTGTTGACAGCATCGGTGCATCGTCAGCTACATCGGCGACCGGTGACGCACTCGAATTCGCCGACTCGAAACTGATGACAGACGCGTTTGGCGCCCCGCGACGAGTATTCACATTAATTACATCAAATGACCTACTTATAGAAACAGCGTTGCGCAACAACGCTACTTCACCACGCAGGTCACTGATGGTGTTGTGATCTGTGAAGCTTCCATCTTGGACTTCATATCTTCCAGGCTCGCCTTAAGACACGTTATGTCTTTCAACAGCCTGGTGATATCGCCGTGATCGAACGTGACGGGAAGCAGCTTATGCAAGTCCACGAACTCAGGCACGTCATCAGGATCTGTCCTCTTCAGCAGGGAGATGATATCCTGCAGGCTCTTGTCCCCACCGTCCCTTCGGCGGGATGGCATCTGCTTGAGTTGTCCGAGCGACATGAAGAGCAGCAGCTTTGCACTGCAAACCTCGTCCTCTTTGTAGGCTGATCTGCAGATCTGCACGATGCTGACCTCATCCATATAATCGATGGCATGATTCATGAATGCCAAAACTTCGTTGGCGATGAGCGGTTTAGAACTCATCGCGACTAAAACGGGCAGCGGCTAATGCCGCGCAAAACGCGAATATAATATTCGTACCGTGCAACGAAAACGCGACTGTTCTGTAGCGCGCATTGCACTGCACTGCTAGTATGAATATGCTTCTAATATCATTAATGTGAAACCGATAGGATTGGGCCGATTTGGTTAATACTACATAATAACATACAACGCGGGCGAAGCCGCGGACGGAAGCTAGTGAAGAAAAAATATTAATTAAGTAAGATTGAGGCATGGTTAGCAATGTATGTGGGTGGATACAGGCGGGGACCTGATCAGCAAGCAGGCGGTGCTGTGCCACCGCGTGCTGCGTCTGGCGCGCGCGCTGGGCGCGAGCGGGCAGCTGGGCCCGCGCGACTGGAAGCAGCTGCTGCTGCTGCTGCTGGCGGCCGCGTCGGCGCTGCTGTCGCCGCCCGCGCCGCACCACTCCGCCGCCGAGCAGCTCTGCGAGCGCGTGCTCTGCGTGCTCTTCGAGGTCTGGATACTGGCCTGCCACAGGTAAATATCCTGGCCTGACCACACACACAATGCCAAAATTTCTACATACATAAACATACTACAGCCTTAGAAAAGTCCTTTTAGATGTTAAGTAAACACCCATTTTGATCTATCGAGTAATGACCTGATGCTATTGCCAAATACATTTTCAATAGTCCTCATTATAGGGTATAGGACTATGGTATAGGGGTATTTATTTGGACCCCCTTATTAGAAAACAAGATTTATCTTTAGTGTAGGTTTAAACCATTGAGTCAGATTTTATATTTTTACTTTTTGTGATGATTGCTTGGGAATGGGGGGCGAAGGACTGGGCCTCGGGTGACCTCAGGATCACTCCGGTTGAGACGAACCCATACGTGCTGAAGCATGGCTGTACCATACTTTAATTATACTTAATGTACTCTCCTTTTCGTAACTTAATATCATCCCATCCTTACCTACTGTATGCTGTTATGTCAATGTGATAATAATAATAGAATAATTTATTTAACCAAGTTTTACCGACCTCATCTAAACTGAAAGCTTCATGAATTACCAGGCAATCATGTAAGAACAGGAGTTAACACTAACGTTGCGTGTAGATGTTTCCCAGTGCCCCCACTATGGCGTACACTGCGCGAGCAGTGCGTGCGCTGGCGGCACCGCGCGCCGCTGACGGAGCAATGGACGCGCGCCTCGCTCGCTCTCACCGCCAGGCTGCTCAAACACATGTACGGGCCACTCTTCCCCGTTATGCCCATCAGTAAGTATCTTTATCTATAATATAAAAATGAATCGCGAAATGTGTTGGTAGGCGCATAACTCAAGAACGCCTGGACCAATTTTGCTAATTATTTTTTTGTTTGGTTCGTTATTGCAAGGAGAAGGTTCTTACGAAAGAAAATTTTAGAAAAGTAAAGGAGAATAGCGGGAATTTATAAACTTTTCGGTACCGTGGCCGTTCGCTCGCAAAACAAACACCGAAGTAGTCGGATATCCGTGCGACGCAGGGGCGGTCTGCTAGTTTATAAAATAAATAGTAGTTTCTACTGTTGGTCCAGGGCATCCAGATGCTACGGTTTCACCTGCAGTATCATGATATTCTGTAATTGCTTTGAGCTAAATTTCATTCATATCCGTCAGTATGATTTACGCGAAATAGTAACGAACTTGTATCCATATTTACACACTTTTTCGTTTGTAATATGAGTACCAGAGCATCTCAAAATTAGACAAAAAGGTACTCAAAATCAAAGTCAAATCATTTATTCTAACTAAACCATAAATAGGTACTTTTGAAACGTCAAAATAGAATAGTAGTCTGTCAGTCTGTTCGTCAGTGAAGCTTGGTGCTCGTTTTATACATATATATTGTTACATTATATTCGAATGGAGAAGAACGAACAAGAAACTCCATCGTTACTTTGTTTTACAGTTTCACTAAAAACATTATTTAAAATACATTATAGGTAGTACCCATATGTTAGAACAATGCAGAGACAAGATTTAAAAAAAAAGAAATAAACGATATATATAAAATAATATCTATTAATAAATCCTTTGTCGTCTCGAACATTGCGCTTACATATGCATACTGACAATTCATCCGTACCTACTTATGAAATAAATGATAACATTTTAGCTTTCCAAATTTTTGTGCTTAAATTATAAATATTAAGTCCACAAAAATACCTAATAATAAGGTTCTTTAGTAAAATCTGATACTTTGCTTCGTCAAAAATAGTCTATTATTTTTCCAGGCGAGGAGGATGCAAACCTAATTCCCCCGGACATGAGCGCGGAAGCGGTAATGCAGAGCTGGTACCGCATCCTCCACACTATCGGGAACCCAGTCGATCTCTGCCGACCTCATGTGATCAGCCAGACTCCTGACTTTTTACAGGTTTTAAGCAAATTATGAAATTATACTCTATTTATTCATTCGTAAGGTGTGTATTTGAATTTTTGAAGCTTGTTGATTTTTGTTTGAAAACTTTTTTTGCATAGAAAATTACGTAAAGCACATCTTTGTTTTTAAAATAACGACATATTCACGTGAATGAATTGAGAAAAGCTCTACTACTTTCAAGTCACAATGGGACTCTTATGAGAAGGCTGCATTGTAGAACTGAAAATTAGTTTGTTCGGTTGAACGAGCTGGTTATCAGAAATGCGAGGTTAATTTATAATATAAATATAAACTGAACATCGAGTGGACTGCTAGGGTCGCCATTAAAGATATATTTCCTTATTTTCTTTCTACAGTATTCTATCACTCAAGATGAAGGCAGTAGGGATCCCAGCCAGCATCCTTGCCTGCAGGCTTTACCCTCCATCTTCCACAAAGCTATGAAGGGTATAGCTGCCCACGTAGACGCATTCCTAGGTATGTATAACACAGCTTATTGGTGTGGATTGCCTATAACTACTTCCTGGTTTTTCATTTTAAACCGTACAGTGTATTTTAATAAGGTCCATATTTGATTGGCAGTAGAATATCTTTAAATTACAAAAATGGTTTTTATTTTCTACTTTGTAGAGTTTAGAATTGCGGCTTAAAACATAAAGTTGCGAATCTCAATATGGACCTTATATTATGATAGTGGGTAGCACGTGTAAAATACGAAGCACGACTTCTCTAATGTAACTTGCTTCTAACTGATCTATCGGTGCTATTACTGTAAAACATCTATCTGAAATTGGGTAGTTTCCTAGGTCAAAAATAAATTAATTCGACTTTTCAATACAATAAAATGTTGAAAAATAACAATACTTTTATTCATCGATCGATCGATACACTAAGTTTTAGATATTTTGTAGCTAATTATTAAGAAGTAAGTAAGCTATTTGAAGCAAAAATACTATGACGTCATAGCTCAGTTTTTCATACAAATTTTTATAGAAAAGTATCGTTTTTGACATTTGGATAAAAGTATTGAATTTGACTAGTTGGAAACTACCTATTATATATTAGCAATCGTTAAAATACGTCACGTACGATAAATCCGATTTATCGTATTGGTGGTATCTCCCAATGCTAATTTGCTTAGAGAGATTTTCTTAGGCTTTTGTTACGTACGTAACAAAGTACATTCAGAATTCTTTTCTTCATTTTCTTCATAATGACATAGTCTTTCGCATTCCAAGTTATAAGTTAATACTAGTGGAGTAGTGAATAGGTTGCCTCGTCGCATCATAGCTTACCACCAGGCGTAATAGCGGCCAAATGCTTGCCCATTACGATATAACAAAAAATATACTCACCGCTGGTATATTGAGAACGTAGATCTAAGCGAGACAAAATGTTTGTGTAATTATTGCGTCTGATACTATCGGCAGTCGAGAGGTTTAACACAATTCACTATTCCACTTACCTTACCTTTTCTCTTATGTTACATTCACTAGGCGCACATATTTTGGAGAAACTGAAATGGGGTTTACATTACCCATAAATATGGAACTGCGCAGATCATCTCCTTAACTCGTTGACTGCCAACATAGTTTTTTTATATAATGTATTGATATTTAGTTTATTTGGAAATTCGAAGGCTAAACATTTGAGATGATAATTACATCATAATCAGAGAACACTCTATATTTCTTAAAGTGTCAGATAAAGAAAAAATACAAATGGTGTAGAACCTCATTAGTAGACGAGCGCTGTAGGAAATCACTGTAACATTTGACTCTATAACATTAGTCTATGGTAGTCGGTGTTCCCGCGCTTTATAACGTTGAGTTGAAAAAATCTATTCTATTATAGTATCACTTTTCAATTAATAGTATAATATCTTAATTGGCACTCAATGAGTTAAAACAACCTTAGGGCCTGTTCCACATCCCTGAAGAATATACATGAGCAATTTCAAAATAAAGTGTACCCTGTTCTAAAATTCGATTTATTTTTTATATGTATATATTTTTTTAATTTTCCATAATATAATAGGAAAATATAGTTTAATATACAGAATAACAAAAAAGAACGCCAAAATATTCGAGGCATTTTCCTGATAATATCAAAACAAAACGGACTTTGTGGCGGAACTAGTTCCGTTATGTGACCACATTTAAAAGCGAAATTAAAGGAAAATATGTAATTAATAAGCCTTTTTTTATTTAATTGAATTAATATACATGTATTTAATTGATATATCAAAAAAAAAAAAAATAGCCGTAACTTCTAGCATTAATATAAAATTCCTTTTTTAAATTCGATTTTGTGACTATATTGCTTTTTATTTGGTTATTTTTAAACTTTACTCCAAAAGCATAATATTTTATTTCATATTTGGTACCTTTTTAGAATAGTTATTGATTTACTGTAAACATATTTGTCACTGTATAAATTTAAAAGGTAAAAAATCACCAGATTTTGTAGATTTAATCCCCATCAATTTGAAGGGACAATCACAAAATGGAAGTCTTAAAATCATAAGGCTGTGAACACACATACTTTGTAAATTGCTTAATAATAAATAAGTATTTAATTGATAATTTAAAATTGTTAGCCATATTTCTCAAATTGGAACTAGTTTTGTGTTTTAAGGAAATAATTACGGAAAAAATTTAAGAATTGAGAAGGTAAGAAATAAAACAATCATTTTAAATATGCTTTTATTTTTGCCTTTTTTAAAAATTATAAGAATAAACCCAATAGTAATTTAGGTAGTAGTAACATCAAGCTACCCCAAACTGTCAAACCCCAATTGGACATAAACATTATTTAATTGTAATAACGCTGAAAAACAAAGTTTGACTGATTGGGCTAGCTTGAAACTAGTCTGTACCTCTTGACATCAATCTCATTAAAATTTTGCAGGATACTGATTTATAGGAACTCCGAAGTTTATAATCACATAACATTTGAGATCAATAGGTATTATAAAATTAAGGCCATATTTGGTTACTTTGAATAAAGTTATCCAAATAAAGTAATAACAAATTAAAATACGAAAACTTAATATTAGTATTCCTTTTGCGTCAATTACAGAGTATGTATTCATTTATACATTACCACAAAATAAAAAATAAATCCTTATATAACCTAAAGTTTTGATCAGTCTTACAAACTTCAACCTGTAAATTTCAACCTTCAGCAAACTTCAACCTGTAAATTAAAAATTGAAATTTCACATTACATTATTTCGGTCAGTAGGGATTTATATTATGAACTAAGCTTTATGCATTCCGACCTGTAGTGACTTGACGTTTCGTTAAATGTGACCATAGAATAAGTCACACAACGGAGGTCACATAATGCTACCTTCTTGTAGTTTTAAATTATTTAAAAATTACTCACCTTACTTAGCACTAATAAGTAATTAAGAATCAAATACCTATACAAATTGTGCAATTCGTCAACATTAACAATAATCAAATAAAGCGATATAAAACAGTAAAACTTGGTCACATACCTGAGCAAAGAAATTTAAACAAGGAGCACTTCAACAATAACGTCCGCACATCTCAAAGATTAGTTTGACAGTGAAAGCAAAACGCGTCTGTCGATAAAGGACGATATATTGTGTTGCCATTTTATGCCAAATATTTTCCATTATAGAATAATTTGTGCTAAAACACGCGGTCACAAGACGGAATTTTCCGGTAAGCTTAAATTTTCAATTTAAATTCATATTTAAATTTCAAATAAAATATGCAAAAAAAATATATCTTTGACACCTTTAACTGATAAATACGACTTCTAAGTATTTAAATTGTATAAAGAAATCACTCTCAAAACGGTTTTTTTTTTATGAAATCAATCATTATCTGATCTTAGTTGGGAAGGGGACACATAAATTTGATGGTCTTTAATATTTTAAAAGTTTCGTAAGTTTTTTATTTATTTATGTAACAACAAAACGACATTTTTTTATAAATATTTAAATATATTTTCTTGTCACTTAAATTAATATATGCAGTTAAAATTTATTCAATCTCAAAGAAATAAATGAACAAAAGCAAGGGACAAGGCGAAATCAATGGGTACATTTTTTTTTGAAATTGCTCACATAAAAAATGGCTTGGTACCAAAAAATCTGAATACTGAACGTAATTGTAAAGGACGTGAAACAGGCACTTATAATAGAAAACTGGTAAAGGACGAAGGTTTTAAAGTAGAATGGCATGTTGAGTGTAGCATAATGTTAAGTAGTGTACCATAAGTAGTACGAGTAAGTGGGGGTGTAGGGCGCGGGTCGGAGCGGTGGTGGGGCGCGGGCAGCGCGGCGGGCGCGGCGCCGGAGCCCGAGGACGGCGACCTCACGCCGCCCGCGCACCGCCGCCTCGCCAAGTCATTCAGCGTCTCCGCCTCCAGACCACGAGACAAACTGCCCGAACGAAGTAAGATTATACTAAACGGAAACCGCTTTTTGTATCCTATAAGTATGATTCCCTATTTAATGTTGTTTGCTATGCCAGTAGTTGTACTTCTTAGTCGTAATAAATACTGTAAAGAGTATACTAGATTAAATGTTTCTCGTATCCTTTTAAAAGGACAATAATTTAGAACAAATTAAGGGATGAAACTAGTCAAGTTCAGTTTTTTGCATGAAGCGGTTTCCATGACTGTTGTTGAAATTAAGTTGTTTATGTTAAACTATATTAGATTAGTTAAATGTGTAATATATTAGTTAAACAGTATTGTTGTAAGGCCGAAGTTAATTTAGGCCAGTTATAACTGTCAGATATAGTTTTTGTTTTGTTTTATTTCTTGGTAGATAGTGGACTGTGAAGCCGGCCATTAGTTTATTAGATGTATAGCTTGATTTTGCACCTGTTTGAAATGAAGCACTTAATTTCGTGTGTGGTGCGTTTTTTTCATTGATATTCTTTTTTTTCTTTTGCTTATTTACTTTTTCTTTTGCGTAGATTTTGTTGTGTGTGTGTGCACTTTATTTGAAAAATCTTATCTTCCTGGGTTATTAGTTTGCTACATATTAATTTTGTTTTTTTTAGACATTAATCCAATAATTTTATTATTTATCCAAGTCAATTTAAATATGTAAGAGGACTGACCGACAGACTGACACGATATCTTCAAAATTTTGTTTTGACGTTCAAAAGTGCCTGTAAAGGTTTTATTGGAATAAATGATTTTTGACTTTGACTTTTTTGACTTTGACTTTGACTTTGTAAGAATGTTGATCGTTATCGTAGCTTATGAGTATTTGTTGAAATTGTAATTAATATTTTAATTGTGTGTATAATATGGTATGCGCACACGCAGGTACCCCGCGCACTTCTCTCATTGGCCTGACTAGCAGCCGTCCACCAAGCGTAGCTCCTACTACTCCTCCTAACTCTATCTCTTCTCAAGGTACAGTATAATACTTATTTAATGAGTAGATTTTCGATCATTTCAATGTTCGGTTTGTTGTTTTGCAAAAATAAATGGTAAGCATATTTTTCATCGATTTGGAGGCAATCATCATCATCAGCCTATAAGTGCCCACTGCTGAGCAAAGGCCTCTTCTCACACGGAGAAGGTTAGAGCATTAATCGAGCGTTTGGAGGCAAATTAGCAGATAATCTACAGCGCTGCCTATGGACTTCCGCTACTCCAGGGAGTTACAAGTGCGAGAGGAGTGGATTGGACCTTCAGAAATTTCACTACTGTCTTACAGAAAAGCGGGGTGAACAACGCTCAGGTTATGCTTCCGAAGTCAGTAGTAACAGTCCCTTCGAGCCCGCCCATTTAAAGATGAGACACTTTTCTTAAAAGACTGTCTGACTTTGTAATATTAATATTGTTTATGTAACTTTGTATGTATATTACAGTGGGCGAATCAGAGAAGCCACCGTTAACACCGCTCCGTCCGAAGGTAAACTCCATCTTGCATCTGTTTGGCGAATGGCTGTTTGAGGCGGCACTCATTGGGACCACTCCACAATACAACAACCAACGTAAGCACTTTGTATAATAATTAGTTTACTGCACTGTACTGGCATAGTTCTAAATAAGGAAGTGATTACTGCGCAAAGTGTTTAAATTATTCACTATCTTAATGGAATTGTTTTGCGCACCATCAAACAACGTTGCGCAACATTGCGCATCGCTGCGCAAATTTATAATGGTACTTATCGATACAAAACTTCACCATTCTTTGATGAAACCAGTTTGATCTTGGGTTTTTTTTATAAATAACTTTGTTTTGTTTTTTTCCTAGAACGTACGGAAGGTACTCCACCGCCTCCGTCCTTGTCTGACGCTACTTATAAGCTGAACATGCTCAGCTACCAACCAGGTAAAGTATCATTCAGAATGTACTTCTTTATGTTGATATGGATGTAAGTATGATATTCCAACGACTCCAAGCCAGGATAACACCTAAAACAGTAACAAATCAGAGAAATATCGAGTAAATCAGTTTATAATAGTTTGCCGCATCTTAGGTATACGAAAAAGTGTCTTGGATACTGCAATGAGATTAATAAGAAAGTATGTATCATTGAAATCATCGTTCTTTTAAACGTTTTGTAACTTATATTTCGTCAAATCTTTCAAAGGGGAATTAATAGGAGAACAATAGTTTCTACTTCTCTTGACATAGAATGACTTTTTTACATATATACGAATATTATAAAGAGGTAAAATTTGTAAGTTTGTATGTAGGTGGTAATCTTTGGAAGCACTGGCCGAATTTCCAAAATTCTTTCACTGAAGTTAGCTATAATGTTCTTGAGTTCCATAGGTTATAAATTATTCTTGATTTGGGTATTGTAGTCGAGCTATCGCTTTGAACGCATTTGTACGCCTAATGGCTAAGCATAGAGCAACCATCAAATATAATATCATCCAACACTGTACCTATTTTTAAGCCGCGGGCGGCAGCTAGTGGCTTACAAGGTACTACCTATGTTAGTAACGTAGTGTGTGTACAAACGGTGTGTGTCAGGTCGCGCGGAGGCGCTGGGCACGCTGTGCCGCGTGCTGTGCTCGAAGCAGTGCCGCGAGGAGGTGCACCCGCCCTACCTGGCGCGCTGCTACGCCGCGCTGCATCGCGGCCTCAGGGACCCCGCCACCGCCGCCGCCGTCGTGCTCAACGCGCCTGACATCTTCCGGTAACTCTTGGCAAACATCCATACCACTTTTTACTGATATTTAGCCATTATATAATACTATCGCTTTTATTCTTAACTTTCTTTTGTTAAATTCAGTATTCCAATGACTAGAGCGATGGGAAGGGAGAAGTAGATTGTTAAACAATTGAAACATTGCCATCCGAGACGAAGTGAAGGAGGGCCATGCTTTAGCACGAACGAGTCGGGTCAGCCAGAGTGATGCCACGGCCTAAAAACTGATGGGAGACAATAACAGCGTTTCGTTTCGGCGTGAGAGTGAGGTTACCAAAAGCATTTCAATTGGCTTTTGGTAAGGGCAAGAATTGCCTTACCCTACCTTCCTATTCTGTCCCTATCCCTCCCCAATCCCTAAATCTCCGAAACCGTAATCACCAAAAGGTCGGCAACGCATCCGTTACTTCTTTGATATTAACGAGTGTAAACGGTCTGGCGGTTATCTGTCTGCGCGCTTGGCAATATATCCAATAATATAATGCAATTGGTTGTACCTATAACCTTATGGGTATTTCATAAACAACTTTTTTATTCCAGCCTGGATCTGGATGGTGTCTTAGTCCTGGTCCCAGACTTCATCAACGCATTAGACCAAATACTCTCAGAAAGAGAGCCCAGGCTGGAGTGTGGTAACATAGATAAGAGAGAACTTCGCAAAGCTGCCATAAGTGCACTCTTGTCTCTAGTCGCGTTCCCATACCATTACAAGGGCCTACCAGTTCCTGAGTTTCCTGGATGTAATGAATAGTAAGTAACTTATATGTATTTTATGTACTGAGTAGTATAAACTGTTTTGTAGTTATTTGTTCACGAGATAGTTGCACCCAAGATGAGGAGAAAATAATCAATACTATTGCAAGCCTAATAACAACATTATTAGTTCTTTACTAATGTTTGATTGATGTTTTGTTTGATGTTATTTATTCACTTTCCCTGGATTTTTAAGAATATTTCATTAGCCAAATTGCTTTAGTTGCACACAGCCATTTAAAGATCGGGTCAGATTTTGTATTGAAGAATTCACTTCACTTTTGAACATAACTTTGTCAAGGAAACTTGTTTATTGTCATTAGTACTGTATTACTTAGCAAGCTTTCCGTTTCAGTATATGTTTAGTACAGTGTGTATAATCACGTTGCAGCGCGGGCATGACGCTGGGCGAGCTGACCCGCGGGCGTATCTCGTTGATCTGCGTGTCGGCGGTGCAGACGGAGACGGTGGACGCGCTGGCCGTGCCGCTGCTGAGCGCGCTGTACCTGTGCGTGCGCCACAACGCCGCGGCCGCGCCCGCGCCCCCCGCCGCCCCCTCCTCCGCCTCACACACCACCGACTACAAAGGTACTCCTAGCTGCGTCTGTCCGCCTAGTACCAGAGTTTGCTTTACGTTACCACGTTAATGACATTTGGTGCTTTGATTGGTCTGAGCTCCAAGTTGACTAACCAATGAGAGTGCTAAACGTAGTAACGTTAAAGAGAATGCTTCAAGGTATTTCACGAATTTAAAATTAATTTACAGTGAAATATCTAATAATATGGAAAATTTGTAAAGAAAGTTAAATATCGCTGGTAATCTTGGAGTATTCATCTTGACGTAAAAAGAACTCCTCTGGGCATTTACTTTTGTACTGAAATCTACTTTTAAAAAGGTAGACCTTAATGACTCTGCTTAGGTTTATTGCACCAAGATTAACTCTTATGAAAGTACCTTTAACTAGGCCCATTGTTGCTAACAGTTATATCGGGATCTTAATACGTCTTTGTTGTTAAATAGTGCACTCATTCAAAAATTATATGTGTTTGCGCAATTGCTTTTTTGCGCAATAATGACGCGAATAACGTAGTTTCCGCCTAGGTAAGTCGGTAACGCCAGAATTTATACTACCAACTTGAGCGTTGTATTAAACAAACATTTATTTTTTTGCGCATTTAATTATATTTGCGCAACTATTCTTTTTTCACTTGATATCAAATAATTGTTCGAAGACTGCACTTAAAAATGCAAATTCATCAAAAAAATCATTAATACTTATTTGATAATCTGCTATAGTTAATGATAAAACTAGATCCCGGTATAGGTCATTCCTCATAGATTTGAATAAAACCCATAACAAATTGTAATTAATAAAAATGAATAATTTATCATTGAAGTCAGTAGTTTTGAGTACTTAATCACTATGTAATAAAGCATTGATTTTATAAAATAATTTTACACCATTTCGACAATTTATCACCAGTTTCATAGCTTCGTGAAGTTTTCCAGTTAGACCACAGCTATCAGTCACACTTACACATGTAATAATATAATCACAATAACGCACACACATACACGCTACATTTATTTTGCCAGCCAACATAATATCAACGCTGTTGATCTGCTGAAATAAGGTTCAGAATGCAATGACTGAAAATATCGACCAGAATGAAAAAAGCATCATATGCCCGCAGTCTTAATAACAATCAAGAGAGAATTTGCGTCTTGTAATAGCTTTAAAAACATTATCAATATTGATTATTATTAATATTGATTACTATGTTCATAATATAAAATATATGCGACATTGTACTATGATGTCACTGTACAATATTTTATTTATGTAAAATATTAGTCATCAAATATTTGGACGCAAAAAATGGCCGGTCAAATTCGGTTGTACGACAAAATTAATTAAGGATTTTATATTTATCTACACACATATAAAACTGATAACATTCTCCATTGTAGATCTAAGTTCGAATCTTAGTAGAATTTTAAAATTTTGGAGAATTGTGACACTTTTTGCCACCATATAATGTTTGGGTGGCGATTAGTGAGTGTGCAGTGGTGGGGATGTATGTACGGGTGTTGTAGCGCGGTCAGACTGCGGCAGTGGGTCGGGCAGCGCTGAAGGCCACTCGCTCGACGACTTCGCCGCTGACGTTAGGGAGCTAGACCCATCCTCGCCTGTTTTCGGTAATTACACACCATTTTTGTTTGCATTTTTCACAGGGGTAATGTATTGACACAGTCCTTAAGTAGTAATAATAATTATATCAATCTTCATATCTTAGGCCTTATTTACGGAGACGTCCATTTTGTAGAACAATGCTGATTTGTTTATGTTTGCGCGGACAATGTCGTGCCCTGCTTCGTATACTGCACGCAATGTACGACGAACTTGCGCAATTTACGACGAACTAATGACTCGCTAATTTCGTGGTAGCCCGAAGGCGCGCTTCTCATGCATCAAGGGGCCGGTTCGAAACCTGGCAAGTACCAATGTGATTTTTCCGATTTATACGTATGTACTTTGTATGATTATAAGTTTGAAATCGCCAATACGCCTTGAGTAAACGTGGTGATTAATGTTCAAACCTTCTCGGTGTGAGAAGCGGCCTTCGCCCAGCAGTGGGAACTTAAATTCAAATTCACTTATGACTGATAATGTAAACGACGTACTAGGCAACGTGCGGCGACTCCGTAAATGAGACACGAGTAATGAGTTTGTTTCCTTTGATGAAAAAAGTCTATCAATTAATTGGTTTTTTGAAAGTTAAGACATTGCCCCTTTAAAGTACATTGTACACTTTTATCTATGTGTTTGGATCCTTTTCGCTTTGAACTATGAGTGTATTTGAAATCATATTTATTTAAATTAACGACTTACTCACGTGACGTAACTAAGGAAAGCTCGGACACGAGAATGCTTTTCGCAGTTCATTAACGTGAGAAAGTCCATATTTTGGATACATTTTTTTATAGCGAAAAGTGATATTTCCTTAAATTAAAAGTTTACATTGTACTTATCAACTGCCTCATTTTGTCTTACAGTTTTGCTTGCCTTAATTATCAATTTTAGTTTTTGTTGTAATTTCACAGTACATTTCATTTCAATCTATTGTGTACTTTGTTCTGTTCATTGTAATTTTAATTTATACTTACAGTAAGTGTTTTTAATGAATATAATTGTGTAATATTGTTTCCTATTGAATAAGCTTATCATTTCTTTATGTATACTTCTTTTGGCAGGAAGTTAGTTGATTTGGCATTATTGATTTCAATTCAATTCAAAATGAATGATGTAATATTAGACTGGAAAGTGCTGCAAGTTCGATTCTTGCACGGAACAATTTTATTCTTTGTTTGATATACAAATTATGGTTCCGGTTCGTAAAAGTCCCCAGGACAATGGAACAATATTTAATGATAGGGAAAATAAGAAAGTATTTTAAAATTAAAATAATGTAAAGTTCCTCTACACGAAATTATTACGTATGAGTGACATAAGGTGCAGCGCTGGTGGTGCGCGCTACTTACCTGGTCTGCCACCGCCTCATCTCCTCTTGGAAGGGAGACCTTCAAGTTTCCCTGGCTGCTCTAGAACTGCTATCTGGACTTGCCAAGCTACATTCATCAAAACCAGGTCAGTTAAAAATATATGTACATTTTAGGTGTGGTGTGGTGTAAAATCTTGATCCTTAATGTTTGTCTGTGCAGATGTTTGCATCTGGTTGTTATATGTATCTTGAAAAATAGTGTAAAGTGGATAAACGTTACAATCGTGGAGAAAAGCCGGTTGTAAGAATGTTACAATAATGCATAAAATTTTGTGTTTTGCATGCTGCCTAGAATTTGTAATCGGTAAGTTGTCGCTTTTTAGAAGTTTATAAACATGAACGCCAGTTTAAAGTCTTTGATTATATTATTATGCTGACAATATATGCATGTAAAAATATCGTTGGATATTTAGTGGATTCGAACTAAGACCGAATATGACTAGATTTTAATTCAAATAACTTACAGGGTCACTTAGATATCGTTTCAAATATAACAAGCCTACTGTTAAATCTAAACCCTGTGTATTGAGATCGATTTTCGAAATCATTTGTCACAAACCCAGAACAATTCAGGTAAAATATGATCGAAATGCCTTCGTTCGGCGTACAGAGGCGATAGAGCGCAAGCGCGCAGTGCGTTGGATCTGCGACTACATCACGGTGCAGTGCAGCCGGCCCCCGCAGGCGCACTCGCGCGACCTGCACTCCTGCGTGGTGGCCGCCTACTCCTGCCTGGCCGCCTGGCTCTGCCCCGCACTGCTCGCTGACCAGGACTGCATTGCCACGCTGCTCGAGGTCGTCGAGCTTGGCATCTCCGGGAGTAAGAGCCAAGGTGAACTCATCAACTGTACAAATGTATTTTCTATTCGTAGCAAAAGTGAAATAGAAAAATATGAGGCGCTTTCGGAACTAAAAAAATAATATGAATAGTCAAAAAGTGTCAGTCTGTCAGCTAATTTAAAGTGTAGATTTCTATGGAAAAGAACGAGCAAGAAACTCCATAGTTACCCACTTTCAGTCGGTTTCACAATAATGTACATGATTTGGTTACATTAAGCCTTTCCTGGATCCTCCGTTCCAGGCTGCGAGATCTTTGCCTAGCGGTCTTCGTACATTTCATCAAAATGTCCCGCTTAGTTTGGTTTTGAGAGCATAAACCATTAGTGAAAAAGAAACTGTAATGGGGTAGTAGTTGTTTTATTATAAAGAAAATATTCGTTTCAGGAAAACCTGGAGAGCCTCCAAAGATGAAGGACGAGAAAGAACTGAAACCCGTCTCTATGAGAGTTCGGGATGCTGCTGAATCTTTGCTCATGTTGATTCTGGAACAGGTGAGTAGTAGAGGATCTCCGTGTAGAGAAGAGAACTATAAGGTTTAGGCTGACAGAAAAATATCGGGTCTCTTTGGTGATATTAATTGAATATTATCATGCTTGCTACATGTAAGTATCTTACGAGGTCTTGCCATGACTTTTTAAATGTTTTTTTCTATTAATAGCAAATAGGCAACGGTGGCAATGGTTCGTCGTGGTGCCGCCTGGACGAGCGCTGGCTGTCAGCGTTGGGACACGGGCGTCTCCGACACTTCGTGGCCGACGGGAACATACTGCTGTCTCTATTAGAGGAGCCGCTTAGCAACAGCCAGGAGCCGCAGCCTACGCTTATTGGTCAGTTACTATATTGTGTCCTAGCTATTCTCGCGTGGTTGTTTCTTTCGATCGTAGCGTGATGTTTTATAGCTTATGGCCTGCCTCTATAATGTGATTAACAAACACAAAAATAATTGCTTAATTCTAACTAGCAGATAAACGCGTCCAAACAAACAAACAAATTTTGCAGCATTATAATGTTAGTATCGACAACGTCGTGTTTTCTATGGAGCTTTAGTCTTTAGTCCTCACGGCCGGCAACGTACTTGTTTTTTACTCCTTTAGGTGTTGATGATATTTATGGGCGATGCTGATGGCCACCAAGAGCTCATTTGTTCGGTTGTACTATAACGAAAAAATACTACAAATTGCGATGTATACAGTCCTTTACCTTTTGTTGCTAAAAAGGTAATGATGTAATTGGTGCTACCTTACAGTTGTTAAGCTCACTCAAGGGTCTCATTGTTGGTGGCATGGTCACTGGATCGCTCGATTCCCTATAATATGGTATAGTTGGGCGATGCTGGTGTACGTGTCAATTGGAACTCGTTAATTCTAAATTGTTGAAATGTATATTGTTGTTGCGGCTTATATTGAACTGGTTGTGTATAATATGTGCGCAGTGATAATCCGTTGCGGCTGGGGTCGGTACGCGTGGTCGCTGAGCGCGCGCGGCGCGGCGCGGTGCGCGGGGCGCGGCGTGGGCGCGGCGTGCGCGCGGCCCGTGGACATGCGCGACGCGCGCCCCGCCGCGCACCCGCTCTGTCGCGCGCTGCCGCATGCGCCGCCCTGCGCCACGTACGTACACTGCAGCCTCTAGTATTGTATCACCCGACCTCAATAGTTTGGGGCCGGTACGCGCGGCCCGTGGACATGCGCGACGCGCGCCCCGCCGCGCACCCGCTCTGTCGCGCGCTGCCGCATGCGCCGCCCTGCGCCACGTACGTACACTGCAGCCTCTAGTATTGTATCACCCGACCTCAATAGTTTGGGGCCGGTACGCGCGGCCCGTGGACATGCGCGACGCGCGCCCCGCCGCGCACCCGCTCTGTCGCGCGCTGCCGCATGCGCCGCCCTGCGCCACGTACGTACACTGCAGCCTCTAGTATTGTATCACCCGACCTCAATAGTTTGGGGCCGGTACGCGCGGCCCGTGGACATGCGCGACGCGCGCCCCGCCGCGCACCCGCTCTGTCGCGCGCTGCCGCATGCGCCGCCCTGCGCCACGTACGTACACTGCAGCCTCTAGTATTGTATCACCCGACCTCAATAGTTTGGGGCCGGTACGCGCGGCCCGTGGACATGCGCGACGCGCGCCCCGCCGCGCACCCGCTCTGTCGCGCGCTGCCGCATGCGCCGCCCTGCGCCACGTACGTACACTGCAGCCTCTAGTATTGTATCACCCGACCTCAATAGTTTGGGGCCGGTACGCGCGGCCCGTGGACATGCGCGACGCGCGCCCCGCCGCGCACCCGCTCTGTCGCGCGCTGCCGCATGCGCCGCCCTGCGCCACGTACGTACACTGCAGCCTCTAGTATTGTATCACCCGACCTCAATAGTTTGGGGCCGGTACGCGCGGCCCGTGGACATGCGCGACGCGCGCCCCGCCGCGCACCCGCTCTGTCGCGCGCTGCCGCATGCGCCGCCCTGCGCCACGTACGTACACTGCAGCCTCTAGTATTGTATCACCCGACCTCAATAGTTTGGGGCCGGTACGCGCGGCCCGTGGACATGCGCGACGCGCGCCCCGCCGCGCACCCGCTCTGTCGCGCGCTGCCGCATGCGCCGCCCTGCGCCACGTACGTACACTGCAGCCTCTAGTATTGTATCACCCGACCTCAATAGTTTGGGGCCGGTACGCGCGGCCCGTGGACATGCGCGACGCGCGCCCCGCCGCGCACCCGCTCTGTCGCGCGCTGCCGCATGCGCCGCCCTGCGCCACGTACGTACACTGCAGCCTCTAGTATTGTATCACCCGACCTCAATAGTTTGGGGCCGGTACGCGCGGCCCGTGGACATGCGCGACGCGCGCCCCGCCGCGCACCCGCTCTGTCGCGCGCTGCCGCATGCGCCGCCCTGCGCCACGTACGTACACTGCAGCCTCTAGTATTGTATCACCCGACCTCAATAGTTTGGGGCCGGTACGCGCGGCCCGTGGACATGCGCGACGCGCGCCCCGCCGCGCACCCGCTCTGTCGCGCGCTGCCGCATGCGCCGCCCTGCGCCACGTACGTACACTGCAGCCTCTAGTATTGTATCACCCGACCTCAATAGTTTGGGGCCGGTACGCGCGGCCCGTGGACATGCGCGACGCGCGCCCCGCCGCGCACCCGCTCTGTCGCGCGCTGCCGCATGCGCCGCCCTGCGCCACGTACGTACACTGCAGCCTCTAGTATTGTATCACCCGACCTCAATAGTTTGGGGCCGGTACGCGCGGCCCGTGGACATGCGCGACGCGCGCCCCGCCGCGCACCCGCTCTGTCGCGCGCTGCCGCATGCGCCGCCCTGCGCCACGTACGTACACTGCAGCCTCTAGTATTGTATCACCCGACCTCAATAGTTTGGGGCCGGTACGCGCGGCCCGTGGACATGCGCGACGCGCGCCCCGCCGCGCACCCGCTCTGTCGCGCGCTGCCGCATGCGCCGCCCTGCGCCACGTACGTACACTGCAGCCTCTAGTATTGTATCACCCGACCTCAATAGTTTGGGGCCGGTACGCGCGGCCCGTGGACATGCGCGACGCGCGCCCCGCCGCGCACCCGCTCTGTCGCGCGCTGCCGCATGCGCCGCCCTGCGCCACGTACGTACACTGCAGCCTCTAGTATTGTATCACCCGACCTCAATAGTTTGGGGCCGGTACGCGCGGCCCGTGGACATGCGCGACGCGCGCCCCGCCGCGCACCCGCTCTGTCGCGCGCTGCCGCATGCGCCGCCCTGCGCCACGTACGTACACTGCAGCCTCTAGTATTGTATCACCCGACCTCAATAGTTTGGGGCCGGTACGCGCGGCCCGTGGACATGCGCGACGCGCGCCCCGCCGCGCACCCGCTCTGTCGCGCGCTGCCGCATGCGCCGCCCTGCGCCACGTACGTACACTGCAGCCTCTAGTATTGTATCACCCGACCTCAATAGTTTGGGGCCGGTACGCGCGGCCCGTGGACATGCGCGACGCGCGCCCCGCCGCGCACCCGCTCTGTCGCGCGCTGCCGCATGCGCCGCCCTGCGCCACGTACGTACACTGCAGCCTCTAGTATTGTATCACCCGACCTCAATAGTTTGGGGCCGGTACGCGCGGCCCGTGGACATGCGCGACGCGCGCCCCGCCGCGCACCCGCTCTGTCGCGCGCTGCCGCATGCGCCGCCCTGCGCCACGTACGTACACTGCAGCCTCTAGTATTGTATCACCCGACCTCAATAGTTTGGGGCCGGTACGCGCGGCCCGTGGACATGCGCGACGCGCGCCCCGCCGCGCACCCGCTCTGTCGCGCGCTGCCGCATGCGCCGCCCTGCGCCACGTACGTACACTGCAGCCTCTAGTATTGTATCACCCGACCTCAATAGTTTGGGGCCGGTACGCGCGGCCCGTGGACATGCGCGACGCGCGCCCCGCCGCGCACCCGCTCTGTCGCGCGCTGCCGCATGCGCCGCCCTGCGCCACGTACGTACACTGCAGCCTCTAGTATTGTATCACCCGACCTCAATAGTTTGGGGCCGGTACGCGCGGCCCGTGGACATGCGCGACGCGCGCCCCGCCGCGCACCCGCTCTGTCGCGCGCTGCCGCATGCGCCGCCCTGCGCCACGTACGTACACTGCAGCCTCTAGTATTGTATCACCCGACCTCAATAGTTTGGGGCCGGTACGCGCGGCCCGTGGACATGCGCGACGCGCGCCCCGCCGCGCACCCGCTCTGTCGCGCGCTGCCGCATGCGCCGCCCTGCGCCACGTACGTACACTGCAGCCTCTAGTATTGTATCACCCGACCTCAATAGTTTGGGGCCGGTACGCGCGGCCCGTGGACATGCGCGACGCGCGCCCCGCCGCGCACCCGCTCTGTCGCGCGCTGCCGCATGCGCCGCCCTGCGCCACGTACGTACACTGCAGCCTCTAGTATTGTATCACCCGACCTCAATAGTTTGGGGCCGGTACGCGCGGCCCGTGGACATGCGCGACGCGCGCCCCGCCGCGCACCCGCTCTGTCGCGCGCTGCCGCATGCGCCGCCCTGCGCCACGTACGTACACTGCAGCCTCTAGTATTGTATCACCCGACCTCAATAGTTTGGGGCCGGTACGCGCGGCCCGTGGACATGCGCGACGCGCGCCCCGCCGCGCACCCGCTCTGTCGCGCGCTGCCGCATGCGCCGCCCTGCGCCACGTACGTACACTGCAGCCTCTAGTATTGTATCACCCGACCTCAATAGTTTGGGGCCGGTACGCGCGGCCCGTGGACATGCGCGACGCGCGCCCCGCCGCGCACCCGCTCTGTCGCGCGCTGCCGCATGCGCCGCCCTGCGCCACGTACGTACACTGCAGCCTCTAGTATTGTATCACCCGACCTCAATAGTTTGGGGCCGGTACGCGCGGCCCGTGGACATGCGCGACGCGCGCCCCGCCGCGCACCCGCTCTGTCGCGCGCTGCCGCATGCGCCGCCCTGCGCCACGTACGTACACTGCAGCCTCTAGTATTGTATCACCCGACCTCAATAGTTTGGGGCCGGTACGCGCGGCCCGTGGACATGCGCGACGCGCGCCCCGCCGCGCACCCGCTCTGTCGCGCGCTGCCGCATGCGCCGCCCTGCGCCACGTACGTACACTGCAGCCTCTAGTATTGTATCACCCGACCTCAATAGTTTGGGGCCGGTACGCGCGGCCCGTGGACATGCGCGACGCGCGCCCCGCCGCGCACCCGCTCTGTCGCGCGCTGCCGCATGCGCCGCCCTGCGCCACGTACGTACACTGCAGCCTCTAGTATTGTATCACCCGACCTCAATAGTTTGGGGCCGGTACGCGCGGCCCGTGGACATGCGCGACGCGCGCCCCGCCGCGCACCCGCTCTGTCGCGCGCTGCCGCATGCGCCGCCCTGCGCCACGTACGTACACTGCAGCCTCTAGTATTGTATCACCCGACCTCAATAGTTTGGGGCCGGTACGCGCGGCCCGTGGACATGCGCGACGCGCGCCCCGCCGCGCACCCGCTCTGTCGCGCGCTGCCGCATGCGCCGCCCTGCGCCACGTACGTACACTGCAGCCTCTAGTATTGTATCACCCGACCTTCAATAGTTTGGGGCCGGTACGCGCGGCCCGTGGACATGCGCGACGCGCGCCCCGCGCGCCACCCGCTCTGTCGCGCGCTGCCGCATGCGCCGCCCTGCGCCACGTACGTACACTGCAGCCTCTAGTATTGTATCACCCGACCTCAATAGTTGGGGCCGGTACGCGCGGCCCGTGGACATGCGCGACGCGCGCCCCGCCGCGCACCCGCTCTGTCGCGCGCTGCGCATGCGCCGCCCCTGCGCCACGTACGTACACTGCAGCCTCTAGTATTGTATCACCCGACCTCAATAGTTTGGGGCCGGTACGCGCGGCCCGTGGACATGCGCGACGCGCGCCCCGCCGCGCACCCGCTCTGTCGCGCGCTGCCGCATGCGGCCGCCCTGCGCCACGTACGTACACTGCAGCCTCTAGTATTGTATCACCCGACCTCAATAGTTTGGGGCCGGTACGCGCGGCCCGTGGACATGCGCGACGCGCGCCCGCGCCGCGCACCCGCTCTGTCGCGCGCTGCCGCATGCGCCGCCCTGCGCCACGTACGTACACTGCAGCCTCTAGTATTGTATCACCCGACCTCAATAGTTTGGGGCCGGTACGCGCGGCCCGTGGACATGCCGCGACGCGCGCCCCGCCGCGCACCCGCTCTGTCGCGCGCTGCCGCATGCGCCGCCCTGCGCCACGTACGTACACTGCAGCCTCTAGTATTGTATCACCCGACCTCAATAGTTTGGGGCCGGTACGCGCGGCCCGTGGACATGCGCGACGCGCGCCCCGCCGCGCACCCGCTCTGTCGCGCGCTGCCGCATGCGCCGCCCTGCGCCACGTACGTACACTGCAGCCTCTAGTATTGTATCACCCGACCTCAATAGTTTGGGGCCGGTACGCGCGGCCCGTGGACATGCGCGACGCGCGCCCCGCCGCGCACCCGCTCTGTCGCGCGCTGCCGCATGCGCCGCCCTGCGCCACGTACGTACACTGCAGCCTCTAGTATTGTATCACCCGACCTCAATAGTTTGGGGCCGGTACGCGCGGCCCGTGGACATGCGCGACGCGCGCCCCGCCGCGCACCCGCTCTGTCGCGCGCTGCCGCATGCGCCGCCCTGCGCCACGTACGTACACTGCAGCCTCTAGTATTGTATCACCCGACCTCAATAGTTTGGGGCCGGTACGCGCGGCCCGTGGACATGCGCGACGCGCGCCCCGCCGCGCACCCGCTCTGTCGCGCGCTGCCGCATGCGCCGCCCTGCGCCACGTACGTACACTGCAGCCTCTAGTATTGTATCACCCGACCTCAATAGTTTGGAAGCATATTCTTAATCCAAAAGTATAACATACGCCTTAGTCAGTGTAGTGTGTGTGACACCTCTCCCATAAGTAATGTAGTAAGTTATTATAATAATGGACACCCGTCACACACACACACGTCTTATTTGCTCAGATGGGGCGTAAGGGAGTGTCAGACTGTTAAAACGGGGCCACATTACATTATTGTGCTTGCACCCGCAACTCTGACACCCCTCACAATCAAAAGTCATTTTATTGCGTGTTATATTTAACATTATAACGCCACTATGACCACAAAAATACTTGAACATGATCCCCAATGCGACTAGAAACTAGTTTAACATTCCTGAAACAACAGAATGCATTACTTATATAAACCACAAACATAATATGTTTTTATAACTAACCAAATCTTTCTTATGCGTTTCTAGTGACTCGGCATTCCCAAGTTTGGAAGCAGTATTACGACAACTGAACGACCCGGACGCGCCAACCTTGTTCAAACTATTGGAACAACAGGCGGCCATCGAGAAACGAGTCAAAGAGAGCGAAGATAACGTTGTAAGTAAACGTTTTTAGTTGAATCACGTTAGATAGTGTTTCGAAATTGGTTATTTAAAAAAAAATTGCCTATCACTAGTCTTTTGTCCTATACCATGGGTGTGTTTACAAACATACAAATTCATATATACAAGCCACCCAGACCCGAAACAATATTAATTAATGGTTCACACAGCGGCAATCGATCTGGCGATACGTTGCACAGCAGCTAGGTCAATAAACATATAATCTCACATACACTGGTGTATGTGAGATAACAACTATTTTTGGATTACGCAATGAGTTGTTCCACCGCATCAACTGTATCTTTGTATGCAATTCGTTTATATGTCGATAGTAGTCGATGATACCCGCAATAGAATGGATTAAGTAAGACGTGAAAACTAATTTAGAGTTTGTAATGGCTTGAAATAGCCATAAAAATGTTACCCTAATTTCGACTTTATTGCTTCGGATACATTATGGTTATTAAACTTTTTTTAGGTACCAGAAGAATATATCCCACCGGAACCGGTGACAGAGTTCCAAACAGCAAGATTGTTTTTATCACATTTCGGATATTTGAACATTGGAGGCGATAAAAAGGTATTTATTATTTATATTTTATAAATACAAACAACTAGTATTGTACACAGTTTTATAACTATTTTGCTATTATATATTTGGTGATTAAATTTGTGTTATTCTCATTGTTTAACCATAAAAAGAGTAACCATGGAGTTTCTTGCTCGTTTTTCGTCATCAGAATCTACACTTTAGAACGAGCAAATAGCTTCACTAGAGGACAGACCTACAGACTGACAGGGTTTTTTGTTTGTTCAAAAGTGCGTATGGTGGTCTATTTGATATAATTTTTTTGACTTTGACTTTTAACTTTGTACATTATTGTGCTTGATCCGCAGCCCTAGCTGAAGGTTAAAACTGTCCTTTAACTTTATTATAGCATTTATGAACAAGTCCATCAAGATTTACATCATCGATATCGATGATTTACCATCGTTTAAGTGGAATATAAATGGCTGTGTACAGGGTAGCCCGAGTCGGCTGGTGGCGCTGGACGACACGGCGCCCGGGTTCGCGGCAGCCCTGCGGCGTCTGGACGCGTGCGGCGCGCGCGCCTGCGTCACGGTGCACGTGTTCTGCGCGCGCGCAGGCCAGCGCTCCGCCGCGCAGATTGTGGCCAACGCGCGCAGCCGGGCCACTGTGCCGCCCGCCTTCATACGCATGCTGCAGGGGTACGCTATTACACTTTACCTGACTTTGCTACTCGAACGAACAAACTGTTTGACTATGAGAGAGCCAGGCTTCGGCACGAATGGATCGACTCGACCGGAGTGATACCAAAGCCGCGCAGAAAACCGACATGAAACAACCTCAGTTTTATGTTTAGCCGTGTAAGGGAGGTTACCGAAGGCCCAATACTTCCCTCTCCAATCCTTAAATATCCGAAACCCTTATCTTCAAAAGGCCTATACCTACGCGTTCATAACTCCTTTGGTGTAGAGAGTGTCCATGGGCGGCGCTGATTGCTTACCGTCAGATAATCCGCCTAATCGTTTGCCGACCTACCTCGTAAAAAAACAAAGCATTTTTCATATAAGCTAATTTTGTATTTTTTATAATTTTGCCAAAAGGCCACTTATGTCATTTCAAGCTTTAACGAAACTATCTCCAAACTCAACTTAAAGTCACAAATTGACTTTTTTTTGACCTATCAGACTAGGCACCCCAGTCCGAGTGCGCGGTCACCCTGGCTGGGCGGGGCACGTGGACACAAGCTACGACGCGCCCCCGCAGCCCGCCAGCCAACCACTCGGCGAGCCCGCGCCCGCTATGTATGACGCTAGGGAACAGGTATGCCATGCTTCTTTAACAAAAACATCCCTTCATATTTTGGGCACCATTTCCACTTAGAAAAGTACGAGAGACCCTCTGCGGCCGCCGTAAGCGCTGGTCTGCGGACGGCGAGTAAGGCCGCCCGACCAGAACCAGGCCCGAGCGTACGGCGCGTAGCGTTCCGCGCGCGCCTCAAAGAGCTAATAGACCACCACAGACGGGGCCCTATAGGGCTGATGCTTAGACGGGGTTACAAGCGCAATGAGTCACCGCAGCCTCGGCCCAGAGCAGGAGAAGGAACGAGAGGTTTTTAGTCAGTAAGAGTCTGACACTCTCTCCCGCCTATTGACCTGGATGGGAGAAGTCATTTGACGATTTTCCCCTGAAAATAAAGAAAAAATATAGCAAAGTAGTACCAGGGGTGGAGCTACTCTTCATTCATTCCACTCTGAAGTATAATACTGCCACGGCAGATTTACGAAGTACGATACCGAGTATTAGGGCGCGAGTCGAAACCTGGCAAGTACCAATGTGACCTTTTCCGAGTTATTATAATGTAACTTCTATGATTATTTAAACATCACTGACATACGGTGAAGGAAAACATCGTGAGGAAATATGAAGTTATAATTTCTAATTATAAGTTCAGCCTTGAGCAAGCGCCTTTGCTCAGGAGTGGGCACTTAAATAGGCTGATGATGTGATGCTGCTCGACGACCAGAAGTATAATTTCGTGGCTAGCCGTGGCCGCGTAAATCGAAGGAAGCGCTATCAAATGTTGTTATTTTAAAGAAGTCCTCAACAAATGTCATATGAATTCCAAGTTAACTTTAGTTATAACAAATGTATATTTTTGAATAATATCTATCGCGAGACATACTATACTAATTGAAATTAATTGGCTTGCCCACGTAAACTGTTTGACAAAGACCAATACAATAGATATCGTACGCAATGTCGCCGCAGCGTGTACGCTGTATGCATTAATAAAGTATGAGTCCCGGTGTGACATGAAACCGGTATAGAATTTCTCGAATAGTTAGTTGTGAGTAAGCCGCATATTTAAGTTATGTAGTATACTTATATTCTATGTTCCCTTATGTCTTAACGCAAATCTCATTGTTCGTTTTCTACCGTCAGGTACTTTATTGGTCGGACTCGACGAATGAAATAGCGTTCGTAGTACCATCGGGCCGGGAGAGTATGGACAGCGAGGATCGAAACGACAGTATTAAGTCTGATGTCGATGGTTCCTGCTTGTCTAATCGGTAAGTAGTAAAATAATATAATATTATCTAAGAATGCGTCTTAACTATGATATCTTAACTATGTTATGGCGATCGAGATGGCGCTGTGCTGTCAAGTAAACATTAAGCTCCGTATTTAAATATAAAAAAAATAATAAATTCAGTAATCTCCTTAAAATAACATATTCAATCTTGTATAAATAGTATAAATTACCTGAGATATTGTTATCTACTTGCTAACTTAGCCCTGGAGAGATTTATTAAGTGATTTCATGTGAACAGTTATAAGTGATTAAAAACAATTAATTAAAACATATTTGTACTGTTTTATACATAAGCATACTAGTTATTAGCAAACAATAAGTGAAAGTGCGAAAATTAACGAAAAAAGAAGAAAAAAGTGCAAAAAAGTGAAAACCGTTAACATTTAAATTTAATACTGCTAAAATAACAACATTCGAATGAAACTAAAAACTATACCTACCTCAATTTCGACATAATAACCAACGTACTTAGTAGCCGACTTGGCGATACGAGGACTGACGATCAATCGACACCCGGATCGATCCCCACTGAGTGCATGCTCTTTTTGTGATATCTTCGTTTGGTTTATCTTTATCTATTAGAAATTACGATGAACTTCATAAATAACATTACGTTACGACGACGAAACCGAACATTCTCGGACCCCAACAAAAGTAACGTGAGCGATGTTTCCACACATACCCTCCACGATGACAGTGTATCCAGTATGCCTGACTTGTCAAATGATGAGTCACAGAATGAACTGATACATAAATTAAAACAACAAATAAACCAATTGCAAACTGAACTTAGCAGTGCCCATCAAGAAATTGAAATTCTTTCTATGGAAAATACAAAACTCAAACGCGCGAATTTTGAACTACTAGAACAAAATAACTTATACAAAACGGTTACCCAAAGTCCCATAAAGAAAACCAAAACAAACACACCTCTCAGAAAAGAAAAAACAAGAAGAAATAAACAATTACACACATCAAGTCAACTACAGTCGTCACCAACGATAGATGTAACTAATCCGGGCCAGCCATTATCTGGTACCGAGCTTACGCAAAGTCAGACAGAAATTAAGAGAAAGAAACCTAAAAATAAAATTCACATATTAAGTACTAGTACTAAACATAAAATATTGTCTATTTCTCAAAAAACTTTCTCCGAAAAATTTGATATTTGCCATTATCTTAAGCCAAACTGCAGTACAGAACAACTTATTAATAATTTGGAAACCAAAATACAAGATTTTACGATGAACGACTTTTGTGTCATTTTAATAGGCGAAGAAGATTTCAAAAGCACTCATGATTACTTTAACCTTATACTGTATATAAGAGAAGTTTTGCAAAAACTACGTCACACTAACATAATCATCTGTGCGCCCACTTTTAAGTATGTACATCACACAAATATGTTCAACTGGCGAGTAGCGAACTTTAATAATCTGTTGTATTTCGATGTACTAGAACATGAGCACGCTTACTTCTTAGACTCAAATAAAAATCTAAAATGTAGTTATGAGATGTTTAATATGAAAAGTGGCACGGTGAATAACGTCGGCATGAAAACTATCTTCCAAGACATCCATGAATTTGTTAATGGAATAATCAAGTACGAAATACACCCAGTAGATAGTCCATCGTCCTCAAATCAGTTGACTTATGAAAACGCTGAATCTATGTTTTTTCGAAACTAAACACCTACATGTGTTACACCAAAATATAGCTGGATTACTTAACAAAACTGATATCCTGATGATAAATATGGAAGAACTTGCAGATAAAAACAAAAATATTGATGTCCTTTGTATCACGGAACATTTTATGATGGCAGGAACTGAAACACATCTCCACATAAATAACTATGTATTAGCTAGTTGTTTCAGTAGAAGTAACAGCAAAAGAGGCGGAGCCTGCATCATGGTTCATAAAGACCACCAATGGAGAGAGATTACAGAAGTTAAAACTAATTGTATAATTAATGTATTTGAATGTTGTGCCATCGAATTAACTGATTACAAAGTAGTTATAGTCTGTGTCTATCGAGTGCCGAATTCAAATAATTTGGTTACATTTTTTGCTAAGCTTGAAAAGATTCTTTTGCTCATTACAAAATTACGATGTAATAATATTTTAATAGCTGGCGACTTTAATATTAATGTTTTAAAAAGTAATAATGTATCACTAGACTTCGAATGTTTGTTATTAAACTTCAACTTAAAGCTTGCTATAAAACAGCCTACTAGACTAATTAGCATGACTTGTATAGATAACTTTGCTCATGATTTTAAAAAACAATGTAAGACTGAAGTATTGGAATTTGGTTTATCAGATCATACAGCCCAATTAATAAAACTCCCGATAAAAAAGGTTTTAAAATTTAAATACTGGTATAAAACGGAACGAGACTATTGTAAAGATAACGTTGATAAATTTAAAATGTGCGTAAAAAATTTTTCTTTCTCGGAATTGTATACCATGAACGACACTGATAGTGCATATTCATATTTTATAGATAATTTTAAATTATTCTATGATTTGTGCTTTCCACAAAAAATAACCAAGGTACAAGTTAACTATAAATGTAAATGGATATCGCGCGGAATCAAAATTTGTAGCAGGAAAAAAAGATTATTGTTATGGAAATTTAGACAAAAACCAACTAAAACAAATAAGAACAATTATATCAGATATTCCAAATTACTGAAAAAAATTATAACTCTAACAAAGTGTGTTCAAAATAATTACAAAATTAAAACATCGGACAACAAATCAAAAACAACATGGCAAATTATTAATAAAACACGGTCAAATTTACCAAGAGAACCCATAGAAAAAATTAAAATGCAAAATAAAAGTATTACAAATCCTACCGAAATAGCTAGCACATTTAACGATTATTTTATTGACAAAGTTAAACCTATCCCAGGTGCCGGTAAAAAAGTAACATCCCTTATTAATTCTAGACTTAATTCAATGTATTTAGCTCCCTGTACACCGATTGACGTATTTAAAATAATAAATGGCCTAAAAAACACAAAAAGTGTTGGTTATGACGGGATCTCAACGAAAATAGTTAAGGATGTAAATGGTTATATATGTCATCATTTATGCTATATAATTAATCTAACTATTACAAAAGGCATATTTCCAAAAGATCTTAAAATAGCAATTATTAATCCATTATTGAAAAAGGATAACAAAGAATTAGTCGAAAACTACAGACCAATTGCATTTCTTTCTGTCTTTTCAAAAATCCTGGAGACTTATTACAATATACAACTAAATAATTATTTAGAAAATAACGATATCTTATGCAACGAACAAAAGGGATTTCGAAAACATAAAAATATAAATATGGCTGTTTTCGAGTTTTTGAAAAATATAATGTCCGCGATTGATAAAACCACCCCTGTATGTTCAATCTTTTGCGACATGACACAAGCCTTCGATTATGTTGATCATACAATATTAGCTAGTAAACTGGAGGCATATGGCATAAGAGGAAATGTCTTAGAGTTATTTAAATCTTATCTATCTGATCGGAAACAAATAACACTAATAACAAAATTTAACTCAAAAACCAAAAAGAAGAACAATATCAATCACAAGTAAGACATGTTAGGTACAGTGTTCCCCAAGGTAGCATACTGGGGCCCACGCTATTTATTACTTACATCAATGATCTCCCTCGTGCAACTGTGCAACCTTTAATTTTATTTGCAGACGACAGCACAATCAATATTACATGTAAAGATAAAAAGCTATTTGAATCCGAAATTAATGAGTCCTTAAATTCAGTAATAACATGGTTAGACAATAATAATTTAAAAATAAATATGAATAAAACAAATGTAATGAATTACAGCCAAAGACCTCAAAATTCAATTCAATTTAAAGTAATATATAACGTAATAAAAGAAGTAGAAACAGCAAAATTTCTTGGTTTAAAAATCGACAATAAAATCAATTGGAAATGTCACACTGAAGACCTTTGTACAAAAATAAGTAACCTATCTTATCTGATGTATAAACTATCATCAATAGTAAAAAGAGATGCGTTGTTGACGGCATATTATGGGCTGATAGAATCGGTGCTTAGATACGGTCTAATATTCTGGGGAAACTCGACAAACACTGATATGGTATTTAAAATGCAAAAGCGCTGTATCCGGGCCATGTTCAGGATTAAAACTACTGACAGCTGTCAACCACTGTTTAAGGAGTACCATATACTGACACTTCCGTCACTATACATCTTAGAAATAGCTTTATTTGTAAGAAATAACCCTCACTGGTTTCCTCTTTTGGAAGATAATTTTGTAAGAAATAGACGCAAGAAATATAAGCATTATTTACAGCCTCACTCCGCGAAAACAGCACTTGTCCATAAAAGTGTGTTTTGTATGGCACCTAAAATATACAATAAAATTCCACATAATTTAAAAAATATTAATAACAATAATTTATTCAAAAGAGAACTGAAAAATTTCCTTATTAAACATTGTTATTATCGTATCAAGGATTTTTTAAATGATAATAGTTGATTGTTTCATATTTTTAACTTTAATTGTCTCTTTAATAGTGTTTATTACCTAATTCTATTATTATTTTGTACGCCAACTGTGGCAAAACATGTTCAAACATTAGAGCTTTCACCTTACCATCTGCATTTGCATCTATATGTATAATGTTACCCACACATGTTTATACAAATAAATTTATCTTTATCTTTATCTTTATCTTTAACTAAGCCCACTGGACAACGCACTCATAAATAATTTAAGGTGTCGAATGTTGCTCTTCATATGTATTTATTTATTTAGGAAACACACAGTCTCTTACAAATGAATGATTACAATAGAATTAATAGATACAGACTTTAAGTTCCATAACGTTTATATTATAACAGAATATATCTGTTATTTTCAGTTTTTTTGTGAATCAAATGCATGTTTTTTAAGTAGTTTGAATTTTTTGTCTGAAAATATTTTAAGGGTTACTCTTCAAACATTTTCATTCGCATCTTTTATTATTAGGGTTGGCAACACTGACAATGAAATACATATTTGTATAATGCCTTGTCAATAGTTCAGAGAAGGGCGCTGGGTCCTGCTGGGACGTGTCTAGCGGTGGGAGCGTGGGTGGGTACGAGCGCAGCGTGTCGGAGTCGGAGCGCGGCGAGCGCGGCAAGCTGGGGGACAAGCTGCGCGCGCTGTCGCTCGACCTGGACAAGCAGCCCGCCGCGCATCTCGCTGGTAACCTCTCCTATATTCATACTCTACTTGATAATAATGAAACAACGTTATTCCATATTGGACTTGGAACGAACTGAACTGATTTATAGAATCATACACATACTAAAACTAATACATTCGACTTAAAACTAGGTGTTTATTATTATTACGATCTTATTATCTATACTTCTATACTAATATTATAAAGAGGTAAAATTTGTATGTTTGTAAGTTTGTATGTAGGGCTAATCTTTGGAACCGCTGGTCGGATTGCCAAAATTCTTTCACTGATAGATAGCTACAATTTTCTTGAGTGCTATAGGCTATCAAACATCACGCATTAAATGGAGCCGAGCAACGGGTGAAACCACGCGAATTTAGCTAGTTTTTATATAAACTAATACTTAAGGCTAAGAAACATTAATCCTTCTCCTCTGTTGACACCACGGAATAGAAAATACAGTGGAAGTGCCCCTCAGACATCGCGCGCTAACCAACATGATGACTAGATATACAACATTTTGGCACATTTGTTGTCAGAATCGTTCGATCCGTTGTCATGATTGGTTGTCATGGTTGTCTCTAAGAAACACGAAATATATTAGAAATTATGCCTTGTTGTGCGGTTTTTAACTGCAAAAAAGTAAGCAGAAAAAAAGATGAGTCTTGTGGTGGTGTATCGTATCATCTTTGAGTATTAACCTTTGTTAATTTTAAATATATTAGATTTTAATGTAAATATCACATTTCATTACTTCAATGCAAACTATAAAGGGCCTTATTTTCATTACAATTAAGTTTAAATCTACTTGTTCGTAATGTGACGTTATATACAATACATTCTAGTAGTTTCGACGCTACTCATTTAGGGATGCGACATATTCGTAAAATAGGTTCATATCGATAATTTTTCATCATCATCGTTCAGAAAATTGATTTTTGACAATTTTTGTGTATAATTCATAAATGTTTAACTAAGATTGCATAGACACATCAACGTTTTAACCACACACAGCGTGCATCCGTCTGTGGCAGGTGCGGGTGGTTAATCACCATTTTTATTTTACAACTAGTTTTCGCCAGCGGCTTCGCCCGCGTGCTGTGTTGATAAAAAGCAGCAAATAGCAAGAGAACAAAATCTAAGTATACATATAATTTGGTATTTATCGTCTCATTTTTATACATCTCCAATGGGTAAATACCCTATTACTTACTAAGTCTCCGCAGTCCGTCCGTCAATAGATAGAAAGGTACGGATCTAACGAATAGGTAAGAGTTACAAATATTTGATAAAACCTATATTATATTATATTTTATACCGCATCGTGTCGAGCACGGCAACCGCTACACAAAAATAATTCTTATACCATGATTCAGTGTTCACTTGCGACGGCGCTATGTCTTATTATCCGAATTGCTAAGCTATCAGGAGTTACACGTGCTATTGTGAGTTAACCATAAAAGATAGACATATGCTGTATAACATTTTTTTTTGACAATTTTATTTAAAATATTTCCGTCATACATAATTTCTATGTAAGTTTTAGTCGCGTGTGTAACCTTAATGGTTACATTAAGGTTACACACGCGACTGAAACTTACAAAAGGGAGTAACTTCTCCCGTTTTCCCAACATTTTCCTTCACTGCTCTGCTCCTATTATTTGTAGCGTGATGAAAAGTATCCTATAACCTGCCCAGGAGTATAAAGAATAATTGTACCAAGTTTTGTTAAAATCCGTCGAGTAATTTTTGTTTCTATAAAGAACATTCAGACAGACAGACAGACAGACAAAATTTTTACTGATTGCATTTTTGGCATCAGTATCGATCACTAATCACCCCCTGGTAGTTATTTTGAAAATATATTTAATGTACAGAATTGACCCCTCTACAGATTTATTATAAGTATAAATGTTGTACATGATTTTTATCAGAGTTCCAAAAAGGAGAGTGTTCGAGCGCAGCGCCTGCACTCTTATTAGGAGCAACTCAACGCGTCCTTACAATTAGGTGTCATCAGTTTAACTATATATGTATCATTGTCCTTGACTTTTGAAAGTCATTCCGCCACAATACTTGTACGTGTCAAGAGGCATTATATATTATTGAATACACATTTATTGAGTTTCCTTTGGAATCCCTGAAATTCCTGCACAGAGAGTGACTCTCAATTCGACTGTAACATTTTTTTTTGTTTTTTTCGTCTCCGTTATTTATGAACCGATTTTAATGATTCTATTTTAGGAAAGGAGATAAAACTGGTAGGAGCGCGTAGTGTTTTTATATGTTAAAATCTAAATCTTTAATAATAACTTGACCATCTCCAAAAAACATTAAATCTTCAAAAAATATGTTAATATTTTTCTTTTTTTTTTATTCGAACCTTTTTCATTACTGATCATTTGTAGGTATATCGTGTCGATAAATTATATTGCTCACACGAATACAAAAACATCGATATATTGGGATACCCTGCCCTATCTGAGTAGCAAAATAGTAAATGTCTATTGGTACAAGTGCATACAAATATGACATCTATTTCAAAGAAGTTAGCGTTTTGAATAGAATGAATTTGTTACAGCGCCATCCAGCGTTGAGTGGCTGAACCCGTTTGTAAATTGTTTTATTTAAGTTTTTTACACGATAGACGCCTTTATTGATTGTGACATGTGAAATGATAACAACTTTCGCTCATTGTTATAAGACTCAATTTTTAACAACATTTAGAAGATGATTTGCTAAAGTTGCGTTTCATGTTTTTACCCAATTATATAGCTGTTTTTTATGTGTGTAATGGGCAATTTGATTTGCGAATGTGTGATTTTGGCGACATTGGTTTTCCTTTTGAAAGAGTGTAGGGGCACTTCTACTTAATTTTCTGTTCTGTGGTTGACACTGTATATATATGCTAAGAAACATTTAGGTATGTCCAAGTAAAAATTTGTAATAGCTTTAACAAGAGAACACAAACAATATATCGGTTTTACCTGAGTAGTATTAGCATGCTATAATATCCAGCAAATAAGATATATAACTCCTTCCCCATTGGAGGTTATAGAAATTTAGAGAAATCCAAGGGGATTTTCTCTTGTGCACAAGAAACCAGCAACGCATTTGTAAGTAGGTAACTTCTTTGGTGTTACAAATGGCCATGAGCAGCACTCATTGCTTACTGTCAGGTAATTCGTCAAATCGTTTACCAAATTAACACCCGGTTTCTGAAAGTCTTGTCAACACTAAAATTAACTAATCTCCTGTTAAATCTCTTGTCAAGTCATCTGATTGGTTGTTGATAATTCAGTCAACCAATCAGATGACTTGACAAGAGGTTTAATTGATTTTAACATTGATCGGCCTTTCGGAAACCGGGGGTAAGGCAACAAAAGAAAAATAAAAAAAAAAACAGTTTTCTGTTTCCAAATGACAATGACAAAAAATACAAATAAATGATTTGTCTATATATATACTAAACATATCTTTAAAATGTACCGAATTTTTATTTATATTCCAGGTAGCGGCAGACGCAACAGAGATTACACCACGAAGATCCTCATCATATGGCTGGAAGACTACGAGGATCACTTGAATTTACCGATAGGTAAGTGTGTAGGTTATATAGTTTATAAAGGATTTGACATAGGGCTGATTTTTCAATGGTTTCGAATAAATAGTACTACATTGAAAATTATTATATGTTTAAGGGCTGATTTTTCAATAGTCAGATAAATGTAATCTGGGTAATAATTATAAAGCTGTCGCGTCAGATTATTTGTATAAGACAGTGACAGCAATTTTTTTCCTCAGATAACATTTATCTGACTATTGAAAAGTCAGCCCTTAAACGTTAAATAATTTTCAATGTAGTATTTTTTCTAAACGTTATGGGCTAAAATATACCTACCATTTTCAATGAGCAAGGACGCTTTGAATCGGTTTAAAAAAAAACAGGTTTATTACTTTTTTTAGACTGAACTCGTACGTTCCGTATTTCGTATATAGGGTGAACTTTTCACCAAAGATTGCTTTTTACATTACTAAAGACAAAAGCTAAAAACAGTCGTCACAGAAGAGTAGGACGTATTCTTCAAAACGTTATTCAAAATATCGTGGAAAGCATTCCTAGAAGGATTCAGGCTGTGATTTTGGCAAGAAATAGGTTACACTCGTTATCGGGTTTTTAAGTTTGTAATTTTATTTAATTAAAAAAAGATTATTATATTCCTTTATTGCCGTTCATTTCTTATTGTTTGGGCGTGTAAGTACATCGGTTTTAAAATACTCACTGTTTAAGCGAATAAAGTTGTTTTTCGATTGTGGGATTAGATTTTAACTAAAACGACGTGATTTCCATACACCTCTTATATTTGAACTAAAAAAAGTTTACGCAGTGTGGACTGTATACACATAGGTACATAAATATATCTTCTTATAGTTCGAGTACAATTCTCTTTGGACATTCCGCCCACCAAAGAACATAGTTCTTTAATTACAAAATGTTAATAACAAATCAACATAGATAAACTCAGTATAACTAAACTTAAACTTAATAGTGTTCTAACATGATTCTTGGTTAGAAACTCGACACACTATAGGTACTAACTCAATAAGTAAAAGGTAAACAAATTAACGAGCAATAAATGCCCAAAGTACATAAACCAACACCTTACAATACCTTGTACATAACACAAAATAACAAGATATAAAATCTTCTAAAAGTATACAACTCACAATCAAACAAATATAAGTATAAAAAAAATTAAACAAGTAATAAAAGTCTTGCAAAATGTATATAAACCAACAAAAAAAGGGTAAAGGTACTTATGTAAAAATATAACTTCAACTTAACTTAACCAAGTACATAAAAGGAAGGTTAGTAAATCTAACCAAGAAAAAAATACATTTTACTTTGTTATGACACAAATTTTACTAAGTGGACGTTTCAATTGTCCAGTTTTACATTTAACTGTCACGACACGAGTTATATTGTCAGGGCCTGTATGTGTCTGTATAATTTTACCAAGTAACCATTTTGCAGGAGGAATGTTGTCCTCTTTTAATATAACAACATCTCCAACTTTCGGTTCAGAACCTTTTGAGTTCCACTTATATCTCTGACTGAGACTTACAAGATATTCTTTTGACCACCTATTCCAGAAATCATTAACAATTTTTTTTGTAAGTCGCCATCTGTCTAAGCCTAATACATTACAGTTAGAACAATCTTGATCCACTATATTTAAAATTGGTTCGCCTACTAAAAAATGGCCTGGTGTCAAGGGGAGTGGGTCATTTGGATCGTCACTAAGTTGAGTTATAGGTCGTGAATTTAAGCACGCTTCCACTTGTGCCAAAACTGTGGCCAATTCCTCATACGTGAGAGTGGCGTTTCCTACTACCTTTCGCAAATGAGTTTTGGTACTACGAACGCCAGCCTCCCACAACCCTCCGAAATTTGGTGAATGTGGTGGTATGAAGTGCCATGTCGTTCTCTCTAACGTCAGCAACTCCGCGATCTCCTTAGGAACAGTTGATTTGCCGGCCTTGAACATATCCTGCAATTCTCTGTCAGCGCCAACAAAGTTTGTGCCATTGTCGCTAAACAAATCTTGACAGTGGCCTCTTCTAGCCGTAAATCGCTTGAACGCTGCTATGAAACCTTTAGCAGTCAAGTCAGTAACCGCTTCTAAATGTATTGCTCTTGTTACCATGCACACAAAAAGACAAATGTAGCCCTTGTATGACTTCGCTCCTCTGCCTGGTGAGAACCTGATGTTCACCGGACCACAGTAATCCACTCCTGTAGACTTGAAGGGTTTACTGGGTTTGACTCTTGCCTCTGGAAGAAGACCCATGAATGGTATACGCTTCTTCGGGGAGTATCTAAGACAAACGACACATTCTCGATAACATTTTTTAACCTTTTCCTTTACTCTTAAAATCCAATATTTTGTTCGCAAAATGTTCAACATAAGTTGTGGACCTCCGTGTAAAGTTTTGATATGAGCGTCACGAATTAGAAGCATGCTAAAATGATTTTTAGCAGGCATAATTATTGGATGTCTCGTATCATAACACACATCAGCTTGTGTTATACGACCACCTACTCTTAATATTCCTTTTTGATCTAAAAACGGAGAAAGAGTTCGTATAGGGCATTTTTTCGGAACACATCCCTTGGTGTTTAGTTGATTTATCTCAACTGAAAACTCGCGTCCTTGAATTAACTTAATAACTGACAATAAAGTTTCATTTAGTTCAGTTGTAGTAATAAATGGAGGTAAACTCGGTCGTTCATTTTGAGGTAACTTTAAATTCAGTATTCTTCTACAGTATGATATTACCTTTAATAATTTTGACAATGATGAAAACCTTGTCCATATACATAGCTCGTCAATATTAGATGAAACTATAAGAGATTTGATTTTTTCCTCTTCATGGGTATCAATAATGTTTGTCTCATTCCTTTGTATGTCTGTTTGTGACAGCCACTCCGGTCCTCTCCACCACAATGAATGGTTTGCTAAATCTTGTGGTTGCAAGCCTCGCGATGCACAATCAGCAGGGTTCGCATCAGTAGAAACATGACCCCACTGCTCATAATCTAAAATGTTTAATACTGTGGACACTCGGTTACTTACAAAAGTAGTCCATCTGCTTGAACCACCTTTGAGCCATGCCAACACAACCGTGGAGTCTGTCCACCCATGTAAATGCTCCTTAGGTATTTCCATAATCTGGGACACTTCAAAAATTAGTTTAGCAGCTAAAGTTGCGCCACACAGTTCTAATCTGGGAATTGAAATTTCCTTATCAATAGGCGCAACCTTCGTCTTTGCAGTGACTAAATGCACATGAACATTATTGAACTCATCCATAACTCTTATGTAAACTGCAGCTGCATATGCCGACTTTGAAGCATCAGAAAAAACATGTAGCTCAGTTTTAGAATCTCGCGTCATGTTTAGCCATCTCGGAATGGTAAGTTCCTTTAAATCCTTAAGATCGCTCTTATACACCGACCACTGTTCGAGTAGGTCTTTGGTTAAGCATTCATCCCAATCAAGGCTTGATTTCCAAAGTTTTTGAATGAATATTTTGGCAATTACTACCACTGGGGCAATCCAACCTAATGGGTCATACAGTCTGGCTATAACAGACAGAATGTGTCTTTTAGTGATCGGCTCTTCGGTTTGAGGTAAGTTAAGTACATATTCAAAGTTATCAGATTGTCGACACCAACCAACTCCAAGAACCTTGATTAAATCATTAACCTTGATAGGCGTTTTCTGGTCACTCTCTTGCTCTTCCTTTTTACCAATTTTTTTTAGAAATATGTCATTGTTACTGTTCCACTTTTGAAGTTCGAACCCACCTGATTTCATTAAGTTATTCATCTCATCGTGTATTTGTAATGCTTCTTCTACTGTTTCACTTCCAGTCATCAAATCATCCATGTAATAGTCCGTCTTTGTTATTTTTGCAGCTATCGGGTACTTGTGTCCCTCAAGCTCTGCTAGTTTTTGTAACGCTTTAACTGCCAAGTATGGTGCACATGCTGTCCCAAACGTTAACCTGGTTAGCTTATAATGCTGTATGGGCTCAGATGGATCAAACCTCCATACGATTCTTTGGAAATCAGTGTCTTTATCGGCGACTCGGACCATTCGGTAAAATTTTGTAATATCTGCAACTAAAGATATCTTATGACTTCTCCATCTCATTAGTATGTGCCTCAGGTCTTGCTGCAGCTTTGGCCCAACCAGAAGATCATCATTCAAGGAGACATTGTTGTTTCCCTTGCTTGACGCATTGAAAACCACTCTCACCTTTGTTGTATCCTTGTCTTCTCTCACCACTGCATGGTGAGGAAGATAAACAGCTCGTGTATTCTCTATCTCTCTCTCATTTAGCTTTGTCATGTGATTTAAACTTAGGTATTCTTCAAACACTTTGTTATACTCTATTCTCAATTTAGGATCTCTTGTTAATTTTCTTTCTAAACTCCAACATCTTGATAGCTTTCTCCTTTGAATTACCATACTGGCACTTCGGATTATCTGTTGCAAATGATAATCTTACTATAAATCTTCCTTCATCATCTCTAGTAGTAGTTGAATTAAATAAATTCTCACATTCCTTCTCACTTTCTGTCATCTCTTTTTGCAGCATATTAGGTTCGTTTTCCATTTCCCAAAATTTCTTCAGCAAATCATTCTCTTCCAAACATACATGCAAACTGGTAAGATTATCTTTTGCGGCCGAGATGGATCCATTTGAAACTTTTCCTGAAATAATCCACCCTAAAACTGTATTTTGTGCTAACAAAGTACCTTGTGATTGCCTAATCATACCATCAAGCAATATTTCACTATACACTTCTGCGCCTAGCAAAATGTCGACCTTGCTTGGTGTTGCATATGTATGATCAGCTAAAGGTAAATTTTTTATTTCAACCCACTCATGAGAACTCAGATTGGTAGTGGGCAGCATAGACGTCAAAGAATTCATAACATAAGCATTAACTTGGATTATGTTGGCTGGATTATAGCGTGATTGTATTTGAAGTGAAACTCTGTGTTTAATTCTCGTATGACCATCGCCTAGCCCTGACACAAAACCATTTACAGGAATTCTAGTTAAGCCAAGCAATTGAACAGTAGCCTCGGTAACTAAAGAGGCTTGAGACCCCTGGTCTATTAAAGCTCGTATAATTTGTGAAAAACCATTTGAATTAAATACCTTGACTCTGGCCGTAGCAAGCAGCACTCGCGTGGGCTGCAGCTCCTGCCTAGTAAATGTCGTAGTAATGCGTGTGTCACCTTGTGATGTGCTCGACTTCTCGTGTTGCTGGCTCGATGACACTGTTACCTCACTCATAGATTTGGTTGCCTCGTTGTTGTCTCTCTCGAAGTGTAGCAAAGTATGGTGTCTTCTACCACATTTTCTGCAGCTCAATGATTGACGGCATTTGTTCACGGAATGTGTGGGAGCCAAGCAGTTGAAACACAACCCGCTGTTTTGCACAAAGTTTTGTCTTTCCTTCGCCGTCATTAAACCAAACCGTTTACAATGATATACGTAATGATTCTCTTTACACATGGCACACTCAACTTCTTTTGTTCTAGGTTTGTTTTCCACAGACGCGTGAAATGATTTTGGCTTTTGTACAGACTTCGCTGCTTGTGTTGATCGTTGAGCGTTGGCATCATCAATCATCTCTAATGACCTAAACCTGTACTCCAAATAATCTTTCAATTGTGGCCAGGTAGGAAAATCATCGCTTGAAACACTAAGTTTTTGTTCCCACTGTTTTATAGATTCGTTGTCTAACTTTGCAACGGTTATGTAAACAATAATTACATCCCATGTTTCCGTGCTAAGGCCTATACTCTCGAGTGACTTTAAACACGTTGATGTGGTGTCAAGTAATAGTTTTATTGCATAGGCCGACTCATTATTTATTTTCTTAAGAGAAAACATCTTTTTTAGAATAGCGTTGCAATTGTATCGCTTGTTATCATACCGTTTTACTAGTTGTTTCCATGCTTCCTCATAATTTGCTTCAGTCGTTGAATAATTACGTAATAAATTTAAAGCTTCACCCGCTAAATTACCTTTTAAATAATGTAATTTTTGAACAGCTGTTATGGATTTGTTCTTATGAATTAATGACGAAAACATATCATAGAATGTTTGCCATTCTTCGTATTTTCCTTCAAATTTAGGTAATGTGATACGCGGTAGCTTAATATCATTAAAGTTATTATCGGTAGTAGTAGACGTCATAATGGCGGTTGGCACTTGAGACAATGGCGGTGGCATAAACTGCTGCAAAGCTTCTCTTAAACTAGTTTTGTATTGCACGTACAGTTCCTCAAAATTCTCGTAAAAGCCCTCGGTGAAATATGTTTCCTTCTTCTCCTTCGAAGCCTTTGAAAGGATAATTTTATGTTGCTCTTTAAATTCTTTATACTGTTGTTCAAGTACCTCCAATCGTGTTTCTAAATATTGTCTTTTCATCCTATCTTTGGGCGTTTTCTTAAAGTTCCGCTCCGCTTTTATTAAGTTGTTCATTAACTCATCTTGCAACTGAATATGCACCTGCATTGTTATTGGTTTTTAAGGACTGTAGTTATCGTAATCCCACACACACTCACTATAAATTGCTTGACCTTTTAATACCTCCAAATGTCTAGTAATTCACTCACTCAATGTCTTGTAATTAAAAGGCCACACTTGTTTAAATTTGTTCACAAAATGTTCTATTCACTTAAAAGTCAAGTAATAACTCCTAATTATTTGCAAGACGTTAGAATTAAACACTTTTTCCGATCACCGGGCGAATCCTTATCTAAAGAATGCGTTTTTTTTGTTCTCACGGCTTGCGGTTTGACTCGATATGCATAAACACAATCCGGCTCGTTATGGACCATATGTTTAAGCGAATAAAGTTGTTTTTCGATTGTGGGATTAGATTTTAACTAAAACGACGTGATTTCCATACACCTCTTATATTTGAACTAAAAAAAGTTTACGCAGTGTGGACTGTATACACATAGGTACATAAATATATCTTCTTATAGTTCGAGTACAATTCTCTTTGGACACTCACCATTTTCTTTTACTTTTATTTACCTGAATTTACTTTACACGCATATATGTTACACGATTATAAGTATACAAACTACGTCAAATAAACAAATTTCATTGAATTCATTTGAATTGAATTAACTCAAATTGATCTTAGAATGTAAATATCTTTAGGTGCCCGTTGTTTTTGCATTCGAGAGTAGTAGAAGTGAGTTTTGTATGTGGTGTGTGCAGACGAGCTGTTGTCGTACTGCGAGACGGGCCTGCCGTGGCGGCGCCACGAGGTCTGCGTCGTCTGCGTGTCGGCGCGGCGCTGCGGGCTCGTGCGCGTGCAGTGCGCGGGGGGCGCGGGGGGCGCGGGCGCGGGCGCGGGGGGCGGCGGGGGCGCGGCCAACGGGGTGCTGGCGGACGGCGCGCTGCTGGCGCCGCGCCTGCTGCCGGCCACGCTGCGGCGCGCCGCCATCGACGCCGCCAGGCGCACCAGGCTCAACACCGACCTGTAAGTACTCTGTACTCGCTGTGTACGGAACATATCAATAAGTAGGTTAGCGACCAAAAAATATTCAACGTCGTTTTTTCACGTGATACGTGCGACAAGCGAACCACTTATAATCTATGATGATAAGCAATCGCCGCCTCCCATGTACATTCGCAAAAATATTGGAGCTGCAAACAAGTGCGTTTGGACATTGGAGGGGGGAGGGAGAAGAGGGAGGAGGGAATTAGTTCCCCAATAACCTCAATTAACGAAGCAAAAGCGCTATTTTATGCTTATTTTCTCTCAAGCCTAGAATATCTTAATATTTAACCATAAATTTAAGCATTTAATATAATTACAAGCATAGAAAACCTTTTTAAACTTTTTCGACTTTAAGCTCAAGCTGTTACAATAGCCTACTGGTACGTCATCGATACAAACGAAATGAATTAATTTAACTTTTAGTCAAAAATATGAAATGGGTTTTTAAAATTACAACACACTACCTACTACCTATACCGGGTGTAAAAACACTTAACGAAGCCGAAAGCCACGTATTCTACCCATTATTTGGATCATTTTTTTCTTTAAGACCATAGCTGGTACTCCACGCGTTCTCGAGATAATGAAGGTCAAAGATGCTTTTTTTTTGCGCAATCGAATTCTAAGTATTATTACGAAACTTTTTTCCAAACAAACATTACCTGACTTTTAGATTTTTCTAAATAAATTACGCATTTGAATGCAGATCCGCACAAAAAACACCGTAAATCTCAGTAGGATTTTTATTTTACAGAATTGTTTTGTTGTTGCGAAGTAAAACGTCGACCTACGTACTTATCACAGCGTTTTCATGCTAAGCTGTGAACCTACGCACACAGTGACACGAAGCACGTTTGCTTTACATTGCGCGCAATAAAATTATTATTATTTTTTGATACCTAAAAATAAAAGTCGTTTCCCAGTGATAATTTTAGCGTAAAGCTACTTAATTAGAACTGCAGTATGCGTAGTTAACGGCTTCGTTAAGTGTCTTTTTACACCCTGTATCTTCTAGTACATACTTGTGTAAACAAAAAAAAAAAATATTATTATTTTAATATCTTCACACAAACCACTACTCTTAAACAAAAATATTACAGGTACCAGCCCCCACACGTGCGACGTCGCCACTTAATCCAAGAGTTAGCACAGCAATATAAGAAGGACCTCACCGAACCAGAACTCCTTGAATCACTTTTCAGGAATCCGTAATTATAATTTTAATACACGCATGTCAAGTTAACCTCTCTTATCAAATACGATTTTCAACCGTATCTCGTTGTGATAAAGTTGAGAATTATTTTCGACTTCGGGTAGTTTGATGCAAGCGCCTGTAATCACAGCCTAATAATCAAGCTTGTTAGATACAAGTAATATTTTTACACGTAACTTGTTTATGGCGGCACAGAAATTTAAATTTTATTTTGTCTAAATAAAAGCTATTTGTGATAAAATTGCTGCGTAAAGGATATTTAGTCTTATTGCAAGAGTATTGATAATACGACACGTGAATTTCGCTTGTCATCTGCGGGATGAACGCTAACAAAGTATGAATTAAAGTATTGCTTATTTACATTGAAATAAGGTTATTTTTCGCTCCAAGCTTTCTGTGGAATGACAGAATACAGCTAATGTTTTTATGAAATAAAAACTTTAGCTTGTATTGAGGCTCTAATTTATTAAATACAATATTGGTATTAGTTTATATTTAGCAATTTTGTCCATAGCCATATGGATATATGTATAAACTAGGTGACCTAACCATGTCATGTTGTAATCAGTGTTAAGCAAACATATTATACAATTCTGTATTAAAAACACTGGTAGAAATAAAAAAAATATTGTTTTACATTTTACTTTCCTTACTGTCTAACGAGTTAAATTGAATAGTTTCAAGATACACCGAAGTCTGTCTGCCTGTTTCTAGCTTGAAATCAGTCGAGACAGCTTTAATCGATGATAAAGCCTAGCATTTTTTTTCGATGGATTTTTTTTCCATCTTGGCTCTCACTTGTTGTCGCCTAGAGTTATCAAGTCTAGCGGCTTTATTAGCTCTCAATATTGAACTATCAACTAAATAGTTATTCCTAATATTGACGAAGTTTATCGAAAATGTATATGATGGTGTTGAAACCATCATATATATGGTGCTAGTTATTAGCACACTAATGAATTATCTAACGTCAGCGTAGCTAACACACCACTGGTTTCAACACCCTCATATACATTTCCGATAAACTTTTGTCTCACATCACATTACACATTATCATTATCATCATCAGCCGAAAGACCTCCACTGCTCGACATAGGCCTTTCACTTAGCCATCCACGTCGAAAGACAATTCGCCACTTACACCCATTGGCTTCCCACGATGTCTACTTAAAACATAGTTCAAATAAATTTCGTTCTATATTCAAATTTACATTGATATTGAGAAACTATCGCATAATAGATTTTTTGAAAGAAAAATAAAAGAATAAAAAATAATAGAACACAAATTGTCTGTCACACCGACCCTATTTACCTTATTTTTAAAAGTAACTCTGTTTGGTCGTCGTTATATTGTCTGTCATAATAGTCAACAGAAAGTTAGTTAGATATTTTGATGCAGGCGTTAACAGTACCAAGGTTTCAACACTTATAATAAAACTATATGTAGATAACTACGGCCGCAATATAAATAAAAAAAACAATGAAATATCCCAGAACAGATGTTATTGTTGACACCTATTTGATACAAAAAAGTCAAAAATCGATACGAATTGTATCATATCGGATATCGGCCGTAAACTGTTATTTTCTTTTTATTATTTGAATCTTGTTCTCCATATTATAACGTCCAAGTTATAACGAAGCTCGAAATACGTCATGTTTTTGCGCTATTTATTATATTAAGACTGATATAATGTATAAACCAATGAAATGTAATCGTTTAGTTAACATTCCAATTTCGAATACAGTATTTAATATTGCATAATCTATGTACTTAATTTAATTGTTATATTTTAATAAATGTTATTAATGTATTCATTTGAAATTGTTTTATTTTCTTACTAGCTACTCTCGCGCGTTTTCACCTGCTGCTCAACTCCATTTAATCATAGCGTGATGTTTTAGCCAGCATTCAGGAACATTGCAGCTACTTATCAGTGAAAGATTTTTGGCAATCCGACCAGCGGTTTTAAAGATTACCCCCTACATACAAACTGACAAACTTACAAATTTTGCCTCTTTATAATATTAGTATAGATAGTATAGATGAAGATGATTTTCTGAGTGTATCCAAATAAAAGGTATAATGGCTAACATTCTTTTACTCACAAAATGGCGGTAATCCCAGAAGAGGTTAGTTACCAGAGAACATTGTAGTTGTCAAAATCTAAACGTCTAATGGTTTGACACTAGCAAAAAAAAAAAAGAGGTCGACTGTGGACCCCTCTAAATCTGATCAAAAATAAGGTATCTCCATTGAAATTGTTACAGAACTATGACATCTTATTACTAAATTAGATATTATTATTACTACATTGTGAAGACAACAAAGTTTTCGTGTCGCGTTTCAGATGTAATCGACCTGTTTGTGTTGTAAATGCGGAATTTATTATTAAAATAATTATCAAATTATTATTGGTAGGTATTATACGCATTTCACAAGAATTCAATAATGCTTCGAAAATAAATTCAAAACAAATACCTAGTAAAAAACTGTTTGGTCGACACAAAACAGACGTAATCACGCAACTACCAGAAAAAAAAATTACGTCGGATTTCTAAATTCAAAATAATGACGCAAATTATTTTCCAGCGTGTATATTTTGAAAATGATACCAAAAATTTACAATAAAAACGGTTTTGTCAGTTGTGTTTTTGTAGGCATTATTGTGTTGTATTCAGTATATATTTTGAAGCAGTTGGTAAGCTTGTTGGTCAGGGCGATATTTAGGGTCTAAATTGTATGAGATAGCAGGCATGTTGATCAGTAAAGTATCAGACAGTGAAGAGGGAAAGAGGGAGAGTGTCGCCGTCCCGGCCGCGGAGAGTGATTCACATCATCACTATGAGACCGCAAATGAACTGTTTGAGTTTATGGCGCAGAATCAGAACTTCAACACCGGTGGTGAGTACCCACTATTCAGTCAACAAAACATTATGTAACCAAACAAAAAATACTTGATTTATCCTACAATTATATGAATATATCATAGTGAATTTTGTGACAAGAAGAGTGCTTGTGGTGTGGTACTATCTAGGTATGAATGCCACTATTTAATGAATGACGAAGGAAGATCATTCGACAGTAATTCAAAAACCTTTTTATTATAAAATGGATTTAATTCGCAAGTGTGGGAGAGCCATGCTTAGGCACGAATGGGTCAGCTTGACCGGAGTGATACCACGGCCTCAGAGGAAACCGGCATGAAGCAAAACTTAGGTACTTTGTGTTTTGCCGTGTGAGTGAGGCTACCTTAGGCCCAAGTCTTCCTCCCTCCCCTCCCCCCGTTATTAATCCTCAAATTAATCCCCTATCCTTACGTACGTATCTCTAATAACCTACAAGCCGGCAACGCACTTGTAGGTTATATATATACCTAACTCCTTTGGTGTTTTACGAGTGTCCACGGGCGGCGCTGATTGCTTGTGGCGGTGACTGAATAACTGTTACATATATGTATAAGAAAAAAGGTATATCACAGCCTAAACTTGAAATGTGTTAAATAAAACACATGTTTCTCATATATGAAAATCCCAAGACATAATTATTATGGCAGCAGGCTCCTCTTTGTTATTCCTTCACGATTTAATTTAAAAACCTTCATGATTCTAACCATTTGTTATCCAGATATGGACAAGCTCACTACCAGAGACCTAGTTATTCTCTACAAGAACATCGACCTTGGAACAAAGCTTATGTCGGAAGCTAGTGAACTGAGAAACAGAAAATCAAATCAACATGTCGAGAGTGTGGTACACAAAGACGAAGCAGAGTCTGACGGCTCAGACAGTAGCGATATCTACAGCAGTGACGACCTCGCAAGTGTGTACCTCATCAACAAGGAGAAACTCGACCTCATCAGTAGTCCATTATCTGCAGAAAACACTTTGTGCCAAAAAATAGGAGGTCTTGAGATGCACACCCTTGGCCTCACCACCGAATATGACAAACATTTCCTCTTCAAAGATCCCTACATCAATAAACAGCTCACAAGCATGAGATTTATGAACAATGCCTCTGACACAAACACAGTACTTCCGACTTCCTTACTTGACTACATTTGTTGCAAACGTTTGGAAGACAACTATAATTTTTACATGGATAATATTATTCGATACGTAAAACATACAATAGAGCAACTGAAACGCATTAGCAACGGTGATTATTTAACGGAAAAAGTAAAGGAAAAGTGGCGTGAAGTTGAGAGTACGGTAGAAGATAACTGTCATGTCAATACTAAAGTTCTAGCGACATCTTCCAGCATCCCGATGCACGTGGAAAGAAAAATTGGACGTAGAGAGTCCACGTGGGATGACATAGTTCACTCAGCAATGGACATTAGATCACTGACGAAAATTCTTGAAAAGAGAATTATAGTAGAAGTTCCGAAACTCATTTGTGGTTCGTATAAACTTCTGAGTAAATGTTGTGCCGAAAACTTAATCATCCGGTGCAAGAAAGAGAAGCGGCCAGTTGAAGACGCCACAAACGCCGAGTCACGGATGGACGTTGTGTTTCAGTTACAACGTTCTGAGACTGGACAAGTCGTCAGCAAGATTAGTTCTATCATGATCTTAAAAACTTCTCCAACTATTCATGGTATAATACTTTATATAGATTAACCCTGTAAGCTCGAGAATATTTAAATTAATACTTAGTTCTTTTTTTTAGATCCTCTTGAACAAGATATGAAGCCCTTAGCTTTACCTTATAATGAGGAAAGTAATAAAGAATATATTCCGGAGACTACAACTAAAATAGTGGAATTAGAACCCATAAGTGTGGATGAATCTACTACAGAAATATCCGTTACTTCCGAGTACAGTGTACAAATTATTGAAAATCCAACTGTAGAGACTGTAGACATTATTGATTGTGGATACAGTGACCACGAGGGCACTGAATCATCCAAAAACTCCTTTCATATTATATCGAGTGATTCGAGTGATGCTTTAAAAGATATTTTGTGTAGGAAAGTTCAGCTTGCGCACAGAGAAAAATGTGGTGACGTATTTCCAGATGACTTGCGATTTACAATACAAAAGTTAACTATGCAAAGTGCTTTAACGGAGGAAAGTGCAGAAGACGTATCGTACTCAACAAAGAAGAAGTCGCCGACACGAGTCCGAATCAAGTCACCATACGAAAATCAATCGCTTATAATGGAGGAGAAAAAACGTAGGAAGTTATTAGAAATAAGAGAGAGACGAGAAAGAAAGAAAATGGCTCTCGCTGAAAACTGCAAACTTAGGAAGCATAGATTTGGAAAGGGAGCTGTAATGCCACAATCTGTCAGTTCTGTTACAAAACTGTCAATATCCAACAAATCTTTCTACAATTCTATTTATGGCCAGTTGGATACGGATTCTAGAAAGCAAACCAAAGCCAGAACCCGACGGGGATCGAAGCGAAACATTCTGGACATTGACATTTTTGAGAGAAATTATGACACACCACTGTTAACTCCAGAGCAAAACAGCAATAAATATACCAGCAGGAGCTATGACTTAGACGATACCGTCACTGAAATGATGTATATAAACATAATAAAAAATGAGACCGAAGCAAAAGATGTATGTTCTACTTCCACGTCGGTCATATCCAGCGATTTTCGAAACAGTCTAAAGTTAATTTCACAGTTGAATGGTCCATCAGAAACTGATCAAAATATAATCAATAATGAAGTGTCACCCAAACACAATAATATGTAAGTATTATAATTACTCGACTTTTTGAATAAAGTGATATGTGTGACTTTGACATCATTGATAATTTTTACAGATCCATTGCTGCAAGAGTCGATGAAATAATTGACAAAGGTCAGCCAAAAATATTGCTTGCGTCTCCAAGTATACTCAAAATAGATTCATCAAATTCTCCAAATGTAGAAGAACACGATAACTCTGAATCTAAGAAGCTTAACTCTTCGTTGGAATGCAGAAAAAGCATTGATAAGATCTATAATTTGATGAAAGAATTGGAAACTGCCCAAAATATACACACACACATTGATAGTAAGTCGCAACCGTCTAACAGTAAGTACATCTCAAACATTTCCGAGAAAGGCAATGTGGCTGAAGGTAGGACAACCTCTACGTATCAGACAAGCGATAGTGGAACAAGCCTTAAAGACGATTTAACGTCGTCCAATCCCAGTTCTTTGAGCTGTGGAAAATATAATATGGAAAAGGTCGGCATTAACACCTTCAATTATCAATCTAAAACTTCGCCATCCGTCGTACCTAAGGTCATCATAAGCTCAAAATCATTTCCTAAAACTGATCCAGAAAAGCCGAAAAAAGAGCGTAAACGACTTATCCCCAGTCCAACTATTAAAATAGCAGATAATCCTTTGAAAGCAATATCACAACTTTTACATGAATTTGAAAATGTGCAGAAAGTAAGGCAAAAGTCTGGAGAAAAGTCTTTAAAAAAAATGGAAGAGGCAGCATCCGATGGTAAAACTGGATCACGACAAAGTTCTTTTAAACGCCGTTCACGACTTGACCAACACAATGATACTCAACCAGAGAAATCAGTGAGGATAACAATACCAAAAGATAAGAAGCCGACTCGATCGATAAAAGAAATGGAAGTACCGAAAATTCCACACCAACAAATTCCTGTTTACGAAAAAGATAAATTACAAAAAAAGAAAATTTCGGATTTGTTAGACGAAGCTAAAGAGGCTAGAGGTGAAGCAGTGCGAGGTCCTTCCAAGTTAAATTCTAGATTAAATTCTCTTGCACAGCCAAAGAAAACGTACGTCCAAGCTCATAGTGAAGAGTACCAAACTAAATATGGCAAAACTTTAATGGCAAATAGATTACAAAGGTTAGCAGTCTCTCAAACACAATCCACACAGGAAAAGAGCACAGCCTCTGCAAACTCTAGAATCAAAATTAAAAGAGGCTCTGAGGCAGTTTCAACAACAACAACAACAACAGCGTCAATGAAACAGTCGCCTTCTCCAACTGTACCGCCTATAGGTGTGTAAAGGTGAATTTTATTAGTTTTGTTGAAGTAGTCCTGTAAGTACTAAACCGGTTGATTGAGGAATATAATAACAGTTAACAACGTAACACTGATTACTTTGTGAAATGTATACGTTTATTATAATTTTCGTAATCGTTTCTTGATTCATGTACTCTATGTATTACTACTATCTAGAGCGAGCATATAGAGCACGTCACTCATCGAGCAGCAGTCCTGAAACTAAAGAAAGACTAAATCAAGGTGTGGGCCCATGTAAACAAATTATCGTGTCGGAAACGCCCCAAACATTGTAAGTAAAATCTAAAAGAGTTTTGCTTTCTTTATTTTTTAATTACTTTATTTTTAATTTGCTTACTAAATTACACACAGAAAGAAAAAGACGGTGGTAGCTGATTCGTGCGTGAAAAGTCATTATGGTCGTACCACATCTACTGCAGTCGGCAACGAGTTTCAGAGTGTGCGGAAATCACGGATTCCACGTTCGTCGAACGATATCGATTTGGGTGCGTATAAAATTGAGATGTATATTGTATTAATTCAATATCTTTGTAGTTTCCGTTATATTAACAATATAATTATGTGGTCTTGTTATAGCGTCTTCCACATCGTCTCCAAATGTTGAAGGTTCTACCGAGCTAGGAAGCAGACTACATCATATTAAAAGCGTAATAAACTCCAACACGCAAGCTCTGGAGATACTGACTGAATGTCACGAAACTAATTCAAAAATACGTAAAGGAAAAGCAAATGACTATTCTGTCGTTATAAAAGTATCCAGGTGTGAACAGGTATCCTCTGATTCTGAGTATGCCATAGATGTGTTAGATGATAACAATGTTGTAACGTCAGTCGAAAGAGTGGACAAAGCCTCTGAAAATATAATGGAGCAAATTAATGTTATAGAGCCAGACGCTACTGAGTATAGTCTTCAACCATTGAAGTCGGTTACAGAGTTGGAAAAGTTACAAAATGCCTTATGTCAGCATATTTCGGTGGGGGCCTTTCAAAAGCGGTTGCGTCTTCAAAAATTGACATTAACCCCAAAACAGTCGGAGCAGCCAGTGCTCGTTCTACAGTCAGGAGATGCAGCCTCATTAGTAGTCCAAACTCCGCTCAGAACTAACTTAAAGGAATCAAAAGAAAGTCTTTCCGATATAAGTACTTTACCAGTACTATCAAAAACTCACCTAGACTGGAGTTTTGCAAATTTCCCTTTGCGAATTTCAACCGTTGGTTATGCTTTCCCAGAATACGAATCCAAATCGCTTGTTAAATTATTTACCAAAGTTTCTAAGAAAACAGAGAAAGTTATTGATGCTGATCATCGCAAGCAATGTTTTGAAGGTACGCAGCCCCAAGATCACTCCGATCATATTGCTCAGGTCGTACCCAATACGTTACTCACCTTAGGTATAAGTAACACTCAGGTTCTGGACTCGGACAAAAAGGAAGAGATAAATCAAGATAATATGAAGAACATCGAACATTTAATTAATGAAAATGAGACAATAAAAAATACGCCTTGCGCTCACCCGACTATTGAGAAAAAAGAAAGTGATCTTGCAAAAATAAAACCGGACGATATCGAATACAGTACTTCTTTAGATATATTAGTTGGACTCTTAAACGAAATCCAAAACATTACAACATGTCAGACACTGATAAGTGATGACGATAAAATGTACGATGAAAACCAACAGAAGGAATTAGAAACCATTTTAAATAAAGCCGCTGCGCTCGACAACTCCATCAATAGTCCTTGCGATGCAATTTCTTTTACGTCACTGGACAGACTTCGACAGCTAGAGTCTAGTGTGAGTTTATATTCGTTTTATTTATCTGACTGTGATACATTCTTTGAAAAGGATAGCAGTAAATTTAATTTCACGTCTGAAATAATGGAAATTGAAAATAAAAGACTGCTAAATTCCAAAAGACTATACGTTGATAAAGAAGTTGGTGTAGACATGTTAGATAAAGAAGTAGTAAATAAATGCACGGATGTTCCTTCCGAAATAATTCCACTCGGTATGAACCAAAGTACTGATATGACAAACTCGCTGATAGAAGTACTTCGCGAACCGTCCAACCAATCGGTGTTCTCCTTTGCAGAATATCATTCCATATACTCTGATGGCTCATCTCTACCGAATGATAGGTTGACAGATATTCCACAGATAATTGTCACGAGAGAGTTTAACCAGTCCGTAACTTTATATGAAGTAAATAATAAACCAACCGAAAAACCAAATGCAAATAAACTTTTTAGAAAGAAAATAGAAACGAATAAAAAAAGTGTAAAGGAGAAGGTGAACAAAGCTAAGTTTCGACTCAAAACCGAGTTTGATCCAATTATGAAAATGAAGAGAGATATTTTGGTAACGGTTTACTCAATTTTGGTATTCACTGTTTTCGCTGCATTGTCTTTTCCTGAGATGTATCGTGTTTGAGTACCTATTTATATAGAGCTTCAAATATGTTTACGAGTTTGGGTCTATGCATGTGTGTTTCATTCGTATGTGAGTTTTTTGATGGATGGATTGTCTCGACGTTCGGTCGATGAACCAATGTATGTTTGATCTTGATCTAGGGCGAATGCTTATTTATGAACATTATTTATTACTCGACAACCATAATATTTATAAGAAAATTGTAAATTTCTTGTTGTTTTAAATTTGTATGGTGTTTTTTATTGAATAAATTATATAAATCTTAAATGTGGGAGCTGTTATTTTTTATTTTAATTTAATTACTTTCGATTCCTAGTTTCTTTCTTAGATCATTTTAATGGTGGTTGTCAATCCCTGGCTGTTTTAATTGTCGCTGAAGGTTCCTTCAGGAGTGATTCGGATAATTGACTAGTTGTATTTGTTGTAGTTTAGAAAGTTTTGCAAGTTCCAAGGAATTTTAAGACAACAAATATTAACCAGGTAAAAGATAAAAAAATAACTAATAATAAATTCGGATAATTGACTACCTAGCTGTTGTTGTTGTAGTTTAGAAAGTTTTGCAAGTTCTAAGGAATTTAAAGACAACAAACATTAGCCAGGTAAAAGAAAAAAAAATTACTAATAATTTAATTTTAATTGGTAATTTTATCCCTCAATTAACTTGCTCGTCATCACTACCCATTTTATAAAATCATGTTTCACATTTGTCGAGTACCAATCTAATGGTCACTGGTGAGTAGTAATGGGAATTACGGAAATAACTCTAAAATTATTCCACAAAACATTTTTCAAACACAAATGCATTTTTGAAGTTGCATCATAAACGTCTTTTGATTGACCATTAATAGTTTCAGACCAGTATGAGCATATGTTCAAAAATACACAAGGAATATTAGCAAAATCACTGATCAAAAAGGCTGTACAAGAAAAACGCTTCTTTATTATAACTATAACTAAATTGTAACTTTTCCCATTCATTTCGGTGTGCTCGTGGAACTCTTTGAAAAGTTTATGTTTTATCTACTTTCGCCTTGATTTATTTTTTAAATTTCTTAGTGTTCTCTTTATTTTTTTTAAGTTTCGGCTCCGATCCATACGTTCATTGTGCAATTAGAAGAAACAAGAAAACCGCCTGTGGTCCAAGCTGCTTAGACGTGCGTAACCACAGAACAGAAAATTAAGTAGAAGTGCCCCTACACTCTTTCAAAAGGAAAACCAGTGTCGCCAAAATCACACATTCGCAAATCAAACTGTCCATTACACACATAAAAAACAGCTATATAATTGGGTAAAAAGATGAAACGCAACTTTAGCGAATCATCTTCAAAATGTTGTTAAAAATTGAGTCTTGAGCGAAAGTTGTTATCATTTCACATGTCACAATCAATAAAGGCGTCTATCGTGTAAAAAACTTAAATAAAACAATTTACAAACGGGTTCAGCCACTCAACGATAGATGGCGCTGTAACAAATTCATTCTATCCAAAACGCTAACTTCTTTGAAATAGATGTCATATTTGTATGCACTTGTACCAATAGACATTTACTATTTTGCTACTCAGATAGGGCAGGGTATCCCAATATATCGATGTTTTTGTATTCGTGTGAACAATATAATTTATCGACACGATATACCTACAAATGATCAGTAATGAAAAAGGTTCTAATAGAAAAAAAGAAAAATATTAACATACTATTACATAGTATTTTTTGAAGATTTAATGTTTTTTGGAGATGGTCAAGTTATTATTAAAGATTTCGATTTTAACATATAAAAGCACTACGCGCTCCTACAAGTTTTATCTCCTTTCCAACTAAAATAGAATCATTAAAATCGGTTCATAAATAACGGAGACGAAAAAAACAAAAAAAAAGGTTACAGTCGAATTGAGAGTCACTCTCCTTTTTGGAACTCTGATAAAAATCATGTACAACATCTATACTTATAATAAATCTGTAGAGGGGTCAATTCTGTACATTAAAATTCAAAATAACTACCAGGGGGTGATTAGTGATCGATACTGATGCCAAAAATGCAATCAGTAAAAATTTTGTCTGTCTGTCTGTCTGTCTGTCTGTATGTTCTTTATAGAAACAAAAACTACTTGACGGATTTTAACAAAACTTGGTACAATTATTCTTTATACTCCTGGGCTATATAGGATACTTTTTATCACGCTACAAATAATAGGAGCAGAGCAGTGAAGGAAAATGTTGGGAAAACGGGAGAAGTTACTCCCTTTTGTAAGTTTCAGTCGCGTGTGTTACCTTAATGGTTAAACTTACATAGAAATTATGTATGACGGCAATATCTTAAATAAAAAAAAATGTTTTACAGCATATGTCTATCTTTTATGGTTAACTCACAATAGCACGTGTAACTCCTGATAGCTTAGCAATTCGGATAATAAGACATAGCGCCGTCGCAAGTGAACACTGAATCATGGTATAAGAATTATTTTTGTGTAGCGGTTGCCGTGCTCGACACGATGCGGTATAAAATATAATATAATATAGGTTTTATCAAATATTTGTAACTCTTACCTATTAGTTAGATCCGTACCTTTCTATCTATTGACCGACGGACTGCGGAGACTTAGTAAGTAATAGGGTATTTACCCATTGGAGATGTACCCGTAAAAATGAGACGATAAATACCAAATTTTATGTATACTTAGATTTTGTTCTATTGCTATTTGCTGCTTTTTATCAACACAGCACGCGGGCGAAGCCGCTGGCGAAAACTAGTTATAAAATAAAAATGGTGATTAACCACCCGCACCTGCCACAGACGGATGCACGCTATCTGTGGTTAAAACGTTGATGTGTCTATGCAATCTTAGTTAAACATTTATGGATTATACACAAAAATTGATAAAAATCAATTTTCTGAACGATGATGATGAAAAATTATCGATATGAACCTATTTTACGAATATGTCGCATCCCTAAATGATTAGCGTCGAAACTACTAGAATGTATTTATTGTATATAACGTCACATAACGAACAAGTAGATTTAAACTTAATTGTAATGAAAATAAGGCCCTTTATAGTTTGCATTGAAGTAATGAAATGTGATATTTACATTAAAATCAAATATATTTAAAATTAACAAAGGTTAATACTCAAAGATGATACGATACACCACCACAAGACTCATCTTTTTTTCTGCTTACTTTTTTGCAGTTGAAAACCGCACAACAAGGCATAATTTCTAATATATTTCGTGTTTCTTAGAGACAACCATGACAACCAATCATGACAACGGATCGAACGATTCTGACAACAAATGTGCCAAAATGTTGTATATCTAGTCATCATGTTGGTTAGCGCGCGATGTTTGAACGGCACTTCCACTGTATTTTCTATTCCGTGTGCGTAACCGTTGGGCCAGAATTTTCGAATAAGCGATGTTAATTCTATAGCGCATATCCTGGGGAATCTTGCAAATTGTAATAAGTAGGTAACCGAAATAAAAAAATGTGGCAAATAAAATTTCATTTCTTACAACGATTTTTATTATTAAATGATGTAATGAAGTATTATAGTAGTTAAATTTAGCTTATACTAAACATGATTTGATACATCAGAAGTCCATGCCAGAGTGTTACGCTTACATTTGCCCTAAAATAGTATCTGCAAAATGCCAAAAAAAAAAACTCTTTTTTTATGCCATGGCCGTTACGCGCGCATGAGAAAACTGATTAATTTTTCCTGCCATTACGAAACTTTTTTCACAACTCTTCTCGTTTTCTCTTTTGAAGTTACTCTGGTATTTTATTTAAATATTAAATTCAAATATACGAACCAGCAGTTCAAGCACGTAATACGCGGTTTAATTTCAACCCTATTAGTTACATAAGGTCAACGATTACTTTGGTAATTAACAACATATCCATTTCATCACTGTTTTATTCATCTTCTTCCTCACTGACTGTAACCGATGTCCTTGAAGTACTTGTTGTCTCTTGAATGTGTTTCCTCTCGATCCAGTTGTGCTTTCTTATGTATAACAACTGCAAGAGTGCTTCTACGCAAAATATCTAAAAGTTGGAAAATGTTCGTCGAATTATTACATGCTTGGTCGATTTGTAAGTAGGTAACCGACCAGTTTATCGCATTCAAATTTTTTTAAAACTAATAGGTCTTTACCTATGAAATTGCCGTTCTGCAGTACCTACTGGGCATTTCAAATCAAAATAGTTTTTGTAAGGCTAAGGCTAATTAATTTTGTTTTAAAAACAAGGTGTCTTTTTCCAAAAGTAGTCATTTATTTATTGATTAGTGTTACATTTTCATCGCATTTCAAATCAAAAAATTCGTTTAAATTTTTGCATGCAAAACGGCAATTTAATAGGTAAAGACCTTAATATCTAAGTGTTGTTTATACCTTTATGTCATGGGCCAGCAAACGAGCAGACTGATTACCTGGTGGTAAGCAAACAGCGCCGCCCATACATACACTCTTAATACCAAAAGAGCTAGATACTAAAAGTGCGTTGCCGGCCTCTTGTGAGTTATTACAGATTTGAGGATTGAGAATGGGGAGAGGGAAGGATTGGGCCTCCGGCAACCTCACTCATACAGCGAAACACAACGTAAGTGTTGCTTCACGCCGGTTTTCTGTGAGGCCGTGGTGTCACTCCGGTCGAGCCGGCCTATGTGCTAAAGCATGGCTCTCCCACATATTTTCGCATTTTATTGTTTACCCCCATTTATCTAAATACCTACTAAAAGAACAGTATTATTATCACCTGCCGTCGTGGGCGTTCTATAAAGCCATCCAATCTAAAAGTGTATCCAAAGACACTAGTGGATATCTTGGATTCGGGCACCACCAGGTCGTTGTCCTCGGTGAAGAGTGGAAAGTCTACCAGCATGTAGCGGCCAGCCTGAATGGGACAGCTTAGCCTGAAAGAAGTCATACTTTCTTATTAACCGGACTGAATACCATTGGTGTAGTAGATATGAAATATAAAGCTATTAAGAGAATTCATCATCAACAAACTAATATAAAGGTCTCCCTAAATAACTTTCACGTCGACTGGTTGAAAGCGACCTGCACCCAGCGGGTGTATCAGCGGCTAATGGGCCGGCTCCATTGGACCAATACCATGCACGGCCTCACAGAAAAGTAGCCTGAAGTAACACGTGTTTTTATTTAATTTTATTTATTTTTTATTTTTGTTCTATATTATTGTTTAAATGGTTTTCTGTGTGCCAAATAAATATTTTTCTGTCTTTCCTACTTTCTGACTGAGGTTATCGAAGGCCCAACTCTTCCCCCTCAATTTTCAAATCCCCTATCCTTAAATCCTTAATATCCCACTGGCCGGCAACGCACTTATAGTGTCAATAGAGTTATCCTTTGGTAGGTACTACGAGAGCCCATGGTTTGCGCTGTTTGCTTACCATCATATCAGAGAATCCGTATGCTCGTTTGAAGACCAATGAAAAAAAAATTTGTTATTCGTTTGCGATACTGAGACTGGGACTCATTGTGGGTAATAACTACGTTCACAAAAATTTAAAATTATTTCAATAGCGGCGATAATAAAGTCAAAGTTCTAATGCAAAGAAAGTTAAAACAAAGAGACAATTCCGGCGAGTTGAATTGATGGTACCTACTGGTGGTTTATCTAACTTCATAGTAATAATATCAATAAGATGATGGAATTCAACTGCTGTTTTTTGTTTACATAACAAGACAATGATAACGACCGCTGATAGCTTGAGGTCACAATAACAAATTAATAATGATTATTGAAATTGCTTGTGTAGAAGGTGCGGTAGTTAACAACTAGTCCAATTCAATAGTTTTATTGAAAGATCAAAAACTATATTAATCTATAATTTTTTATGATACTTGTAGATTTTACGTTTATCAAGCGTATTTCGGTTATCGAGAACTAATGTTTTTGTATTACCATAGTAAAAAATATTTTTTGGTATTCGTTTAGATAATTTAAAATAACCTAATACTACCCAATTAAATGACCTCAAATTTAATGTTATTTTCGTTTTCCGTGTCTTGTTAAGTTCTATGCAGTTTTTGGATGGTATATATAACAGTCTCCATTCCCAGAATAAGTGCATTTCATCAGCATTTCGTAGGAAATAATGAAGAACACTTTTTCTACACTAAGCCGGTATTTCCTATCCGACTAATCTGATCTGAAATGCCGTTATAAACTCACACCACACCACTGACATATTGTGGAGTAAAACACCGTGTGGAAACCTAGACTTATAATTTCTAATAATATGTTTGAAATCGCCACTCCGTCTTAAGCAAGCGTGGTGATAAATGTTCAAACCTTCTCCGTCCGAGAAGAGGCCATTGCTCAGTAGTGAGTGCTTTATAGGTCGATGATGTGATGTGCCTTAATAGTGAAAGTACTTGAAGAACAATGTCAGCGTTTCTACTCAGTAGGAACAGATTCATAACGCCTAGACATGTGCTACCCAAAAAATTATTTTATAATCGAGATTTAAATCTCAATAACAAATAATATTTTTACCTACATGTGTTACTACGGCGCAATACCGGAGTTAATTGGAGGTGGAAGGTTTATCGACAAGTCACAACATCGCCTGATATTGATTATGCTGTTGCAATACCTACTATGTAAACAAAACACAAAACATAGGTTTTTTTCATCAAATGACTTCTCCCGCCCACTACAGGGAGGGAGGGAGAGAGTACACAAAAGCTTTTTCATTAGGATCTTTGTTTCCCGACAGTTGCTCGACACAAAATATAGATACATTAACGATAATGGAATTATTATAAGTCGCACAATCCATTTGACGACTTGCCAATATGAACAAGGGAAATTTTAAGCGACATTGTCCCACGAAGTTGCAGAGACACACTGAAGAATATTTGCCGACATATCTCTGTGACAAAGTCAAATGTCCCAACCCTAATATAGTATCCGGCCGAATCCTTTTGTAAGTCCGGTCTGGTTAGGGATCACACGCAATAACTTATCGCGGCTGGCCTGGAGCAGAAGAAAAAATGGGGTGCTTTTTAGTTAGCTAGAGACTGACACTCCCTCTCGCCCAAGCCAGAGCGGGAGAGTAAAATAAAAAAAAGAAAAATCCAAAGAAGTTACTCTTACTTAAGTACTGTAAATAAAATAAACAATAGTTCAAACAAAGAAATCATCTCACTTTGGATGTGCATAGTGGAACAGCATTCGATACAATCCCTGTTCACTCTCGTCGTCTGCGCAGCCGCTCTTCACCAAGTCGAAGGACCTCAAGAAGTCACAGGACTCCATATTACGAATGTCCACGCACTTCTGCATTGTAGCCTGCAAGAAATGGTCTCATTTATTTTATTTATTGCACGAGAGAAATGTACCGTAGAATAGAACAGCCGGCTGGAGAATGATTGGTTCAGTTCAAAATTTAGGAAAATACGGTGAATAGAATTCGAGGGGTGATTAGACGCAGTATAGTGGTTAATAGATCCCAAACTCCTTTTGCCTTTCTGTGTCTGAGTATTTACCTCTCGAATTGTATTTGTTACACAGTTTTAATGTAGGTGCATATTTGTAGTTGAGGTAAATATGTATGTATGGGTTCTTTGAACTACCATTTCTATAGTGGAGTTACAAGGAAATATTTACTATAAAGTTAACATAAGTACTATATATTTGAATTGTTTTACCTGTCTTCTGCTGGTAGACAAATGAGACTAGAATCTTCTTATATATAAAAATGGATCGCAAAATGTGTTGGTAAGCGCATAACTCAAGAACGCCTGGACCGATTTTGATAATTATTTTTTTGTTGTGTTTGTTATTGTAAGGAGAAGTTTCTTATCAAAGAAAATATTAGAAAAGTAGAGGGGAAGATAAGGAAAAAGTGACCCTTTGATAGTGAGATAGTTATAAATATAGACATTGTGTCTTACTTAAATTTACGTATCGGCAAACTAAGGGTTATGGGCAACATTTAATTACGGTATTAACGCGAAAAGTAAGTATTGAAATACCTTGGTAGCGTTAGCGTTAGCGTTATGGGTCCTAAACGAGCAATATTTTTCGATGTTAAATGACTTTGCTTTTAATACTCAAAACGTAAAATAAATGAAATTTACCTTTATCTTCCATCCATTATCGATATTTTCGCTAATATTGAACTCTCCGCTTAGCAGCGAGTCGTAGCCTAGAGTGGACAAACTTAGCTCTGCTACCGTGACAGGGGTCTTCACAGATTTGTAGCAAGGACCTGCTCGAGTCACTAGGATGTGGGTAGGAGCCATAGTACTGGACACGAAGGGCGTAAAAAATAAAATAACTATTTGATAGGACATTGTATTCGTGTAATGATTACCTAGTTTCGCCATTATTTATCATTGGATTATGGTCATTTTTCTATCTATACGCCATTTAGCAAGCGATTATTATTGAGTCATTATGTTAAATAACTGCCTATTACAGTTTTCAACTCTGTTAACAACGTTATAAAGTAAAATTCGCAATGTGCCGTTTTTAGTTTAGATGATCAATTTCTAATGTCATTTTAATGAGGTCGTGATTCTGATTTAGATATTAACTATGTGCTACTAAGTTCATGAGTTTGTAAGTACCTACATCCATAGTTGGTACTCATACAATGCTACTTTTAAAGCAGGTGCAAAGGTTCTTTTTTAAGGAAAAAACATTCAATGACTTTTCTTCTTTTCTTTCTCCAACGTTGATGGGGTGACTCTCAAACTTTTACTGAATAAAAATGATACAGTTCCTCGTCTGCTCCTATCTAGACATCTAGAGACTATAGCTTTATCTGTTCTAATTAGCTGGCTATACCATGGCAGTTTATTTAGGGAGGTAGGTACTACAGAACTGAATCCATGTCTATTAATGTGTAGTAGTCAAACTACTAGACAAATTCAATACTTGTATTGTTATGTCAAAAAATTGTATGAAATAGTATCATATAAGCTTTTGCTCGCGACTCCGGTCGCGTGGAATAGTGACTTCCTGCAGATTTTTCAAACTATATCCGTACCAAATTTCACAGAAATCGGTTCAGTAGTTAAGGCTTGAACAAAGGACAGACAGACAGAGTTACTTTCGCATTTATAATATTAGTATGGATTATGACGTCTAAGTTCTAACTGTTTTACGTCAAATAACATGCTGCTGAAAGATTAGCCAAATTAAAAGATTATCGTCAAATCAATGAAATAAAGCATGATTGATTGAATTTTAGTAATTCATTGTATTGAAAGAGTCGTAGCAATTTAGTTTTGGCTTAGGATACTAGAGCGTAACTAGGCAGCATTATGTATTTTTTTATGTATAATAATTAATCTAGAAGAGAATAACTTTTTTACAATACCTACCTATATGAAGTGAAATAAAAATAAAGATAAATTAATTACCAAGACTTTGCAAGTGCTGTAGCAAAACAATGCCTGTAAATATTTATCTAACTACTTGCGTATATTTTTGTAGGTAATAAAGTTTATTGTAATGTCGATAAATAGTGAAGATAATTCATCATTTAGGTATATAATTAACTGTTTATTTAAGTAGATAACCAAGTAAGTAATGTATTATTTGTCACAAGGTAGGAGCTGAAAAGAAACCTTGTGGGTAGCAATTTACCTAACTCCTAAGTGTGGGAGAGCCATGCTTCGGCACGAATGGGTCGGCTCGACCGGAGTAATACCACGGCCTTACAGAAGACCGGCGTGAAACAACCACAGCGTTGTGTTTCGCCGTGTGAGTGAGGTTACCGGAGGCCCAATCCTTCCCCGCCCCCAATCCCTCCTCAATCCCTAAATCTCCAAATCCCTAATCCCTAAAAGATCGGCAACGCACTCGTAAATCCTCCGTTGCGGGTGTCCATGGGCGGCGCTGATTGCTTACCATCAGGTAATCCGTCTGCTCGTTTGCCGACCAATTACAAAAAAAATAAAATAAAAAAAACTCAAAGCAATTTCATCTACAGAATGCTGACTCTGCAGATGAAATTATTGCTAGTTGTTGTTTTAATATTTACGTGATCGAAACGTTACAACCGCATTTAGCCCTCTGATTGGTGGATTATGTAGCAGCGGGCCAATCAGAGTGTAGAACGTCATAGATAGGTTCGATCAGCGTTACTTAAACTGGCACTAGGGATTCTAAACAGCTTTTAAAACCTGGACTGACTATATGTTTTAAATAAATGTTTTTCTTTCTTTCTTTCATATGGATCTCATTTACATGATAAAGTTTAACACGGTTTCCTCCTTTTTTTGGCTATTATTTAAATTTTAATACATACATGCCTAAAATATTGCTTTATTTCAAGTAGGTACGTTAGCTCCTTTTAAATACTTAATGAGCCTAAATATTGTCAATATAAGTAAGTAATTTAATATCTAGGTACACTATATCTAATTCAATTAAGAGCAGAAGTTCACTGTCCGGCAAAGTTACAAAAAAAAATCAAAGTTCAACTAAGTAATCAAACAAAACTGCTATCAAGTCTAAGTACAATATTTTACTATTAATCTCCTAACAGCAACGTTTACGTTACGTTTACACACAAACAGACACACCTCCCGCTTGCGCACATATGTATGTATACATACGGCGCGGATTGGTTCATTCATTCTTTCATTCATCAATAAACAAACAGTTCACGTCAGTTGTATTTTAGACGCCAAGCGAGTAGCACGTGCAAAATGGCCGCTGATAATTTAACCGCACTCCTGAAGAAGCCCAAGGATTTACAGCTGGTACGTCGACAAAACTTATTATTCTAGTTATTCATACCGTAACTAAATAATCTATCAGTTTAATTTAAAAGGAGTGGATGTGTTTTTATTATCGTAAAATCGATTAAATACGTAACAATTTGACATCGTTTTAAATTCGCAGTGTGCAGTGAATTAAATAATGATTCTAGTGATATAATCCAGCACAGACCAGTCTTAAGGCAGGGATCGATATTTCTACCAAGATCTTTACACTCCTGCGAAATATTAAAGCTAATTATCTTTATAATGTTTTAAGTGGGTTTATTATTTAATTTAAGATAACTTTGTATTTATTTATCCTTATCGATAATATCTAGGTAGTATAGTGCTGTAATACTGATTTTGATCAGATGCATGCCTAGATAATTTCATTAGAAAATTTTATAATTGACATTAATTTTGATTATCAGAGTAGTTGTAAGAAAAATAATTAACTTCTATTATTTTATTTTATTTATTTAAGACCTCGATATTAGGGAGGTAGCCAAGATATTAGGGAGTAAGGCTAACCAATCAAGAAGTCATCACAGTATATTACATCTTATAATGTAGGTACCTTTTTTTTAGTTTCTAATACAATAATATATTATTGTTTTCAGGTACAAACGCCGATACCAGAAATTGCTGACGATGGTAAGTGCATTTTAATTTAATTTTGATTTTAATAAAGTATAAGTACATAAACTGTTATGAAAACTAGGGAGAGGGGTACAAAATGACATACTAGTTAGAAAATCAGTCATAAAATCTTTATTTATTAATAATATTGAACACTTTAGTAACTGTGTATTCTTTGGTTCATTACCTATTAGAGTTATAGAGATCAATCAACTTAATACAAAAACAAAAGAATTATTCAACATTCTTTTTTATCTTGAAAAAAACCGTTTTGTCCGCCCTAGTCGGGTAAAATGACACACGTGATGTGGACAAAATGGCATACCATTTTTTTTAATGAAAATCAGTCGATTAGAGACAGAGTTCACACGTAAAACGCTTTGTATTTTTCGGAACATCTGCACATGATGCATGAGCCCATCTTTTACAGCTCAAGCACATTAACCAGACCTCCTTTGGCTTGGACCTGGAGTAGAGGTCATTGCAATAAATGCAAGGACAATCTTCATCATCATCTCCGACTTCAGTGAAACCTTGTAAGGAAGAGAAATCATTTTCACTGTCAGAACTAAAATCCAAAGCTTTCGTAACCTTTCTTGTGTTTTTCTTAGGAACTGGTGGAGGAGCTGATTTTGCTTTAGCCTCTTCTATATTTGGCGTTGATGTTAAGACCAATATTGTTGGTTTCTTGCGTGGTTTCCTTTTGCCTTGTCCAGCCACATATGTTCCTATCGGCACTGGAGACAGCACGCTGACTGGAACATTGATATTCATGTCTTGGAGTATCAATTTAGATGATGTGGGTGTCGTAGGTATTGCAGTAGCGGTGTCTCTAGATTGGGCAACTGAGAGTGGAAGTGGGTTATCTGCGGCTGATGTGCTTGCAATTATCAGTGATGTCGAACTGCCTGCTACCTGAGATGGACCTGATGACGGTATGCATAGGTTTTCTGCTGCCGTTGAATCTCCTTCGGGCTCTACCCGATCTTGTTGCATGGGGATATTTGTCGTCTCAGCAGGCTCAAACAAATAATCTGGAAATATGTTTGGATCAACAGGCCAGAGACCTGTTTTTGAAACCCATTGACGGCAGTTTGAATCGTTGCTGCTTTGCCATAAGCTTTGTTGAGAATTGCACCTATTTGAAAATGAGTAACAACTCTGCCTGGATGATTCTTTAACCAAGTGCTCACTTCTTGATTAAAATATGTCTTCAGTGGCCCATAGAAAGATACGTCTAATGGTTGCATGCGGTGCGTGCAGTGAGGTGGCAAGCATACCATAATGATTCCATGCTCTTTTGCGAATTTTAAGCTTTCAATACCTTTATGACTTATATGCCCATCAACTACCAAAAGCACTTTATCATCAAGACTCGCTTTTACATGCAACTGAAAGTGCACCAACCATTTATAAAATACAGCTGTTGTCATCCAACCTGATTCCTGGGCAATACCCAAAGTACCGGTTGGAGCTTCGTCTATCAACTCCTGTTTCATGATTTTTCTAGGATAAATTAAACACGGCGGGACAAAATGGCCATTTGCACTCATGCAACAAACAACTGTCACATGAGACCCCTTTTCAGCACTAGTCAAAGTCCCAACCTGCTTACGCCCAGTAGTAGCAAAGACTTTTTGGGGTCTCTGGACTGTTGATAAAGCTGACTCATCGACATTGTAGAGCCTATGAGGAGAAATGTTGTTCCTCTGAACAATGTCTTGGTAAGTGTTAAAAAATAGTGCTACTTGCGGTTTGTTAAAGGCTTGGGCTCTTGCAGCTGAAGTCGCTTCAGGTTTCCTCAAGGATATGTCTGGGTGTCTGCGTCGAAATCCAGCCAACCATTCTTTGCCTGCCATCTTTTTTCATTGTTGAAGTTATGAGGAATA